GTACACTGTATCATTCTCTTCCAATGGGGCCGTACTGCAAGTCAACAATCTAAAAGCAGCAATTTCTGAAAGTTGTTCTTTGAAATGGGACTATGAGTAACCAATGAGTAATCCCAATTAGAATGCTACTTTGAATTCTGACCAGTAAAATATGAACTGCATGACTGGGTCTATGCTTAAATCACATGCAAATAATTTAGAAGAAAAAGGACCAACAAGTTACGCTGTAATTATCCACTAACACCACCAATTACTTTGGCTCTCCATCCGAGTCTAAATAATTTAGAACGTAGAAATTTGGCAAAATTTGACAAGACTAGTTTTAAAATTAAAAATTGGAAATTTGACAAGCTAATAATCCTAAGGTATAGGGCATGGTGGAAGCACAGACTGGCAATGTAACCAGAGAGAAATGAGTGGTATGATACCAGTACTCTACCCAGCAGCAGCAGCAGCAGCAGCAGCAGACTACTCGGCTTTAGATGCTTTGCCGCTCTTAGAAGATGCTATGTAAGTCTTGTAGAAGAAGTTGCCGAACAGGACCGTGTAGCTGGCATACATTGCCATTGATACCGAGAACTGCATGTCGGACATCGGGCAGTCCTCACCGGAGCGCTGTTGATAGTACGCCCAGCTGGTGGTGCTAATTCCAGTAACCATTTGTGAAAGCTGCAGTGTGGTGATAGAGATGTTGATCCACTTTGGCGGCTTGTAGAGACCGGATGCAGACACGCCGTAGTACGTGTACATGATGAAGTGGATGATCATGTTGATAACGCCAAAGACACGAGCAGGGCCATGCGGATTGATGAAGCTAAACCAGCAGAACCACAACACGGTGACGTGGTGAAACCAGTGCAGGAATATCAGCTTCTTCTTTTTCAGCACAATGAAGAACGTGTCGCCAAACTCGACAAACTTGGACATCATAAACAGGAACGACCACAGTCCACCGGAGCTGTGCATGTATGTGGCATCGCACACCGCCTCCCCAACACTGTCATGCCTCATCAGGGCCAGAGTGAAACGATACAGAGAGAACATGCTATAGAAGGCTAGGGCTGCGTTCCAGCAGACCAGCGTCCCGCGCAGATTGTACTTGGTGCGCTTCTCCATTTGGCTGACACCCCAATGAATTAGGGCGACATAGATCATAGAGATCGTCACCATGTAGTATGTGGCGCCAATAGTCCACTCGCGCAGTCGATAGTAATCGTAATAACTGTCCTCCAACTCCAACATTGACTTGTCTAAATTTCTAACGAACTCCATTTCCGTACTTCTCGTACTTCTTCCCCACCCTCTCCAACGCTATTTTGAATGGCAGCTAAATAACCTGTGGGCTTGTCAACATAGAGTATTCCAGTTCGGAAGAACCGGACTCGACTAGAGCTTGAAGGCGAGTTTCAGAACTGCACTGATACAATGGGAACGAAACTCAACATCGCACACACATGCGGCAAAGCATTTCAAGGAACTGTTACTGATGTTATCTAAGCGCGTGTGAAACCAGTGTAGTGTCCTGCTCTCACAAAATAAGTTCTGGATTGGGTAACATCACGGTCTCAAGATGTGCCTGCGAGAAGGGCCGCCCCATGCCCAGTATGCACCGTGTACAAATGCACGGATCGGAGCGGAGACGCTAAACTGAAGCCGTGTGAAGGACCAGGTGAGTGATGGGTTGGCGGGAATGTTTGCCAATATGCAATGGCAATGTTGACATGACCTTTGACATCGCGTGCATTGCTGCGCACACCGGCCTGTTGTTCTGGCCTTCGGGCTGGTGTCCGGTGACAGCGACGCTGGCGACATCGTACCAACGAGTACAGGGAACAGGGAGTCTAAATACAGTGTCAGTACGAGTAGTCTTTACCTGTTTTCACCTTCACCATTGACATTGTTTTTTTGGTTTTGCTCGCGGCTGCAACGCACGGGGTAGTGAACCCAGGACAGAAGCGGACCAGGCATCATGACTTTGCACATCTATCGTTATGCTGCTTCATTACGCGACCTGTTTTATTATTATTATTATTATTGACATTGTTTACACTGTGCTGCCATTGCCAGGGGAGTAGTAAAATACCAGTCCTGTAGTTTACTTCTTTCTGCTAGCTATGCCAACTCCAGACCGTGCGTGACCAAGGAGTAGTAAAATACCACTACTATCCCTGTTGCAGAATTAGATACATGATTGTACATGTATCGGGACTTGGCCAAGGAAGGCGCTGGGACATCCTCTCGGCATGCCATCAACCATCAGGAGTCACGTCAACAAGCGAGATGAGTAAGATGTATTGACGCATGGACAGATCTGTCACTGACTGCCAGACATCCATGGACCTGTGGTCGACTTCCAGACATGATAATTGCGAGAGAATGAAACTCTCGGTCCCTTGGTCCCATCTTGTAGTTCCAACAAGGACAGCCTGTGGCTTCTGTCCTTGTCCAGGAGGACTACAAGTTGAAAGTCATAGTCGTAGTACCAAAGCCAAAGGGACCGGACTGCAAAGACCTACAACATGACGAATGACACAAGTCATGTAGATCTACTACTATTACTACTACTATTGTACTAGCACCTGTCGTCACTTGTCGTGAACCTCTACTGGCTCTACTCTACCTCCACCTCTTACAAGTGACTGATTGACTTAACTACAATGGGCCAAAGCCAAGGCAAATGATGTACATGATTGTACAATCAATCATGTAGATGTACATGTAGGTTCCAATCTCTCTCTTGTGTAGGTATTTGATACACGTCATTGTAAAGTCATGTACATTGTAGATGGAGGCTGCTATACAATGTAAGTGTGGGTGACTTTTCGCGAACTACCGGTATTACTAAAACTAGTCACAGTACAATGTACATAATTATGTACATGACACATGATCACAATGATCACCAACAGTACAGCACACAGTGACACCGAGCTAGGGGTAGGTCAACCACCTCGTCTGCCAGTTACAAAGGGAGGCAAGACGAGGTGGAGATGGTGCAGCAAAAAAGGGGATCGAAAGGAGAAAGATATGAATATGGCCCGCGCCAATAGGGAAGTTACTAAATTATTTAGAGAGCCTTTGACAACGGTACAGCCGTACTTGTTTTCATGCCTTCATACCAGCAGTCACGGAACAGCGCTTGGTGGTGTTGGTGTAAGCTGGAGGGGGGGGGGGGGAGGGGGCGTGGACAATGACCGTGACCAACCATTAGCTGTGTGCTCGCTGTTCTTGTGCTTCAAATTAGTTAGTTCCAGACACACTTCGAATTTAGTTCCGTGGTCTTCTCCGGTCGCTCGCAATTGGTTACGGTATGTCTCTTCTCAGTGCAAACTAAAAATGGTGGGACCATGAGACTATTGTTTTCTTTCCGTTTGTCACCGGCTTTTCCGTTTACTCGGATGGTCGCCTTGTAACGTTAGACGATGGATTAGATGTGGCAGTTTCCGTCCATTGGGCACTGTGTTATGTCTCTACAGTACACTGCAGTCACGTTCAGCGTCTTTCCTTGGGCTGGCTGTCGGCTTTCTGAGTTTGACTGTTCTATTTGACTGAAACTAGATAGGTTCCCCCGCTATGATTGTATTCTTGCCAACATGATTGTAAAGTATGAGTAGTAAGGTTACACACAAGAACAAAGTCAGGACCATGGACACTGCTATTGCCACTACACTGTGCCAGACTTGGATGGGAACAAACCACGACAATCCGACACATCATTTGTAAAGAGGTGATTCAGCCCGCCCTCAGCCCTGACTCGGACTGCAAGTAACAGTTAGTTAGAGTTATTGCAGCCTGGGCATGCTATGAGTGGATGCACGGATTGCCTTGGTAAAGTGGACAGTGGTCCCTGTTACTTGAGTACAGGTAGAGATGTATGGCCCTATGGGTGCATCAACGGTCACGTGCAGTGACTGAACGATTTGTGTATTTGCTCCTTTGTACTTGTGCATGTATTTCAGAATTGAAAACAAAAAATCCGACGGACTTCTCAGCGTATGTCATGGGCGACTAAGGCCAGTCATATCCACCGGCACAGTGAGTCAGTCAAATCATTTGAAATCAGTCCAACCAATCTTACCCATGATTACTGCCAGTTGCCACATCACAATGTCATGCACAACAAGACCTTGACCTACCTACAATGTACAGACTCCGTGTACTTCCAATTCAGCTTGCTCTTGCAAGGAACCAACTGCACACAATCTTTGCTTTATGGCACACTATCACTGACCAGTACGCATCCTGATTTTAATGAGGGGGTGGTTTTCAATTGCAAGTTACAGCCTAAGTAGACGCTCCCCTTCCCGTTCCGGGAAACAGACACAGCACAAGTCATGATCACGCGTTCATACGTGTAAGTCATAATATTCACACGAAGCAAAGTGATAGTATCTTCAATTACGGCAAACCAAAGTACAAGATTCTTTTATTAAAAAAATACTTGACATTGGCGCATATCTGCACAGGTGCGGTCCTGACATCTGCATGCGTGAGCACCGACCTCAGTATAAGATCCATAGAGTCCTCAATACAATGTCACGAAAAACAAATACCCATGTAGGTAACTTACTGATCCAATCGAAGCAGTTGTTATGAGTTAGAACACTTTTTAGATAATTTTTCAGCCGTTCAAGTCACAATCCTAACCAGTACAAGGTGCCTAGTGCTTTGCTGGTACAATGTAGATTACACAATACTGTGACATCATTACACAATACTGTGACATCATTACACAATACTGTGACATCATAATTATATTTACAGTCTTCATGACGAGTGACAGTGCCCGGACCAAACCGGCATGAATCGGACACAGTATACTGATGCCAGTTCAACTATTCTCCATTGCATCGTACTATTGGTAGGTAGACGGGAGTGTCCGATGCAAAGAAACAGTCTCCACATCTCTAATTCAACACTACTCATTCTGGAGCTTATCCCGATGGTGCTAACCATAGCCTTCTAGGCACCGTACGAGAAGAATGACTTCAAGTTCTCCAGCAAGCACTTGGATCCAAAGTGGTCAGGAAATCCTTCCAAGGCTTTCTCGGCACAGCTGTAACTACCGGCAAAATCTCCAAACTGGAAGAGGAAGACCACAGCACACACGTGACAATTAGTGCCAGCTCCTGATGGCCACCTGTAATAGGGTTTCAAAGTGCTCCGTATCACTGCCAATGCCAACCGGCACTGATTTCTGCATCCACTTGGATCCACGGTTTTGGTAACCGTCATGGACTCGTGTATAGTTGAATTGCCGGTCTCCTTCACAGTGGCGGCATAACACGTCCCTGAGAGTATTATTGGACTGGTTCTTGGGAATTGTGCACTGCTCGTAAAGGGAAAATGTGACAGGAGGGGTCGGTCATACAAGAATAACATCATGGCCCAAACACCTGTTGGTTCTGCAACCCCATCTCTAACATGTAGTAAAAGAGAGAGGGGGACGATTGGGAGAGAGAGAGAGAGAGAGAGAGAGAGAGAGAGAGAGAGAGAGAGAGGGGGCGGGACAGAGAGACGGTTGGGAGGGAGAGAGATGGGGAGGAGAAAGGGAGGTAGATAAAGTGGAGAAGAGTAAGGTTTGATAGTTTCTACTGAACTCACTGTTTCCAGTAGCCTTGCTTTGTTGTAGTTTGCCTCGTACAGCGTCGGATTGAGGTCAATACTTGTAGAGAACATTTGTTTCGCCTGCAGATTCCCAAGTGAAGGAGCATGTATACAGCACAATTGATATGCAGCATATGCGGTATGAGTAGGAAAAGATATACAGTCAACTTACTTCGCTTATAACGACACTCGGCGGGGCATCAGAAAAGCGTCCTTATTCGCGAAGTGTCGTTATACCCGAAGTCTTATTATATGTGTCACAGTTGGATAGGACTTTGCTCTGGGCATGAAAATTATGTCGTTATTCGCGAATTGTCGTTATATCCGCAGTCGTTATTAGCGAAGTTGACTGTAGAAGAAGCTGTATTTGCAGATACATTAGATATAGACGACTCGATTGGAAACGGATTCTCACTGGTGGCAGTCTTTGGCTATTTCTATATTAAAGTTTAATATGTTCAATCCGCCGTGTGTATTCGAATGGACATCCAGGTCACGCGCCATGCAATCATGGGCCATTGATGCATAGAAAGTCCTGAGATGTCAAGATAATGTTGACCAAAACCACCTCATTGAGCTAGGACTTCTGCCAAAGAGCATTAAACCGGACCTGGTGTATGCATGAACCAACCATGGACATAGCACCTCTCACTCACCATATCCGTTTTCCGTTGCCGAATGCAGAGAACACCGAGATTATTGTAGCTCTCCGCATTGTTGCTATTCGCTGCCAGTGACAACTTGAATGCGTAGGTTGCAAAATCCAAGGCACACATGCTCTGCAAGAAGATGCAAGTAGCCCATAGCATGGGTTTCATTCTACGGTACATGCATACCGTATTTTCATTTGAAGTCGTTAAATGCAAAATGACTGTACACGACTGTGCAGTTATTTGACTGTACATGACTGTGCAGTCATTTGCCGGTTTTGAGACAAAATTTGTTAGAATTTCACCTCGCTAACCCACAAAAATCCGGAGATCATTAACTTTAATTGACGCTAAAATATCTGGTCTTTAATACAGTAGTCGACTTACAACCGGGGTTTAACCGCTACTGATCATATTGATATTGAATCAGTAAACCGTTAGGTGAGCTCGGATATCGGTTCACCTTGGAGCACAACTCAGAGAGTCGCACCCAGCGCAAAAAAATCACCCAAAGTAAAATACAGGCCACAAATAGCACCGGCAACAGTGCATGGTACTTGCACTTTTGAAAACAGCTGAGTGCATTCAGCACAAGCCACTCAGCAATTCAAAACAGCTGAAAGTGGCTCAGTGAGAGTCCCAAATTCAGCGGTTTCAACCGAAATGAGAGCGTTTTGTCTCCTCAACGTCTTAATTGCCTTAGAAAGACTGCGGCCATGGGGGGTTTGTGGCAAAGTGGCACATGTATCAATTTGAGAATGTAGCAGACAGAACTTACTACACAGACGCAGCCAATATTGTACCAAACGTCCGCCATCTCCTCATCATTAGCCATTCCCAGTGCACGATCAAAGCATGCAAACGCTGACTCATAGTTGTGCGAGTAGAAGCAGCACAGAGCCAGGTTGTTGTAGATATCCGTACTGCTCACTCCCATCAATACCAGTCGCCTGAAACACATAGAAATTCACACACGAGGATAGAAAAGTTGTGTGTGTGTGTGTGTGTGTGTGTGCGTGTGTGTGTGTGTGTGTGTGTGTGTGTGTGTGTGTGTGTGTGTGTGTGTGTGCATGTGTGTGTGTGTGTATGTGTGTGTGTGTATGTGTGTGTGTGTATGTGTGTGTGTCTGTATGTGTGTCTGTGTGTGTGTGTGGTGTGTGTGTGTGTGTGTGTATGTATGTGTGTGTGTGTATATGTGTGTGTGTGTGTGCGTGTGTGTGTGTGTGTGTGTGTGTGTGTGTGTGTATGCTTGTATTGCTTGTCACCATGATACCGATCTTCAAATCTGCATAAAGAAAGCAGTTGGCTCAGAGACAATCACTTTGGAACCACAAAGAGTTAGTTGAACAATTCTGCAATAAAATGTCTAGCTCAAAGTCATATCCAAGCCCCATTCAGCATAATTATTTCCAATCTACTTCAACTTCGAGCAAAATGTGGAATACATGTAATGACGGTTACCGGGATACAATACAGTGATTGGACTTTCAAATTCACAGTGAATTTTTCTGTGAACCGCCTGTATATACCACACTCACTATCCATTTGATACACGTACTGGTAGGTGCATGCCAAATTGCAACTGTCAGGCTACACAACCAAACTCAATGACCCGCATTATGGCGGCACAGAAAACCTTCAAAGATATCTGTGCCACCTAGCTGGTCGCAGGAACCTTGAAGTACAAGGTTATTGACTTACCGATAAAACTGCAGCGCCATCTCTGGTTGATCACTGTAGAAGTAGTTGGTAGCGAGGCAGGCTGATGCCTCGACGTTCAGATTGTCTTGATGCAGAACGTCACGGTACACATTCTTTGAACTGATTGAGTCCTTGAGACCCTACAAAGTGACATTCAACATTCACGATGTCAGTGTAAAGCATCTAGTGTAGTTAGGCTGTGGGGCCACAAATGTTGTGAATCTGTATCTTGCCTGTCATGATTGCCTGAAGAAACTGACAGTGTTTAGGTTGAGCTCAGTCCTTCGCGCTATTGACTGGCTTTTCACACAACACCGATTGATGTCTGGTGACATACTAGACATGGTTAAAATGTTAGCGTTCACGCTAACTTCAGCCGTCGACCTGCACCGTGTTTTGTGCGTTTCAAGACATGGTTAGCATTTCAGTTTCTGACATAACGATCGACTTGTGACGTCACCCCAGTTGGAATCTTACCGTTTCGTTCTCCCGCTATATTATAATTAAAACAGAGTTTCTATCGTCGAAACAATACCAAACCGACGGTATTTCGGGCGTTGGGTGCGAGTACCGTTGGATTTAGCGTGAACGGTAAAATGCTAACAATGGCTACTGTCTTCCTTCATGCTCCTATTGATCGCTACCCAGGGGCTCTCCATCCAGCTCTCTCTCCATCCAGCTCTCTCTCTCTCTCTATCACGCTATACTCTTCTTCACATACGCTATAAGTGTATGTCTTCTTTGCAATAAAATCAGTGCCGTGACTGACGAGTTCGAGTACACAATCGCGAGTAAGCAGTGTGTGCGCCTGCGTGCGTGTGTATGCATGAGCGTTATGTTTGCAGTACCCATGGCCTCCGATGATAGTCTTACCTCGTGAACCCGTGCAATAGCAATCAACAGGGACACCTCGCCGGGAAAGCGGCGCAGCCCCTAAAGCAAACAGTGACCAGAAAAACACATGCACCTATCATGCTAACATGTACTACTAGCACATATAACATGCACTACTAGCACATATAACATGTACTAGTAGCACATATACATGTACCGTAAAGTACCGTTGATCCGCCCACTCTCTTATTCCCGCCCCTGTCGATTTTCTCCTTGTGAAGCGACTTCGGCGTATACAACGAAATACGATGTTGAGCCGACGCATGCACTGCTGTACACAATACTTGCCAACCCAGGATCAAAATGTGCACAATCCAGCACATTGAGTCTGATCCTCTACGTTGTTGTACATCGTACTGCACTTGACAGCCTTGATCTAATTCCCGCCCCCTGCCGAAAACCCAGCTGGGAAGCAACATGGCGTGGGGGCGGATCAACGGTACTTTACGGTAGCTACCATCACCACAAAACTGTGAATCCGACACGTCATGTGACACAAGCCTTTCATATGTGATGTTAATTAAGGTACCACATCACTCTTGACTGAATAGATGTACATGTACCGGCACTAGCACTACACCCGCTGACCTACCTTCTGATAGCATTCAATTGCAGTGAAAGGATGATCTAGACGAATGTAGACCTTTCCGAGGTGCAGATAGGTGTCGATCATATCCTGCACCTTCAGTGACGCTTTGAACTGCGCCTCGGCCTTGCGGATCAGTCCAACCCTGCATTCAAACCCAGCGCATACTGTTATTATAGTCATCAGAATATCTATCCACCGCACATCTACGGACATTTTAGCCAAACTAGTAACACATATCTTAGGATGGAAGACCCACACTGCTTTGTCACTGAGAGAAGCGGCAATACAGGATACTAGCAAGCAGCTTAGCAATACCTATCCTTCTGACCATAGAGTCAGCCTGACTGGACTAACCTGAAGTAGCACTTGCCAAGTTGTGCTTTCCACCACCACTCTTTGAAGTCCGTCTGCTGGGTTACAAGCTGTGCAAGGTTCATTGCCTACGCCCGGCCGAATCGTACAACGCAGACGGTAAGAAGAAAACAATACAGCCCTACGGTCAGTTGATAGTGTAAGTACAGGCAGTACTGACCCGAGCACATGGAAACGGGGTGCATGGTAGCTCATTCAAATCATCAGCAAGGTGAAACTAGTAATATCACTTTCCTTGCATCTAACTGAGCACTACGCCGAATGCATCATTGACAATGCATCTGCAAAAAGTCACAGTGAGTCATGCCATTTCCTGGCGAAAACAAACACATTTGCCTTGAGCTGAAGCACAGTAAGTCAGTACTACTCCGGCAATCAGTATCAAACACTGAAAAGACAAAAAAAGGAATAAAAAGTTGTCTAAAAACGGCAGAACCTAGAAAGCAGGTTGGAATGGACCACTACAGTGGTGAACTGTTGCCGATGACACTATACGAGTACATAGATAGTCAACTGCCCATGGATACTCAGTCAGTGCATGGCACCACCGCAGAACTCGTGATCTTACATTACGTATGTCATTGATGTTGTAGAAGAAGTACTCAAAGAGAGGCTGCATAGCAGAATATCAACAGACAAAGCGAGACCATGATACAGGGCAACAAATGATGATCCTCGGGTAAGGCAGTGGAAGAAAACTGATTGCAATATCTGAGCAAGATCCAGCAACTTCGTGAGCCAGCAAGCCTAGCCGAAGGAACTGATTAGGTTTTCAAAGCACTGTCAGGGTTGAAATAACGTTGGGCACACTCACTGCACAGGACATTGGTTCTTGAGTGATCAATGGTTGCAGCAGCAGCAGTAGCATACGATTATTTTGTACTCTACGGAGGTTGCCGTGTATGGTAACACCGGCTGTGCTTTTCATATTCAACTGAGGTGTTAAAGCCGGGCCTACAAAATGTAACTTATCATCCTGGTTTTTAAGAAGTACATCAAACAGTACTGTGCTAGAATGGGTACATGCATAATGAAGAGTATACAACCTGGCAATCTCTTGTATCAGCCATGGAGAAATCTGTTCCATGGCACCGGTCTTCCACGGGAATCGCGACCATTTGTTTGACTGCGGCATGATGCAACCAACAATGCATGGCCAATGATCAAACGTTCAAAGAACTTGTATGACTCAGGGATAGTAGTTGGAGAAGAGTATGGTTGGTAGATGATACATGTCCCCACACTGAGCCACTGCCTGATGAGCATCCACCATAAGTATAATATGCAATACATAATATGCAAAGAGTCTATAAGTATAATATGCAATACATAATATGCAAAGAGTCTATGCACGAGTCTATGCACGTGATCATCCCTCTGCTAAAAAAAAGTAACGAAAAATCCTGTTGCTGGCGAGTCTATCAGACATCTTGGTGAAGGAGTTGCACACTCTTGGTTATGGACTCTTGTGTTGTGTTGTGCATAACTGACCTTTGCTAGTTCCGGCTTCTTGGCATACTTCTCCAAGTCCAGCTTTGCCGGGTTGACAAATGGACCATCCTTCTCTGATATCATGGATGCCTTTGGACAAAAACCAACACAGGGCAATGGTTACCACGGCTACTTATTGAGACTGACATTGGCCTTGTACAACTTTCATCACTGTTTTTTTAAATTAAAGCAATGTACAAAACATAGTCACTATAGCTAACAGGTACACCGTTCTGGTACATGTGTAGTCTTAGCTGGTATTAACTTGCTACAAGTAGTGGATGTGTTTCATTACTGACATACCATGGCCTACTCACCGTGCCCAGGCGAACAAATCTTCCCGACGACGTTGTCACGGGCCTACACGAGTATCAATAACACGAACACAATGCTCGAAGCATGGAAACAAGATTTTACATTCATACATCATCTACCGTGAGCCCAGGGCATGTCACATTGGGAATGATTTTAGTCTGGCCCTCTCTGGCCCGATGCGTTGTACCACCCGCTACATGTGTGATCACTAGGTAGTGTCATCATACCAGTATAGTGTATACTGTACGCCGTGCAGCTGCTAGTGGCATATAGTGCATACTGTACACCGCATCCTTGCAAGCTCTGCCACCGCTGACTTACTAACCTTGCCGTGGAAGCTGAACGTGCAGTTCTGACAGCCTGCTCCATGGTCGTCGGGCGGCCAGACTGTGTTCCCGGGCGTGCAAACCCTGTGACAGGACGTCCACTCTGAGATACTGGCCTGCAGTTCACATGCAGCAGCATATCGGTATATACATGTATGTGCTACATTACTCAAGAATAGCAAGCATGTGAGTCTATGTAGCGCTAGGATGCGCATCCCCGACCTGAGAATACAGGACACCAGCCTATTTATAAGATTAAATTTCACTGAGAACAACTGTACACATACGAACATAAATGTACAATAGACACATACACCTACTCAGTCAATCTCCATTACACTTCCTTACTTTCCAAGGATAGGCCTGAGTTTTACAAGCAACATTACGGAATCGCAATACATTAAATGTAATTCTCGCAGGTCCTTACCGAGTAGCTGTCTCCGGTACAACCGACCGTGCACCAGTCTTGGGTGCTAGGGGATTTCTAAATGACGTCCCGGGTCCTACATTGCCAACAGAAATCACAAATGAGTACTAGTATTGAGCGATTCCAACCGTCAACAGATATTAGTAGCTGGTATCGTATATACATACATTCAAAGAGACTTGGACAGACTGACCAAGCTGATAGAGAGAGAGAGAGATAGACTTGCCGATAGCAGACTGAGATAAGCATGTACACAAACGGGTATGGCTTTAGTGCGATTGTGCACTCAGAACTGTATTCATGATTGAAACATCAGCTATGTGAGTGTTCACGGGTCCACAGTACACGTACACCGGTGCATAGATCAGTGCACACTCTAACTACAAGCGAGCACTGGTAGCAGCATGTACTAGGGTCCATTACTTGCAGTGGCCGTTGTGACCGTGTCATCCATCAACAACTCCGCAATTCCGACTTCGTCAACCTCGACTTCATCGACATAGGTTTGTGCAGTTAGCGCCTGCATCTTCAGTATCCACGCCGCCTACGGAGAGCACAGACACAAAGAAGAGAAAAGGGTGTTGCTTGCCAGTATGGTACATGTACAATCGACATGGAACTCCTGTACGGTAAACACTGCCGTCTACGTCAGTGTACTTGAAAGAAAAAGGTAACCACTACCCATCGATCAATCAGACTTGACAATGGGCATGTTAAAAAAAGAAGAAGAATGAACCCCAATACAAAGGGGAGACTCGTAGATACATGTAGGTGAAAGCTCCTTGAGACTTACAAATCATTGTCCTCATCAACAGTCAGAGTGACTTGCACAGAGGCATAGGATCGTCACAGTGAAAGTGGTACATTGATTCTTAGCGGCCAGCAACAACTTTGTTTTCATTTCAAGATGATTTCTGATCCGCTGTGTAATTCAAAGCATCTAAGAAAGTCAACAGTTTCATTTGCCTTCCTGAAACTGGTCTGGGGGGGGGGGGGGGGGGGGCATGATCATGCCACTGGTATAACGCAGGATGAAACAATAGGGATTGAAAGTGAGAAAAATAACGACTTTCGAATCCACTCCACCCATAGCGAAGTACAGGATCTGGTGGGTGGAGCCGTTGTGCCGCACACAGGTCAGGGTCTCAGAGGAGTGAGACCCTGACCGGGCGGGTCCAGTCCAGTCACTACCGGCAGATGTCACAGTGTCACTATGCTGCGAAGGGAAACCACCCAACATGGATGGATCCATGTGGATACAAAAGTCAGGGTCGTCAAACTTGTCATGACTCCGCGCTGTGTGTGCCTTAGCACTTTGAAGCCACAGGCTATTGCAACAGTATCCCTGTTTCAGGTTCAGCTGGAACCCTTACGGGAGTCACCTAGCAAGCGATGCTTTACTACAGTGAACCCTAGATAGTACGACGAGCAGAAGATATATTATTATTGTGGTGGTGTTGCGAGGCCGCTTGGCAATGTCTATGCATAGCTTAGTACAGAAAAAAAGACAGACTGACCTTATCAAACGGATTATCCAGCAGGATTTGTCCACAGGTTTCCACGCACTCCTCAAACTTTCGACGCCGTAATTGATTCAGGGCTTTGAGCATTTTGTCAGGATGGTCCTTTTTCTCCCTAGCCGCCGCATGTCCAACACGCTGGCTCACGCTTGCCGCACGCTGGCTCATGCTTGCCGCACGCTGGCTCATGCTTGCTGCACGCTGGCTCATGTTTGTCGTAACGCTGATTCTGGGTACAAGTTTGTAGTCAGCCACCCCACCAGACACCACTGACCAGTAATTCAGCTACACAACAGGTCACCTGCTGCCTGGTACTCCGAAGTAGGTGCTGTTTAGATAGGAGAAAAACATTCAATCCCATAGAATTGTTTGAATGACTATGACCACGATCACACTGAACTCATTCAGCCGCGGTGTACGTGGCTGTGCACATCTTTCCCGGATCCCGGTTACTTATCAGAGATTTCGGTAGTTCAATACTGGCGACAGCAGACGACTGCACAGAGGCAATCGCTTTGCCGGATGTTCTCCTGGGCTGGCTCTACAAACAGCTGCTATGTCTGACCAGCTGTCGTTGGTTAGCTTGGGGGGGGGGGGGGGGGGGGGTTGACAGTACGACGGAGAGGATACTTTGCTGTGCTCTGGAGTCTGATCTGGAGCTAGGGCTAGGGAGGTTTGGAAAGAAGGTTGATCTATCTCTGCATTCTCCTGGAAGGCTGCGTGCCGCTGACTGTGGCCCACTAAATGCACTCACGGGTGAACGGAACGACCTGAATAGAAGCAAACAAAAAAAGAAACGAAAAGAAAGCTTGTCAAGTCAGCGTCTCGGGTACACAGCTAAATCGTCTCCATGGCGAGAAAGTGGGAAAACCCCGCGCTATCTGTACACGGCGGCCCACACGTGCAGCAAACGTTCGAATTACTTTCATCTCGACTTCACACAATCATCGTTTGCAAGCACTGACTGTTTTGTTGGACTCAAAATAATTGGGAGGCCTGGAGGCGAGACACGAGCTGCTACTTCTGGATGGTCTCACTGTTTTAGAGCTGCTTTCAGTTGAAGTATTCAAGACCGAGAGCTCACGCTCTGGGTTCATAGGTCCCGGAGCCATGTTACTACGTGAAATGCTCGCCACTTCACATTTTTCTTTGCCAGACATATATATCTAGCTCTTGCTCAGCTGCAGCCTCACCAGGTATGTCGCAGAATAAGACGACGGTGTCGTCAACGCCAAAGAGCTGTCCGGAATGTGGTTCTATCCTTCGTTACTGTCGTATGAGCACAGATGATGCACTCTACTTGTGTAGCAAAGAGTCGGTGAGTTTTCTTTTCTTTTTTTCTTTCTTCTTTTTTTGTTGTTGCTAATATAAAGATGTTGTGTATTTCGTGTTTCATGGGGTACTATGTACGCTGGAGCAGTATCTACTATCAGGATATGATTTGGAATAATACGTAGATATTGAAGCAAGCAGTCACTCGTGCAAGCCACGAGTCGGTCATCCATGCACTGAACGTACAATTGACTCGTGTGCCTTAAAGGTGACTTGTGAAAACCGATTTAGGAAAGGCAAACAATAAACTCAGATCTCCCAATCACTTGCTCAACATGGGACACTTGTTCCCCAAAACTTTGCGTGCTTTCTCATCAGATGGCGTGAAAGCCCCTTAGAATAAATTGACTTGCCGCATAGAAATTGCAAAAACTGCTTTGCGATGTGCAATGCTGGATAAATCTTTCCCGGATTTACTCGTGCTGTAGTTGAATAGTTGAAAAGATCAAGAAAAAGAGGGAAATGGTTCGCTAGTGGTACTTGAAAGAAAAGCCATGCGTTAAGAGTCCACTAGCTATACCAAATCTTGAACAGTCGGACGTGCACAATTTAGCACAAAAACTGACAGGCAGTACTGAGCTACTCCACAGCATGATACTGAGTTTGAGCACTGATCGATAGTGCTAGCTGATGGTCTTTCAACCTGGACGGATCATGGTTATGAGTACAGTGTATCATGCCGTGGATCGGGTCAGTACTCCCTGTCAATTTTGTGCTAAATTGTGCACGTCTCACTGTTCAAGATTTGGTACACACGGAGTTTGTGCACTCTAGCACAAAACCTGTACCACAATGTTTCCTCTTTTTTCTTTCTAATGTTATCCTTGGCTCATTGTTTGAGTTTAGTCTCTTGTTCTTGCTGTAGTTGTAACTGTTGCTGTGTTTTTGGTTGTTGTCATGTGTCGTGCAGTGCGCCTACCCCCTGCTATCGCCATCGCTATCTGCATTGTTTGTCAAGATACCGGACTCACAGAAACTTCAAGTCACTACAAAGCGCAAGGCCGCTGCATGTAGTAGCTCTGCATCGTCGTCGCTGTCGTGCAGCCCAGCTTCGGCGATGGGTAGCAACGTAGGCCAGCGCTCGCCATCTCCCTATTCCGCTGCGGCACCTGCGGAAAAACAACGGCGGCAAAGTGCACCGCCATCATGGTCACGCACGTCGTTGCCATCATTCAAGAAAACGCCTCCTTCAACTAGCAGCACCCCATCGCCACTGTCGCTAGCTTCGAGTCTTGGAAGTCGAACCAGCTCTCCTTGCACCCCCAAGTTCATGGATCAAGACAGTGTTCCAACTCCGGAGGATAAGCAGTGGCAGCCGAATGCCGATTGATCTTCAGCTTTAAGCTGAATAGTTACCGGCAGCTGCTATATGGACAAATACATCTGGTGTGTTACCACATTTCAGATCTTACACCAAGTAGTTGCACGGTTCATAACACACTCTTGATTTTTGTGGCGTCTTGGCAAATACCATCGTTGTTGACAACTTGATTATTATTTGACCGGGTTATTTTGATCTACTAGTACCACCAGGCTGGGCCTGTATTTGATGATTTTTATGTTGCAATCCCAAATCTCCTGGACTCATGTGGGGTTGTGTGGAATGATGTACATTAACTGCACCTGCGGTGTAGCGGTGTATTCGAATACGGATTAGTCCGCCAGTATCTCAGACCGTAATGTTGGTGATGATGATATTCCGGAACTGATACCTTCATCTTGTTTTCCCTAATACCTTTTGACTACGTACATATGTACCCATTGCCAATCACAACCTGTACTCGTACATGTACTTGTACATCGGGGAGTCGTGGCATCTACATGATGAGGGGACGGAACGAGATCATTGTACCCGAAGCGATGTGCGTTTTGACTGCTCGGATTAGGAAGTTCTACGTGATCCTTGGTTTATGCAATTCGTGATCGCGACCTGGGCCTGCTGACCAGCCCAAGAGCTAGAGGCCTAGATAAGCGAACGATGCCATAGTATATATTATGCCGGCATGTATAAATCGGCCCTGTCCCAAGGGTGACTGTAACGGGCAGCCCCGGAGCAAAACCCGCATAGTATAATAGTAGCCCGGCGACCGGGTTGTCTCGCTGTACGCTGCAACTCCCTGGTGTTCACCAAGGAGTCAATGTTGATCCGCCCAAACCTTTTGTTTGAGTATTCGTATGGACTGGTATGGGTCTAAAATATCCTGAGCAGGTGACAGCCGGCGAACCCTGCATGGTTCGGTTGGTATGTGTACTGTTGGGCTCCCTGGATACAGGTACAGCAGTACGGGTTCCGTAACACGGCTTTTTGACCGCATTTTGTGTGAACCAACAATATTTTATTGTTATTGTACCATGATGTAGACTCTTCCTGTATGGCTTTGTCATTGCTTATGATCAAGAGTTCATCACCCTGAGGGTAATCTTGACATTGATATTGGCTGGTGGATGTCAGGGAGTCGTCAAAAAAGGGTACATATCCGACTCCCTGGACCCTGGTACAGACGTCAGTCACCATGGTCACACATGTACCTCTTGCCAAGTCTTGGTCTGGGTGCACGATGACGTCGCCTGTCAAAGTAGTAGTATATTTACTACTCTAACTCGTTGTCATGGCGGGATCAAAGCCTGCATTTGAAATCCGAAAATGAAAAACCCGATGGGCTTCATTCGTCTCTCAAAATCATAGACCGGTGTGATCTGGTTTCTCTGTGACCAGTGTACTGGTGAACAGCATCGAAGTATTCCTTCGGTAGTCTTGTTTGTAAGCTTGTCTCCCTCTGGCTCACATGAAAGATGGAGGTTACCGACGGCAACCTTGATACACTTGCTGTGTACCTAACTCAGACGGTGTCTGCAGATCCAGCCGTGCGAAAGCCAGGTATGTGTGCATGCGTGCGTCACTTGTTTGTGATAAGCCAGTGCACATTTACTGCTTGATGTCGAAATAAAGAAATGCCGAAAGCACGCTACATGTTTGGGTTGAAATCGAGAAGGCCTCCTCAAAAATTGGCTTGTGGAAATTCTGGAATTGTGTCACGAAGACCACCCACGTCCACATGCGGTCTTCATGCACTTTATACTGGTCTTGTAGTTGTTTTCAAATGTAATACTACAACATTTTAAATGCATTTGATGGATATAATTGTAGCGTGAGACTGTTTGCGTGTTGTTGAGTTATGACCTTCGTGACTGAATTTCCAGACCCGTTTCAGTAATAGTAGTACTAATACTATTTGTTGCCAATGAGCTTGAATACTTGGGTAAGCTGCAACACTGTAAAAATAATACAGAGCAGCATGCCTGTATAGATGTGTTTTGGCGTCACCGTCATGCAAAGTGGTGTTTAGGCCCGCCCCGGTCACACTACGCTGAAAATGCTGCATCAGCGTCTGAATCATGACTTTTTCCATGGCAACTGACGAAAACGCGGGAAATCTGGCGTCTGGCGCGAGCAAATCGGCTGCGTTGATGCTGCCGCTGCAAGCACTTGCACGAAAAAACAGTGTCTTTTGAAAATAGCGTACCGTACCTTACTCTATCGTAGCAATTTTGTTTGCCACAGAGTGGTTTTGTGAAGTACGCCAGGCCGCGCCGGCAAAAGCAATATGCAGTGCGGCTCCATGTCAGCGTCAATCGCTTGGGTTTGACGCTGCGTCCAGCATCAAACTTGACGTAGTGTGACCGAGGCCTTATGAACTGTATGCAGGATCATGGATAGCCAATACGATATGTTCGGGAAACTTCATTCTCTTTAGTTTTGGTTACAGATGCATGTGCATAGCATGTTCCATAATACGACCTGCAGCCGTGGCTGACCTCACCTGCACGCACCACATACTTCTAGAGCGTATCCCCGCCGCCGCAGGGTTGTGGGTTGATGCTGGCAGCTGGTTTGATGCGCATGCATGTCCGTGTAACCCACCGAACGCTGTTCTACTTTCTGCCATTCACATGATTTGGCTTCATGGCCCATTACCTGAGCTTTCAGGCATATTACTTAGTACTAGCAATGTAAGTGACTACAGGCAATATGGCCTTTGAGCAAAGCATCGCTTGGCGTTGCGCGGGTGCTGGGATCATTGTGCTTTCAATCCCGGTTTGAGAGTACACTAGCCTGCGTGGAGCTTCTGTACAGGTTCACGGGCCATCTGTTTCAAATCACTTGTGATATTGTAGTGCAAGTCGGTTACAGTTTTCAGAATGCAGTGGCTTTGTGTGTGTGTGCGTGTGTGCGCGTGTGTGTGTGTGTGTGTGCGCGCGCGTGTGTGTGTGTGTGTGTGTGTGTGTGTGTGTGTGTTGTTTCATTGGTTTGGGGGTATTGAAAAGGAAACGTGTGAAGAATAACTGACTGTCACTCTATCACGTAGCTTTAACAATTAACAGTGTAGTCATTATCCCAGCCGAGACTGTTCAATGTTTCCTTGAGACGTCGAAACTCATGCTTCCTGTGAATCAGGCTGTTTGGATGCAGCTCATTGTACTTACAAGTATACCCATCATGTACCACTTGGTCTGCAGAGAGCGCCAATTCATGAGAAATTGTAATGTTTCTGATATTCTGATATCCAATTTTTCATTGACTGCCTTCTGATTACAGCCGAAAAGTTTCTGGAGGGTGTTGAATGCCAGCAGAATTATGGCATTTTGCTGTTGAAGCTTTTCACTCGCCAATCTTCTGATGACATTGTAAAGCTTGCTGCTGCTGTTACTTTCAAGAATTTTGTGAAGCGTAACTGGCCAGTGGTGAGTTTAAGTGCTGACTTGCACAGCCCTGTGTCACAGTCTGGGCCTCTGCCTCGCTGTTGTACACACACTCGCTGTTGTACACACACTCGCTGCTGTACACACACGGGCTATAGTAGGGATATAGTGTACATGCACTTCAACATGCCCTTGTGCCGTCAATGTTGAATATACGTTTAGTTCTACATGCATCATTTTGGGAACATGCTACACATCAAACACGTGCCACTGCATTGGTTGCAATATTGTCTGTATTGTCGAATCACACTGGGTATTTTCGCTTTCCAGGACCTGTTGGTAATCATCATGTAATGCCATGTGTTTACTCTAGTACAAAGTAGACTGACTGCTGTAGATGCCTGTGTATCTGTACATCAGTGTGTGCACTCTGTGTACCTGTACATCATTGCCTGCACTCTGTGTATCTGTACATCAGTGTGTGCACTCTGTGTATCTGTACATCATTGTGTGCACTCTGTGTATCTGTACATCATTGCCTGCACTCTGTGCGGTGCCAGTAGGGAACAAGGCTGCAGCAGAGCATGCCAACAAGTGTGTATTGTGCTGTTTGTACATTATGTTTGTGCCATGCATTCGCAGAAAGAAGATGAGACTGACCGGATATCAGCTGCTGATCGTTCTGCCAGTAAGTTTCTCTTCCACTTAATATCCATGCGTGTACGAGTCGTATAGTGTCACTGAAAAGCATCAAGTCACCAGCACCAGGCTGTGTTTCATATGTTTGAGCGAGTTTTCATGCGATAGCTTTTAGGAGTTGATCCATAGGTTTACAGTACAGCTTTTCTTCAAAGCATTCCTTGCAGTCAACTGCAAGGAGGCAAAGTCGGTCCCTCGGCCTCTTTGCCATGCGCCATCTCAACCCTTCCATGACTATCCCACTTGTTTGTGGTGGTGTTGTCTTGTGCAGTCAAGCTAAATATTGTCAGTCTGATGTTGAGCATGCCCGCCAAACTTCAGAAACAGGTAAGCTGCTAGTCGTTTACATCAACCCTGCTCTTATCACTGGCCTGTACTTGTGTGTGTGTGTGTGTGTGTGTGTGTGTGTGTGTGTGTGTGTGTGTGTGTGTGTGTGTGTGTGTGTGTGTGTGTGTGCGTGTGCGCGTGTGTGTGTGGGGGGGGGGGGGGTACGGTAAATATAAATAAAGGCTGTCACTATTAGAGTCTGAGGAACTGAAAGGGAATTTCATTCATTTATTCGGTGCAGCTGAGAGCATATTATGAGCAAAAGACGGAGGTATTTTCAAGTGTAAGGAAGTACATTGCAATAGAGTTTATGAGTCCTGAAGATTGTTTTCTTCTTGTCTTTTCTTACACTGTGTTTGTGTCTTCACAGCTCAGCGATGCCATCAGTATTATTGGCAAGTCAGATTTCCCACGTCACTGGCCAGAGCTTTTGCCTGTAAGCCATTGTGAAGACTGATGTTGATGATGGAGCCTGTGGTAGGATCTTCCAAAGTGATAAGGGGCATGATCGATTGGGCGAATCCTGAGCACGTGCGCTCCGGGTGACCGTGACCGTTTGGCCGAATCCGGAGTAGGTGTACTTGGAGTGCAATCCGATCACCCTCCCCCCCCCCCCCCCCCCCACACACACACACACCGGGAGTGGCTGGAGTGGAAATGAACTTTGACGTTTTTTTACAGCTTTCACAGAATATCTGTGCGATATGGATACCATTGGCGTACTACACCCTTGATTTGTTCGATTGGGCGAGTGTTGCTCAGGCCACACCAACTACTCGCACTCAATCCAGATTCGCCAATCGGTGACACCCTAGATTATAGTTCTATGTTTGGTCTTTGGCATCTCAATCTCCCGGATCTGGGTCGATGTGTATTGCAGCGTGTACTTCATTCACGTATGTTGTTGTATTGCTAACTTCTTTGTTTGAATTCTTTTTCAGGAGTTGGTTCGCAACATGGAGCAGTCGAGCACCGACTTTGACAAGATCAATGGTATCCTCCAGACAGCTCACTCCTTGTTCAAGCGGTAAGAAATATTCTCGGACCTTGCTCAGGATTGTGCTTGTATTTGTGTGTGTGTGCATGTGTGAGTATGGGTGTGAGTATGGGTGTGAGTATGGGTGTGGTTGGGTGTGAGTATGGGTGTGGTTGGGTGTGAGTATGGGTGTGGTTGGGTGTTTGTGCATGTGTGAGTATGGGTGTGGTTGGGTGTGGTTGGGTGTTTGTGCATGCATGCATTTTTTGTGAGCTCATGTTGCCAAGAGATTACATTTCTAGTAGTTTGAGCAGCTTTAGTTTGTGGATGACCTATCCTGTTTGTTTGAATCATTCAAAGTACTAGTGCTTGAAGTGCGTTTGCAGGCACTATACATGCATTTTGGTTACGGCCATCAGGCTTTGTGACTATGTCTGCAGCCTCTCTATTAGTGCTGGTTTAGAATCAGTCATATTTTACCACTGCGGTGCGTATGTATCCTTTATTGGATTTTTCTTTTGGTCTTGAGAAATCAGGTGCAGTTTGGTGATACTTTTGCTTTGTTTCAACCACCAGGTATCGGCATGAGTTCCGTACCGATGAGCTGTTCTCTGAAATTAAGTATGCTATTCAAGAGATGGCCAAACCACTCACAATTCTTTTCAAGGTATGCGGACTTATGTGTTAGAGAGTACCAATCACACAGATTCCGTTTCATTTCTCTATGTGTCCTCTATTCTAATGATTGTTGTTTCAAATCTTTATTCTTACTTGTTGTTGTTGTTGTTGTTGCTGCTGGAGAGCTGTGTCAATGCTGAATGGTGATGCTTGTAGTAGTGGCCTTTAGTCTAGAATGTACTGTTTTCTGACTCGGATAACGTTGTGTTTGTGACTTGTTTCTAGTTGTTTCTGACAGCTACCTGGCGTTCTACATGTGTGCGTGCGTGTGTGTGTGTGTGTGTGTGTGTGTGTGTGTGTGTGTGTGTATCTGTGAAAAATGAAAAAGTACGGATTCACTGGCCAGAAAAAGCCACTTCATAGCTGTGTGGTGTAGACCAGGCTGAATAGTGGCGGTCAATTCTTCAGCCTTGCAAGCTGTTGAATGGTGCAATCCCAGCACAATTTGCTGTGGCTTCTGCTGTAGCATCGCTATCATTGCCTCCAGCGATGGGCGTCAAATGGTATCTGTGTATCTGCCTACTCTCTATGACAGAACACCATTGCACTGGCTGGTGAGCATGCAAACAATGCTGCTGCTCTGCAAGTCCTCTTCGGCTCTCTGGCGCTCATCTCCAAGATCTTCTACAGTTTGAACTACCAGGTATGTGTGTGGGACACGCATACATGCACTTGCACGTTTACCTAACTTGGTAGTCAGTGACTTGACTTTCAGTACACTGAAGTGCCTTATTGGTTACTACAGTCAAATCTGCCATTAACGACCTCTGCTGTAGGCGACCATCTACCGTTAGCGACCGATTTTCCGTGCACCGACGGTTTCACATACAAACCGATCTGTCCAGAGCGACCATCTGCTGTGCGCGACCGCGATTTCATGCACGATGGCTGCATTCAAATCTGCTGTAAGCGACCGCGACCCAGGTTCAGTCAGGTGCGAAACTGTACTTGCCAGTGCGCTGTCAACTGCAAGGTGTGAAAATGCGCTGTCTTGCAAGTGCGATCGACTGGCCCTGGCCTGTACTGAGGCTGCGCTGTAGCTCTCAAGATTAGCCCTGGTATGTGCACTATTCTTGGGTTTGTGCACCCCTATATTTTATTGAATATCCAATAAAATAATATTAAAAATCACATTATTCTCGTCGATTTGAGTACATGGAAGCATATATATGCATGCCCGGTATGCCGGATTTACCATACATCTGCCGTAAGAGTCCGCTTTTTCTTGCACCATGGTGCGGTCGCTTACGACAGATTTGACTGTAGTAACTTTAAGAAAAAAGTATGAGCATTCTGAAGCTCATCAGTTCGCAGATTGAATCATACCATTTTTTCTTCTTGTTATACTGGTAAATTGAGGCCCGAAGTATTGGGGATCAACTTATAACCAGTAAGATACGGTAATTCCTATCATGAACTTCACCACCTCCATGTTGACTGACTCTCAGTTCATTCTCCAACCAGTACAGTGTTGTTGTTTTGTAGCAGCTTCTCGTGGACTAAGCTTTGCTCTGCAATTCTAACTTGCATCCTCTGTTTTCCTTCTTGATACTTGAACTAGGATTTGCCAGAGTTCTTTGAGGACAACATGTCTATTTGGATGGACAACTTTCATCAGCTGCTCACTACCAACAACAAACTGCTTGAATCAGATGTAAGGCAGTTGCTGAGCGGATGATATGTTTGATGCTGGGTATTGTGGGATAAAGACGTGTGCTTTGTGTTGTGTTTTTCTTTTCTTGTGCACCTCTGCGTAAACTTGTGCTTCTGTGTTTCGAGCTGGGAACATGTTGCAATGGACATGGATATGTGCAAAACCCTTAATTTTACTAGTACATGTACACTGTACACGGTGTATGCGGTTTGAGTACAGCTGCTACTTCTCTGCTATGCTCATGTCTGTTCACTGTAGAGTGAAGATGAAGCTGGACCTTTGGAGAGGCTGAAGTCGCAAATCTGTGACAATGTTGCCCTTTATGCACACAAGTACGATGAGGAATTCCAGGTGAGCGTGTTCCTGGTTAGATTTACCAGCTCTACAGCACAGCTGCCTTGGCATGCGTTTTCACCATGCTGTTGGACCAGTGTGTTGCTGCTTCTGTCTGAGAAGAGGATGGCTGCTTGGCTGAAGGGGGAAATACATGAGAATAGCCATGCTGCAAGTGCTTCATGGTTCCCCCATGCAATGCATTGATCCCCCCATGCAATGCATTGATCCCCCCATGCAATGCATTGATCCCCCCCATGCAATGCATTGATCCCCCCCATGCAATGCATTGATCCCCCCCCCCCATGCAATGCATTGATCCATTGGTCCAAGTTATTAGTTACTTAATACCCTTGAAGATATTGGTGTGATTCTCAGTTCTGCGTAGTCAGTGTGTACATGCCAAACATGCCATTAGCAATAGCTGACATGCTTATCTTCTGTTGCTGCTGCTGCTGCTGCATTGGTGTTTAGCCACATCTTCCAAAATTCGTGGAAGCAACATGGAACTTACTGGTCAACCAGACGACTCTGCAAGTCAAGCACGACCTGGTGAGTTGCCTCCACGATCGTGTACATGGCTTCTCTTCTCTGTTGACTCATCTTTCTGTCTGCAAATGTAGCTGATTGCTGTGAATTCTAGCCTGTACTGTGGATTGTTGCCCTATTAGGAAGTCTTAACTAAATGCACTATTGTGCTTGACAAGTTTGGTGACCTTATAGCTTCACGCTGTCAACTTGTGCAGTACGACTACATCATGATTGCCAGTCGTGGTTGTGTTCTCGCTGTGCCTTGGGATTGCAATTACGGCTGAACAGAAACTGTTGCACTCGCTCCAAACACAAGTGGTTGTATTCTATCTACGAACTGTGACCAAGAAGGCATTATGATCACCAATGTGAGATCAAGTTAGAGCTCAGCTATTGTTTTCGACAGGGCTGGATCAGAATCATTACAGTACTGCCGGAGAGCCAAAGAACGGGCCAGCTAGGATTTCACCAAGCACAGTATACCAGTGTATACCCAGCGACTCAACTGTGCATAGACTGTAGTACACGTACATGAAAATAAGAACGGGCTAGGAGGCTGACCCCCAGTTCTACGGCACCCGACAGTATTGGAGTGGTGACCCTGCATCATTCACATTGTGGTTGTGTTGGCATTGTCAAGGGGCATGGTGAATGTTTTCTTGTGTGCTCTCCGTGCCTGTGTGCATAGCTCGTATGCAATGCCATTCAGTTCCTTGCGTCTGTTGCCGCTCACGACAAATACAAGACGCTGTTCGAGGCGGAGGGCACGCTGACCACCATCTGCCAGAACGTTGTTGTGCCCAATATGCAGTTTAGAGGTAAGAGCTGTCAATGTCCCTATTGTCAGTGTATTATACATAGCACTATACTCCACCTGAATTGGCAGACTTTCTTTCTTTTGGAAAGCAATATCAGTGGTGAGCTTATTTTGGTTTTGTTTGTATGATATTTGAAGGAGTCTCCCTTGTAAGTCCAAGTGGATGTCTTTCAAAGGACTTTCCTAGTTCAGCCAGCAGCATGTGTCTAGTGATCCTACCCCACTTACATCTTTAAGTGACCTTCTTTCTTGTCTTCTCTATGCCCCTTTCTTTCTTCTCGCTGCTGTCTAGATGTTGATGAGGAGCAGTTTGAGGATAACCCAGAGGAGTATATTCGACGTGACATTGAGGGATCAGGTGAGTGGTAACCCTCAGTATCCAGTCGTCATCTGCACATTTATGTGCTTCAAGTTTGCATTCTGATACTTCAGGGAGTGTTGTGCATGTGTTGTGTTGCTGTCCACTAGCACAGTATCCCACTATTGCCACTGTTGAAAGAGTACATGTACTCTATGGTTTAACCATAGCTCAATGGTTAGAGCATCGCTGGCCTCAAGCGAGGGTCCCTGCTTCGAGTCCAGGTGGTGACAGTCAATTTTTTCTTCAGTCTCTCCCCGTCTGCATCTTTCTCTCAAACCAATGAATACCGGTAGTATCCGTTATAACAAGGAGAAAAGGATGATTTGCTGCATCTTGAGTTTCACTGTGCTCGGGCAGCTGCTACAGTTGTGTTATGTGAAATTTGTCCCAAAGTTCATACTTGGTGCCCTGGACTTGCACGGCCCTGGATTCCCCAGAAGTGGTGTAAATACTGCGAGACGTACACATGTACAAATAGAGTGATGTAGCCGGACCTGGTCCAGGGTGCAAGCTCTAGTGATGTAGCCGGACCTGGTCCAGGGTGCAAGCTTTGTACATGATGATGTACTTCAAGTACTTTGGTTCAGATTTCACCTAGCGTAACTGTAGATCAAGCCAAGTGACCCAAACATGAGTTGCAGTGAATCATTCCTCTCTCCTTTGCCGTATGTTTTAAGCACACCTTTCTTAGTGTGCAGTTGAACTAATCTTTGTTTTATGTTATCTGATGTTTGTAGATGTGGACACCAGGCGGCGGGCTGCCTGTGACCTGGTACTGAGTCTGACTAAAGTGTTCGAAGGGCCGGTTACCGCAATCTTCAAAGCCTACGTAGCCTCTCTTCTTCAGGTCTGTTCCCTGTTACTTAGTGTGGATAATATACTCTCAGTCTCTGTCTCTCTCTCTCTCTCTGTCTCTCTCTCTCTCTCTCTCTGCTCTCTCTCTCTCTCTCTCTCTCTCTCTCTCTCTCTCTCTCTCTCTCTCTCTCTCTCTCTCTCTCTCTCTCTCTCTGTGTCTCTGTCTCTCTGTGTGTCTCTGTCTCTCTCCCTCCCACTCCCTCTCTCTCTCTCTCTCTCTCTCTCTCTCTCTCTCTCTCTCTCTCTCTCTCTCTCCCTCTCTCTCTCTCTTCTTGATTGATCGATACAATTGGCATTGATGTTTCGGTTACCTTTGTTATTGTCTGTTAGCTGCCATGTTGTTTGAGTAAACAGTTCCTGAATTGCTTAGAATCATCTTGTACTGTATGGCATTCCTAATTTCCTATCATCCAATCCCTCAACTGTTTATTTTGTACATAGGAGTACAATACTGACAACAAGAACTGGAGATGCATGGACACTGCAATCTATCTTATCTCAGCACTGGCATCCAAGGCATCAACAGAGAAGGTCAGTTGTCCTTACCCCGCTGATTTTGATTGTAAACTTATTCTCAACTACTGTAAATCAACAAATTTTCGCCGGTGAAAAACTTTCGCCGGTCTCCAAAAAAAACACTTTTCGCCGCCACTAAACTTTCGTCATAGGCGTGCAAGAGTCCAAAAAAGTGATCGATGTTTCGTGTGCGCATGTACTAGTAGTATAGTAGTACAAAGGTCCGTGTAGTTTATAGACCCTGTCTACTGCATGTACGCAGGTTTTACAGAGAGTCCGGCGGCATAAGAGTGACCCAAACTGGCATTTGGTTCTGGTGACAAATTTTGGCTGGCGATTAATTTTGGCCGATTGACATCGACCAGCGAAATCAGCGAAATTAAATCGCCAGCGAAAAGTTGTTGATTTACAGTACATGTACACTCGCTGAGTCCCCTGAATGCTTTGTGGCAAATACTGTAAGATCCTCTTTCAATATGCCCCTGTCCTAGTAAGCTCTGTTAACTCTTATCATAGACTTTTTTTCTTCATCCTTTTCGTTTATGTATTGCAGCACGGAGCAACAAAAATCAACCAACTTGTTGATCTCAACGATTTCTTTAGCAACACAATTGCGGCGCTTCTTCAGGCTGAGGATGGTGAGTGTAGACTTTGCATGTATGCCAGTGTGAACTAGTGCCATACAGAAGGCAAGGAAGTGGGCTGTGTCGGGCACAACTACTGTGACACGTTTATGTGGACTCTCCCACTTCACTTAGATGCAGCTGAGCGCATGTTTATATCATTAGTCCTCATCTGACCACATTCAACTCGTTCTCTGTGAGGTGAATGAGAGCGTATGACATTAGGCGGCTGCTCATGTGTCTTCGCATTGAGCCGGTTCGATCACATCACCATCATCATCCAGGGATGAATTTACTGTCACATTTTTGCATAGCAGTTTCTGCTATACGAAATCACAATTGTGTAGCAGTCTTTGATTTTGATTAGCATTTTTCTATGAAGGTTGGGTGTTTACCACATTATCCTTCTTGAGAGTGATGCCTGAAAGCCCATTTGCAGAAAAAGCGACTGAAGCATACATGTGCTCGCAGATTGAGAGTACCTGAAAACACATTCACTGCACTGTATGCATGTTACTTGACACCGCAGGCTACGCATGGATAGCCTGTATGTATCGCAATTTTCTGCAAGTCACGGTGACTTTTGAGTAGCAGTAGATCGATTTTGCATCGCAAACTGCGATGCGATACAGGATAAAATCATCCCTGTCATCTGATGCTGGGTATTAGGCGTTTAGCTGTGGCTCCTTAGATCGTTGCTTTTCAGCTGTGCAATTCGTTAGTCTTTTATGTGATTCTTCTGTTGGTGTCTGATTCAGCTGTGAATGCCTCTTCAACCATGTCTTGTGAACTCCGTTTCTATGTTCGCCTTGTCTGCTTCTTTTCTCCCCAGTCAATGACAAGCCTGTGCTAAAAGCATCTGCTATCAAATTCCTGGTCACATTCAGACAACATGTAAGGCTTGTATTTGGAGATTGATCCCGTCACCGTGTTTGGGGTGTCTGAGCCGACCTCCACAGTTCTACCGTATTCTGGGAGGGGGGGGGGGGGGGGCTGAAATTGATCTTACTTTCCTGCACCTTATACCTCAAACATTGAATGTGTCACTAGCAAACACAAATGTGGAATGTGGAATGTGCCTGCAAGAGCTTGGGTGGAGCCAATACCCCCAGGAAATACGTTTACAATAAGTGCCCCCTAGTTTCATATCAGGTTTTTTTCAGGAAAGTGTGGAGTTCATAACTGGCTTTGTCTGGTGTGGTAGCCCCTGTTGTGCATGTGTCACACAATAAATACCTGTGTAATAGCTGTGTATGCATCTACTTGTGCCTCATGTGTATGATCCAACTTTCTTGTCATGTTTGTGCCCTTTCTCACAGCTGCCCCGAAATGTCTTGTTGGCTGCGTTTTTACCACTATCCGCACATCTGGCCTCCACGCACACTGTGGTGCATACGTATGCAGCACACGGTGTCGAACGACTACTCATGCTGCAGAATCCTAGCGGAGGTGCACCGTGAGTTTCCGAAAATACATTCCTCTCCGTGATGTTGACATTGATTCTGTGCGACCTGCCCAAATTGTGAACTCCAAGGTTGCATCGATTGTTGAACTGTTTTTTCTTTCTTTCTCAGAAGCAAGAAGTTGGATTCGGTATTGGTGGCGTTATTCTCAAATTCTCAATCATCATACAATGGTATTGTGGCTAGAATCTGTTTCAACACACCTGTGCTGCACGTGTACCTGTCTTTGCTGTTGCATGCTGCAGATTCACAGGTGCCGATTTGGAGCCTGTCCTCAAGCCCCTTCTCGCCCACATGTTCTCAGCTCTATCACAGCCAGGATCGCAAGAGAGTGACTACGTCATGAAGGGTGGGTTGTTGTTTGTTCAAACTTTGTTCACTTTGTTATGCTGACTGATAACAACTCCTTCAGCCGTTTTAAAATTGTGTTTGACCTTGTGCTTGCTTTGCATTATCAAGAATCCATCACACAGCTGTGCTCAGCTTTAGGTTGACGACAACATTGCAATGAAATGCCTCACGTCAAGAGTTCTTCACTTGGAGTATGCAACTTGGCGATCCTCGGCCCGCAGCGGACTTTTTATGACAAGATCGGAGCTGCACACTCTTTTAAATTATGTTCTCCAGGTCACATGTTCTGCACTTTCTTTCCACGAGCAACAGTGGTTGTGCTTCCTGTTGCTGGTTGCAGACTACTATACTGTATTGCAGACCTGACCTTTACTGTAGGAATATACACTGAAACTTCTATTATATATATACTTGAAGTACTCAATCTGCGGACAGAACTGTTTCGTCCTTTGTGGACTCGTCAGCGCAGCACAGAGGAAATGAGGCCGAACCTGATAGCAATGGAAATAAAAATTTCCAATCAGGCCCGAACGTACCTTGCCAGAGTGCTCAAACTGACAAGTCAGTGAGCTCTGCATAACGCAAACAGCAAAGGCACTACCCCACGCAAGAGTGCTCAACTGCTACAAGAGCAGGAGTGAAATACTCAATCTGCGGACAGAACTGTTTTCATATACTTGAAGTATATGACTACATGCATACTATGGAAAAATATTCGTGTGATGAGTTGATCCTATGTACGACTGGATTTCCTACAAGAACATTGTTTGTCTGCTGGTAGCATCCCTCCTGCAAAATGTTTTAATGGAAACTAAATGTGTCTCCTCATCGGTGTCCAGTGTGGGAGTTGTGTGTTGATTAATGGGGTTGATGGATATGTCTATCTGTGTGTCTGTGTGCATTCAGCTCTCATGAGGACGTTATCAGCCGCTCGCGATCACATCCTGCCATACGTTCCTTCACTTCTTGAGCAACTGAAGGCCAAGGTCATCATGGTCGCAAAGGTAGATATATGTGTGTGTGTACGTGTGTGCGCGTGTAATGGTGTAATCCCAGCACAAGTTGCTATGTCTAACATAGCTGTTCGCTATCATCGCTTCCGCGATGGGCATGTCTGAGGTGTGCGCGTGTTGGTGGGTGTGATTGTGTATGTGCTTATTCCCCCCCCCCCCCCCCCCCCCCCTCCCCCTTCTTGTAATTAGTTCTACTTGTTCTTTGTCTGTCATTTCCGATTATGTGACAATTAGGCAGGCCCTACTGCTGTTCAAAGGTTTGTTGAGTTGAGAATGTGTGATGGTACAAGGCTCAGTGTTCACAGTTTGAGTTGCTTGACTGTGTGAGTGTGAGTGTGTTAGCATACCTGCCATCTGTGTGTGTGTGTGTGTGTGTGTGTTGTAATTTGTTCCTGTAGAATCCAAGCAAGCCCAACTTCAACCATTATCTATTTGAGTGCATCAGCTGCATGATCAGGTAAGATGTGGTTGATTGTACTTCAGTGCAGCTTCAACACAAGTATTGACAGTTTGTACCGGCAGTGTTGCTGCTGTGGGTAGTCAGTGTTGCTGCTGTGGGTAGTCAGTGGTGTTGATAAGACTGCATAAACAGAGTGTGCAACTCCGTATGTGAGTTTATTAAGAAAATCCCAATTGTTGTTTCTCACACCATTTTTCCAAGTGCTGTAGCTGTGATCCGCAACTGTCATCTTGCACTGCATCAGTAGAGCCTGTCAGGTTGTTTTACCGCATGCGTCTCTTGGCGTCAAGTACGATGTACATATATGACAAATTGTGCGCGGCTGCCCGCAAGTCGATTTGAAATGGCTCATCAATTAAAACGTCTGCAGATAATGACTCTCCTTGCGACACCATTTCTCTAATTTCATGCCCAGTCTTGAATCTATCCAACCATGGCCATGGCGAGTCTTGAATATATCCTATCAAGCCGAGCTGACCCTGAAATACAGCAGATAATGCATATTATAAATACATCGAACATGCTTTTCCTTGTCCTAAAAATCGTTGATATCGGCAGTGACTTCGTCAAATGTGTTAGCTGGTACAGCGTGAAATGACTCAGTAATGACAGGCAGGGGTGATAGCTCCTTCTCTACATTGCCAGAGACTTCTATGAGGAGACACGGCAGAAAACCCCAGACTTTGTAGTTCCTCACCGTGGGAAGCCCACCATAGACATGATTCTGCCCTGCAGTACCTTTGCAACAGTGGGGTTTGAGTAGGTTGTGTGACATGTAAAATAGTACACCTGCTATCAGCGTAAACAAATTCTATCTGAGTTTCGAATAGTTTCTCTGCATGCACTGCTGCTATTCTTGTACTGCAGATTTACTTGTCAGAAGGATGTGGCGGCAATTGGTCACTTCGAGTCTGAACTCTTCCCAATCTTCCAGATCATCCTGCAGAACGATGTGCTTGGTATGTATGGGGCAGTGTCAGTAGATGAGTAGGCCAGTAGATCATACATGTATTACTCCACCGTGCCATTATCTTGTATACCCGGATACATTGTACCTGTGTGCAAGTACTAAGAGTACGAAGGAGTGACGTTAGTTACCGTATTTCCTCGATAAATAGACCCGGTCTTTTGTTTTTTGAAGAGGGTTGGACCCCTGGTCTCTTATTTGGGCATGGTCCATTATTTGAGCACGGTCCACTATATTTTCATCGGCACATCGCTGGAAATGGTGGATTTTTAACACGTCATAAGATAGAAGTTCTATATTATGACGTGTTAAAAATCCACCATTTCCAGCGACGTGCCGATGAAAATATAGTGGACCGTTCTCAAATAATGAAAGAAAGCACTAGCCACTACAAAAATTGTAGTTGCGCAACCTAAAATCGCGTCCTTTTTTGATCCACCACGTGCTTTCTTAGTGCGCATGCGCAACGCGATGAACTCAAATAAGAGACCGGGTCTCTTATTCGGGCATGGTCTACTATTTTTCCGTGAGGCCTCTAGGAGGGTCTACTATTTGAGCATGGTCTATTATTCGAGCATGGTCCATTAATCGAGGAAATACGGTAGGCCTTGATTGCGATCTTGCACGTTGCACCGTCAGGTGTGTGTCTTTTCTTGTTTGCTGATCCTCATTCATTTGATGCATACTTAATGTATGTATGTCATTACTCCCCGGCCCTCCCCTATTATGCGGATGCAAGTTGTTAAGCTCCGCTTACTTTGGGTCCCTGTGGCAAAGAACTCTATCTGGACACACTAGGAATATGGCATTGAATATGGACATCGACCTCGCCTTGCTGACTTTCGAAGAGCTGCGGCATCTTGCCAAGCAACATCCTATTGACGGAGCCGAGTCAAAGAGCCGAGTTGATCTTGTGGTTTCCCTAAGACAAGCTGGTGTGGGTGTGACCCCGATCGAGGCCTATGAGGTCAGTACTAGTAGTAGTCTGAAGTCTCTAAACGTGCTTGTATGTGTAGTGATAGAGTTACAACTTGAGCAAGCGAAGCGTGATAATGCCATTGTTTCTTCACTTCGTGATGAGGTTTCCAGCCTAAAATTGGAAGTACTAGAGCTGAGGAACTTCACAACAGGCGCACTTTCTCAAACTGCCAATGACACCCACAACCGTCGCACAACTGCTAACGAAGTTACCGTAGAGCCCTCCCTGTATGAAACTGACACATCCATCGCCATTGCACCGCGAACACAGCACACCTCCACATCGCAGCATGCACGCTCAAGTTCAAATGACCGTACTACCAGTATGCACTCGCAACCACGTGCCGCTTCCCAGTCCAGAGACACTACAGCACCTAGACCTGCTGGCAACGATCACGTCACTACGGACAGCAGTTCCCGCAACAAATCAGATGGACAGAGCTCTTGGGTAGATGTTGTACGACGTTGGGTCACATCTCGGTACGTCAAGCCTATGCCCACAGTCGAGACAAACCCTGTAGTCCTGACAGGCGTCGAAAAGGTGAACAAAGCGATGTTCTATGTAGGAAACGTCCACATGGGCTGCAGTGCCGACTCCATCAAGGATTGGTGTAAAGAGCGTGTAGTGGATGTGCTCAACTGCACCATCTTGGAATCCCGCACCTTCAGAACAGCTTACGCCAGAGTCACATTCCCAGCCTCAGCTACGGAAAAGGTACTGGGTGACGCATTCTGGCCTGCAACTATCCAGCACACCGTAAGAAAGTGGCGGTTTGCAGATTCAAATACGAACAAAACATTTTTGCATGCAGCCCAGCGCTCAGACCTTGACTCTCCCCAATGCAAAACCATATGGGTTGAGCTTGGAGTTCCTGCAGACCTGGGTGCTAATCCTATACTCATTGGCTGTCAGTATCGCCCTCCTTCGCAATCCCTACCTGAGCTTACCTCATTTTGTGACATGATGACGGATACCCTATGGTCTGTAGACCTCTCATCCGTTGATATATTCCTCACTGGTGACTACAATGCTCACAACTCTGACTGGTGGAGCGGTGACGCTACACCACGCGCTGGAAAGGAACTTTCGCTTATATTCTCCAGCTTCGGTCTGTCCCAGCTGGTTGATTTTCCCACTCACACCTCTCCTAACGGAACCCTGTCTTGCCTAGACCTGCTCGCTACCAATCTTCCCCAATCTGTATTCTCTGTCGACGATGCTGCCCCGCTTTGTGCGTCCGACCATTCACAGGTAGTTACCACCCTTTTCTACAGAACTGTAACCCGAACGCCTGCAAGGGAAGTGCCATGCTATCCTGCCCGTAGTTCTGCAGCTACTCCATACAACTTTGCGCAAGTGCCACCTTCTGTCTGGGTAGCAGTAAATATGTATCTTTGCTCGCTCAACTGGTATGATCTCTGATGTGTTCTTGTCTTCCGATTATTATGTTCTTTCCTTTTTCTTTCTTTTTCCTTCTCTTGCCATGACTGGCTAACGCCCCCCCCTCCTTTGCATATGTGTTGTTGTTTGTCTGTGATGTGTTGTTGTTGTTGTTTGTCTGTGATGTGTTGTTGTTGTTTTTTTTAATTCTTTATTCTCACGTTGTTGTTGTTGTTGTTGTTGTTGTTGTTGTTGTTGTTGTTGTTGTTGATGATGATGATGCTTGCACAGAGTTTCTGCCATACGTCTTCCAGATCCTGTCACTGACGTTGGAGATACATCCAGCACCTATCCCTGATGCCTACATGGACCTGTTTCCTCTGCTGCTTGTGCCAGCTCTGTGGGAGAGACAAGGTATGCACCGAGCACTACCCACACTGTACGGTGTGATGATCAACCCGATAATGTACTGTATTGTCCCCTCTGAATAGATGTGCTACACTGTCTCACTGATGGTATGTGTTCAACTGTCCGCCTAAAGATGATGTGCTGCAGTGTCCTATAAAACTTATACGCTGCAGCGTGCCACTGAAGATATACACTGCAGTATCACGCTGATGAGCTGTGTACACTGCACAGCACTCCTTGGCAATATGACTATAGTGCAGTATACTTTACTGCATGTACTGTACTGACAGAACAAGCACTTGAGCTCGTCCAATGTAAACTTGTGTGCTGCCACGTTTGTTACTGGCAACTTCTGAGTCATGACCTGACTCCTGCCTGTGTGTTGTCATTCTCTGTGTCCTGTGTGTATGTATGAAGGAAACATCACACCCCTTGTGCGCCTCCTGAAGGCCTACGTCTGCAAGGCAGGCAGCCACATCATTAGCTTGGGGAAAATGGTATGTGCCTGGTCTGCGCAGTGAGCAGTACAATGCGTTGACTGACTAGCCCAAGTAGGGACAGTGTGCAGCTTATTGCAATTGTATGACTTACTGCGAGCAGAGTGTATTGAGCTCACAGGCTGATTTGCACTCACCCGCTGTGTGTGTGTGTGTTTGTGCGTGTGTGTGTGTGTGTGTTTGTGTTTGTGTGTGTGCCTGTGTGCTTGTGTGTGTGTGTGTGTGTCTGTCTGTGTCTGTCTGTGTCTGTCTGTGTCTGTGCCTGTGCTGCAGGAGCCACTTCTAGGTGTGTGGCAGAAGCTGATTGCGTCCAAGACAAACGATCACGAGGGCTTTAGTCTTTTGCAGGCAATTGTGGAATACATCCCACAGTAAGTGAACAATTTCATTAGTTTTCTCCCTGTGCATGAGTTTTCTGATGCTTTCTTTTATATCAGATTAGAGCTGGTCACCAAACTATAGCTACCTTTTTACTGTTTTGCAGTGTGTTTTATGCTGGCATGCTGCTTTCTTGCATTATAATTGTAAGCCGGTTTAGGTGTTCGGTATTTGACGACAACTGTACATTTACATGTACAGTGCTGCTCAATGAAATCAGATTACGCGAGTCAAGTTAGTACCCTGCACCAGTGCACAGATGGATGTCCGCAGACCAGGCACTGCATAGTGCCCTGCACCAGTGCACAGGTGGATGTCCGCAGGTCTGGTACTGCATAGTGCCAGGCGCGTACTTGACTCACGCCATCAGATTTCATTAAGCAGCGCTGTGTGTGTGACAGTGTAATTGCTGTGATGGTGTGAATGTTGACTGGTTTGTACAGAGATACCCTTGAGCCGTTCCTCGGTACTCTATTCACGTTGATCTTCCAGCGTTTGACAAGTGCGAAAACAGTCAAGTTCGTAAAAGGTAGAGTGTTGTGTGCTGTTGTTGTACTTCGTGGTATGGAAGTGTTGTGTTTGGTGGCTGTTTCATTGTTCCTTCTTCTTGAAATACGTATTAGCAAGAGTACATAACCAAGAGTGTGCAACTCCTATCTCGAGCTGTGATGGGTTCACCCACGGCGGAATTTTTTTATTGCTTCATTCTTTGGCGGAAGTGTGATCAAGTGCGTATGCTTTCCCGCGCTTGTTTTGTAGATACGGTGAGAGTTCATTATGTTCAGGACACAGCGGTCCTTCATCTGTTGTTCATCTGTTGTTCATCTGTTGTTCATCTGTTGTTCATCTGTTGTTCATCTGTTGTTCATCTGTTGTTCATCTGTTGTTCATCTGTTGTTCATCTGTTGTTCATCTGTTGTTCATCTGTTGTTCATCTGTTGTTCATCTGTTGTTCATCTGTTGTTCTGCTTCCACTACCGTAGTCGTGATGTCTAAATTCTTTGTACTTTGATCTCTAGCTACGCATTATGGCATCAGTGAGCCAAACAGCTGCCCAAGGCTGATGTCCTAAACAATATTCCTCCGTGGACTGGGGGATCGTCGAGTTGCACACTCTTGGTATTACACAAGAGAGATTGGAAGCTTTGTCACAACTCTGAGTTTCACGTATTACTACGATCATCAGGCAACTTGGTATCAAATATATCCTACAGTATGGTGTATGTGGTTGTGGTGCTCTTGCAGGTCTAATTGTCTTCTTCAGTCTGTACGCTGGCAAGTTTGGTGGCTCGGCGCTAATCAAGCGCATTGAACCACTGCAGACAGGGTATGTAACAAGCATAGAGGTAGAAGAGAATGTGAACAATAGTGACCTGGCGGCATTCACTTGAAACTGACGAGAATCTTTCTCTGGTAAAAGTTTGCCTACACCTTGAGGGAATTTGACTAAAGAATATAACAAGAAATTGTGAGACTGGCTACCATTTGATTATAGCATTGCCTGTGCACTGTACTGCTTGAAGCTGTGTTCCTTTTTAGTCACATCAGCATCTGTGTGATCCCCGTCTGGCATGTTATCTGTGTGATCCCCGTCTGGCATGTTATCTGTGTGATCCCCGTCTGGCATGTTATCTGTGTGATCCCCGTCTGGCATGTTGTCTGTGTGATCCCCGTCTGGCATGTTATCTGTGTGATCCCCGTCTGGCATGTTATCTGTGTGATCCCCATCTGGCATGTTATCTGTGTGATCCCCGTCTGGCATGTTATCTGTGTGATCCCCGTCTGGCATGTTATCTGTGTGATCCCCCCCCCCCCCCCCCCCTCTGGCATGTTATGTATGTATTATGCTTTGCTTGTCTGCACAGCCTGTTCAACATGGTCCTGGAAAAGCTTTTCCTCTCAGATCTGCAGAAGGTATGTACACCACCAGTCCATGCACTACAACGTCAGCATGCAGACATGCCAGTAGCACAGATGCCTGTAGCACGTATTTTGAAAGAGAGAAAAAAAACGTTTGGGTGGGGGGGGGCTTGGATAATCATTCTGTGCTCTGTTGTGGTGGTAATGGTGGCACTTCCATCTAGTTTGTTGACTATAGCTGGGTTCCGTTTACACTATGTAATACTTCATCTGCATCCTGTTCAATGTAATGTGTAGGTATCCGGACCTCTGGATCGCAAGACTTGTGCTGTTGGTGTGACCAATCTGCTGACTGCAACACCGGAAGTTCTCAGTGGTACCTATGCTTGCTGGTAAGTTAGCATGAAGACCGGCAATTCTAGGCAGCTGTGTGACAAGAGCACAGTAGTAGCATGGCTCATGTAGCACCCTTGTATTGCCTGTTTGGTGGCACAGTAGAATACTAAGAAAGTGGTGGACATCACGCAACTGCATCATGAAGAAAAGGGGGTTTGTCAACTGACAACCGCTCTAGTCAGTTGCTATTCACAATCGCCGCATGCGCTGAATAAAAAATTCTTTATTGTGATGTCGAAAAATTATAACGTTTCGGGCCAGTCACCCATCGTCAGAACCAGATTGTGAATGCTGTGTAATTGTCTCATCGCCCTTGAGTCGGATTGATGGCATTCACTGTGTGCATGTCACTTCAAAATACCTGGAATGTGTACGGTTGCCGCGTGACTGTCCATTGTCTATCTGCTTTTTTTCATGTCTCCACACGCTGTCTGTGTTGTGTTGTCCAGGCCGAATGCACTGGTGGCACTTGTACGCCTATTTGAATTGCCAGAGGAGGAGGACGGTGATGCTGATGAGCATTTTGCTGAGATTGAGGATCAATCAGGTTAGGCAATGATCAGTGTATAGTGATTTGTATAATATTATGATGTGTTACATAATATAATATACATCAGGGATTGCTATTGAAGCCAGGGTTTTCTTTTCTTCGAAGTGAGTGCACCAAGGCTGAAGCGGCATGTTTCCCCATGTGCTTATGGCCTTACGCACAGCAAACTTACGTTCTATGCTTGTGTGTGTGGGTGTGTTTGTGGGTGGGTGTGGGTGTGCGTGTGTGTGTGTGTGTGTGTGTGTGTGTGTGTGCGTGTGTGTGTGTGTGTGTGTGTGTGTGCATTATGAACCGTCGTGATTGCGATCATCTAGGCTATCAGACAGTGTACGCGGGACTGATATTTGCCGGCCGGGTGCGACACGATCCTTTCCCAGAAGTTGCCGATGTCAAGGTTGCTTTCGTCAAATCTCTACAGACTATGCTGGCGCAGCACGCACAGGTAAGCTGATCTGCTGCCGTCTGTGTCTGTGTGTGTGTGTGAGTGTGTGTGTGTGTGTGTGTGTGTGTGTGTGTGTGTGTGTGTGTGTGTCCCATTTTGGCAGTGAGCAAGTACATGTACAAGTACAAAATGTGTGTGCTTTGGGTTGGTTTGCACAATACCACTGTGATATGATGAGTGTCAAGCCTTGTGCCCCTCTGCATCACGTGATGGGTTTCATGTCATAGCAACATCACTGCAATGCACACACATTGTTCTTACAATTGAAAGCAAATGGTTTTGACCAGGGAGTAGTAAACTATACAACTATTGTACAGTCAGACCTCGCTTAACCGCACACATCCGTTTTCCACAAAAATATCCGGATAGGCGAGGGAACCGGATAATCGAACACACATACTGTGTGTGTGTGCATAGCATACCTGTAAATCGGTGACCAACAATTTTCTTCCGGATGGCGAGGGATCCGGATAAACGAGAACCGGATAAGCGAGGTCTGACTGTAGTGGTATTTACTACTCCCTGGTTTTGAGACTGCTTTTCACTGTGCAGTTCAAGGTGAAAGAGCAATTCTGCTTGTCAGCATTTCCCACTGTGTAACTAACATAGTGACATGTAGGCCAAGGTCACATGACTAGTACTGTGTACAGGGTGAACATGTATATGTAGTAACAAGTATTGCACCCATTGTGCCTCTTTCTTCTGCTGTAGTTCGTAAAAATCATCCAGGCCTCAGTGCCAGCGGATGTCCAACGTTGCATACGCTTGTATTTTGAAGGAACTGGCACACCCGTACCCTTCTGACTTATCTAACCTCCTCTTTAGACAGTTGTACATGTTTACATCATCCCCTTGCTACATCATCCCCTTGCTGTCCCATGAAATATCCCTTTATACTGGCTTAATTTCAGTGCCTTTAGAATCTTCATATTGAATTTTTAAGTCATCCTTCAAGCAAACAATTTTGCTTGCAAACAGAAACGCTACACTGCTGTGCAATGCTCATTTGCCTCGCTGAATGCTCACTAATGTGTGGTGGTGTTCTTGCCATGTTTTTTTGGCGTTTTGTTGGCTCTCTCACGCGCGCGCTCTCTCTCTCTCTCTCTCTCTGTTCTTGCTCAACTCTGTCCTGCTGTTCTTTATTTTGCGGATCACTTTGTCAGTGCTATGTTTTGCCTAGGCAACTAGCTTTCCTGGCTATCTCACAGTTTTCACTTACAAGTACTACATGCACACACACACTGCTAGGAATGACTGGCTCTTTCCTATTTTGCGATTTTGGCCATGGTGTGAACGAAGACTTTACTCTGGAGGCTCTCTGTACTCCTGTTTCACACTGTCTCCGTATGTTTTTGTCTTTTCTTTCTGTAAGCCCAATGATCTTGTTCTTTGCCGTGTATTTGAGTTGGTAGAGCTTGATTTCAAAGCTGCGTGTATTTAAAATTCTAACAGCTACTAACACTGCATTCACTGTTGCTTGTTGATCATGATGTGCTCATCCATCCAGGTCTTCATTGTTCATGTCCAGCAGTATGATACCTGTAATTCACAAAACTCTATACAGATAACTCTGTGTTCTGCTTGTGTGAACGATAGGACCAGGGAGTCGTCAAACAGGGTATTTGACGACTCCTTGGATAGAGCTATAAAGAGTACATGTACTAGTATTTGTTTACTTGAAAAGAAAAAAAAAAAAACCGTTGCAAGCCAGTCGGTGTCCCCGCGTGCACACACCTTCATGCAGTCCCAGCGTAGAGTGTGTTTTAGTTGACAATTATTAGAATTATTTGGCAGACTACTGCATGCTGCTGGTTCGGAAGTTAGTTTTGGATGGTTTATAAAGTATGGCCTGCGTAGTACTGAATTAAAAATAGTGGTGCAGGGATTCAGATGTGAACATAATAATTATGCACTTCTCTAAAAAAATTACAACAAAATACAAGAACTACTTCATGCAGAAGAAACACACGAGGCATATTTACAGATCAACATACGTGATGTCTCCCTATCCAGCAAATCATTACAATGCAAATGTACACAGCAGGAAATTAGCACACATGTAGCTCAACACGAGAGCGAATGAGAGAGAGAGAGAGAGAGAGAGAGAGAGAGAGAGAGAGAGAGAGAGAGAGAGAGAGAGAGAGAGAGAGAGAGAGAGAGAGATTCACACCTTTGTACAACAGACAGCCATATGCAGATAAAAAGAAGAAGAATACAGTACAGCCATGTGCACTGTATGACTATGTTCATGAATTTGTATCCGGAGTAGATCCAGAGTGCATAACCCCCTACCCCCGTGGCACAGGCAGCTATGCACTTGGTATGAGAAGAGGAAAAAAGCAATGTAAATCAACTGTGCGTGTCAAGAGTGTTCCTGCAGCATCTGCAGGTCACTGGCAAGCAAGTTACGGACTTTCTGCATTGTCTCCTGTGTGAGCTTGTCCATGGCATCCAACCGAGCCTGATATTCAGTGTGTTGCTGGTGCAAGGCTGGTAGATCGTTGAGAATCAAGCATTCCTTGATATCACCAGTCAGTCGTAGCAAGGCCTCACTAGCACGGACCTAAAACATGGAAACACACAACATTACAGTAGCAGAAGCAGGAAGGTTACATAATTATAGCAAGCGTGAATATTATACACATGACATTCAAAGACGGATTCAATTCACGGGATCCATGTGCAGTTGAGTAGCGGCAAAGAAAGAGAAAGAGAGCGAGCGAGCGAGCGAGAGCTGTGGTGTACCCGTGTACATCGTACATATTTGCACTCTCATGTTTCTTATTATGCTACTGCATCTCCTTGCATGGACGTGCGTACAACCTTACAGCATACTACTCATACTATGCATGCATGTGTGTACTCCGTGCCCATAATCGACAGTGCATGTCTCTTGTTGCTGGTCAGTCTTTCCTTGGTAGTTTCCTGACGAGTCGTCCTCTCTGTCCTTCGTTGCATTATTCTATTTCAATATAACTAATCATCACATAGACTTGATGATACCACATGGCGCAGTGAACAGGATCTTGTTTTAGTAGCAGTTTCCATTAGTCTTTCTCAGTCCTGGGTCTTGCTAGTACTTGTACCTCTGGCGTTTCGTCTCTCAAATATAGTGAAATAATTATTTGAAATTTCCGTTTCGGCATGGCGGAATCAGACACACCAGTACTCAGCCCTGACATTGCTGCCCTCACCCAGCTCATGAGACAGCAGATGGAGACCGCCGCCACCCGCGAGCACCACCTGACACAGCTCGTGGAGCGAACTTTGAGGAGCATTTCTCAACCTCCACCACCGCAACGTCCACCCCCAGCCCCACCGGCACGAGATCATGTACCTGCGGCGAGACCAGTTTCGGTCGATCGCCCTATGTTACTTGCCTCTGCCTCTCTCGCAGAGTTTGCCGCATGGGAAGGTCTTTGGCGGGACTACGCCCGGTGCCAGCACCTGGATTCCCAGGACAATGCCACCAGAGTGGCAACGGTTCGTCAGTGCCTGGACGAGGACCTCCGGAGATTTCTTCGTGAGGGCACAATTCCTCTGGCTGACAACCACGACGACGACGATCTCATCAAGGCTGTACAGGCATACATTCGCGGCCAGCGTAACCCTCTGCTGGACCGGATCGCCTTCTATGCCCGCCAACAGCAGCATGGAGAGTCCTTCGATCAGTACCTGACTACCCTCAGGGAGATCCACAATTGCTGCGATTTCAGCGAAGCTGCACTCTGCAATTTCTGTTCAAGCCGAGTATGCCGCCAATGCCAGCAGGGACAGCGTACCAGGTACGACGAGACCATGCGTGATCGCCTGGTTACTGGCATTCTCGACACGGAGACACGCCATAAGCTCCTTGCCACTACCGATCTAACGTTGGAGAAGGTCATTAAATTGTGTCGAGCGGAGGAGGCAGCCTCTCGGACGAGCAGCAGTATCCCCGGCACTAGCTCCGTCAATGCTGCTCGGAAAACAAATTATCAGCGGTCAAAACACGGCAATAACCCGCGACAGCAACAGGCGTCCGCCACGCCATCGCAATGTCCGAATTGTGGTCGCACTCCCCATGCCAGCAAGTCGCAGTGTCCTGCACATGGCAAAAAGTGTAGCGGCTGCAAGATTATTGGACATTTCCAAGCGGTGTGCAGAAAATCCCGCAAACCGGCTGACCAGTCCTCGCAGCGCACGCTGGGACGACTACAGCTCCGCCGCGCTCAGTGTGATGCATCTCCTACGGTGCCGGTCGACACGCAATTGTGCACTGAACCTGACGCTACCTCCCTGGAATGGATCCCCGATACGGGAAGTGACATTGACGCTATTGGCGTCGATCAGTTAGCGCATCTCGGTGGTTTTGTGGAGAATCTGGCCACAGACCATGATAATGTGCATGCTGCCAATGGTGAACGTCTCGTTTCAGCTGGCAAGATCTCTGCCACCCTCACCATTGGCTCGCTCAAGCATGATAGCACCATCCATGTGTACCGTGGACTGCGTGAACCCCTGTTGTCACGCCAATCGCTATACGCCTTAGGCCTCTTACCAGACGGCTGGCCCAAGCAAGTTGCGCGTGTTTGTACCAGCAGCACACCACCTCCAACGGCTCCCGTTGTGACGACCGGTCTCGTGAACAGACCTGACCCTAGCAAGCTGGCGCAGATCCGTGCTGACCTACTGCGAGAGTTCGCAGACGTCTTCGACGACACGACATTGAAACCCATGTGTGGCAAGCCAATGGACATCATTCTCGAAGATGATGCGAAACCTCACCGAGTCTACACAGCTCGTCCTATCGCACATGCCTACCGTGAGCAGGTGAAAACCCAGCTCGACAATATGGTTGAGGAAGGCATCATCGAGACAGTGTCAGAGCCGTGCGACTGGTGCCACCCCATTGTTGTAGTCGACAAGAAGAATTCTAGTGAGAAACGTCTGACTGTGGACCTTCAGTCTCTCAACCGACAAGTGAAGCGTCCCACCCACCCCATGCAGAACGCACGTGATGCTCTCTCTGGCATCGGCACAGCCCGATGGTTCACCAAGTTTGACGCCCGTCATGGCTATTGGCAGGTGCCCCTGTCTGAGTCTGCCAAGTCTCTCACTACGTTCATCACGCCGTGGGGTAGATACCGATTCTGCCGGAATCCACAAGGTCTTGTGTCCGCCGGCGATGAGTACAACCGCCGCACCGACGCAGCTTTCGACCGTTTGACCCATCTCATCAAGGTGGTGGACGACGGCCTCGTTCACGATGAGTCATTCTCGGACCATGTCGCTCACGTCCGTGCCGTCCTGACCCGTGCACGCGAACACGGAATTACTCTCAGTCAAAAGAAGTTTGTCTTCGCCGCTCCTGAAGTCGAATTCTGTGGGTTTCATGTGTCGTCCAACGGATACACCGTGCCAGCTGACAAGACATCGGCTCTTCAGCACTTCAACCTACCCACCAATCGTACCGACCTCCGTTCCTTCCTCGGTCTGGTGAATCAGTGTGGAGAATTCACCCCACGGATATCCGAGCTCGCAGCTCCGCTACGTCCGTTATTGAAGACCACGAATGAGTTCGTGTGGGATGATGTCCACACCGCGGCTTTCAACGCCACCAAGTCTGAACTGATATCGCCGCCGACTCTCTCGTACTACCGTCCTGGTGACGACCTTCGGCTAGAGACCGACGCCTCTGCCCTGAACGGACTTGGGTTCGTGTTATGGCAACGCCAAGATAACCAGTGGCGCATGCTGCAGTGTGGCAGCCGCTTTCTCACCGACGCAGAGACACGTTATGCCGTCATAGAACTGGAGTTACTTGCTGTGGTTTGGGCTGTCCACAAGTGCTCCCTCTTTCTGTCCGGCAGCCGATTCGATTTGTTCACTGACCACCGTTCATTGGTCCCGATTCTGAACAAGTACACCCTGGATCAGATAGAAAATCCACGTCTGCTACGCCTCGCACTGAAGCTCCGGTCGTTTCAACTCGTCGCGCACTGGCGCAAGGGCAAAGAGAATGCGTTTGCTGATGCACTGTCCCGTAACCCGGTCGACAAGCCGACCAGTGAGGAAGAATTCGGTGAAAGCTCAACGCTCTCAGCACCAGCCATCAGAGCATGTCTCCGCCAGGACGAGGATGGCCGAATTGCAGACCTCCGGCACTGCGAGCTCTTGGACGCTGCCCGTGCCGATGATGACTATCAGGCCCTTCTCCAAGCCGTTCGTGAAGGTTTCCCTGATGATCAGCGCGCCGTCCACTCAGCTGTGAAACCGTACTTCACTATCCGCGAGCATCTTTCAGTCGACGGTGATCTTGTCCTGAAAGGCCAACGTGTTGTGGTCCCGCGTACCCTCCGCCCACGTGTGCTCCAGGATCTTCATGCCTCCCACCAAGGCCTCAACCGCACACAGCGTCGAGCTCGACAAGTCGTATACTGGCCACACTTGTCTAATGACATCGCCCAAGTCGTTCGCAGTTGCGAACAGTGTCGCTTGCACGCTCCGTCTCAGTGTAAGGAACCGATGCGTGTCACCGCTGACCGCCGTCCCACCCTGCCATTCCAGTCAACCAGTGCCGACTTATTTTCCTGTCAAGGTTGGGAATACCTGGTTTACGTCGACCGTCACACTGGCTGGCCTTGCATTGCCAAGATCGGCCGCACTGCATCTTCTGCCGATGTGATCCGTGTGTTCCGTGGCTGGTTCGCCGACGTCGGTGTCCCCAGCATCCTCACCACTGATGGTGGTCCGCAATTTTCATCACGTCGCTTTGCTGAATTTTGCACCCGATGGCAAGTTCAGCACTCCACGTCTTCACCTCATTATCCTCAATCTAATGGCCATGCCGAAGCCGCCGTGAAAGCGATGAAATCACTTGTGTTGAAGACCACGTCCGACGGTAACTTGGACGTCGATGAGTTCAGACGCGCATTGTTAGAATGGCGCAACACCCCCCGAGAAAATGGTCAGAGCCCAGCCCAAGCACTGTTTGGTCGACCATTGTCCTCCTTCGTGACAGCTCATCATCTCAGCTTTGCTCCTGATTGGCAAGCAAAAGCCACCGATGTTGACAAGCGCTCTGCCGCTCAGTCTGCCACCCAAGAACAGCATTATGATGAGTCTGCCAGATCACTGTCCCCACTTCGCATTGGCATGCGGGTTGACATCCAAGATCCGCGCACCAAACTCTGGCGCACCACCGGCGTGGTCGTCGCCATTGGTCGCAACCGGGACTATATGGTGAAGTTACCCAGCGGCCGTGTTTACTGGCGCAACCGTCGCCTTCTCAAGCCTGCCCCTGCCGTAGCCCCTCCTGCTCCGCCTGCAGACACCTCCCCGGCTGAGCCCGCAGCACCGCAGCAGCCTTGTGTGCAGCAGCCTCGTCGTAGCCAACGGTCTCGCCAGGCACCAGAGCGTTTGAACATTTCGTCCACAGCATCTAAGTCCTATGCTTGACTCTACCTACCTGTACCTCACACTCTTGCTACAAGTAGTTGGTATTGGTATCACGCTTCATTAGTGTTTACTTTCTTTTCTGTCACTTCTGTTTTCTCCTTCTCATTTATGTGAGATAAACAGCTCCGATTTTTCGCTTGTTTATCTCAGAAGGGGCGTGTGGTGTACCCGTGTACATCGTACATATTTGCACTCTCATGTTTCTTATTATGCTACTGCATCTCCTTGCATGGACGTGCGTACAACCTTACAGCATACTACTCATACTATGCATGCATGTGTGTACTCCGTGCCCATAATCGACAGTGCATGTCTCTTGTTGCTGGTCAGTCTTTCCTTGGTAGTTTCCTGACGAGTCGTCCTCTCTGTCCTTCGTTGCATTATTCTATTTCAATATAACTAATCATCACATAGACTTGATGATACCACAAGAGCGAGACAGAGAGAGAGAGAGAGAGAGAGAGAGAGAGAGAGAGAGAGAGAGAGAGAGAGAGAGAGAGAGAGAGAGAGATGCGAGACACGTGAGGGCAAAAACTAATCAGCAACACCTTCCAATCACCGGTCAGCGTCCAGTAAAGTTACAACATCGGCACAAAATCAACACGAGGATAAGGTGACTCCTAGCTATTGGCTGACTGTACAGCGTGTACACACAGTCTAGTACATGTAGAGAGCTGGTCCCTCATGAATAAAGTAGCACTGCGTTCAAGGACACAGTCTAGTGTTCGTGTCTTTGGCTTGTGCAGCAACTGGACCAACTTTATCCACGGCGACAAATTAAATTTCACATGGCAGCACTGCAATAGGGTAGCACAGTGACAAAGCAGTACAGCAATACATACCATGTTAGATGCTCTGACTTGCATCTGCTGCTCACTGTGTTCCGCACTGACATTGTCTGCAATCTGACTTTCATCCTCAATCTGTGCGTGCACGTGAACACAAATTACAAAAAAACATGAACAATGGCTGTTGTTGTCAAGGGCAAACTCCAGCCATAAGCTGTTGACTGTCGAATCACATCAGGTGCACACCCAGCAACCAGGACCAGTGAATGCTATTTCCAGTCAAATGATCCTGGATAAGGAGACCACCTGGTAACAGAGACCACGTTTTGAAAGTCACGTCTCGAGCAGTCGTTTTACACAGGTTTTACTGCACCTCCAAGCGCCGTAAAAGCCACGCTTGTGCAAAAGTGATTTCTTGTTTACGGGCCAGCAGCTATAGAGCACACTACCTAAATGACGTCAAGGCCGTGCAGTTACACCCGCACAAAACGCAAGACCAAAAAGTTCAACAACCACACCTAACCTACCGTTCATGAGCTCAAGCAGATCAAGGAAAACCGGTACGGTAAATTGAGAAACTGTGTTGTGAATGCAAGGACACAGTCTGTGATGCAGGCAAGAAACAGTTACCCTGACATTGTAATGTAGGCACTGCACCACACGCACCACACCGTGACTGTTAGCATTTCAACCACAGTTTGACAATCACATGACCACCAAAAATGGATAGCGGACCAGAAAGCTAGCGATGAGCACCCCCCCCCCCCCCCCCCGAACAAGATACCGCACACACACACACACACGCACACACACACATCCACATGCCCTGATAGCGAACAAGCTATGTTAGACATAGCTACTTGTGCTAGGATTACACCATTCCGCAGCGTGCAAGGCTGCCGAATACTCACACCACACACACACACACACACACACACACACACACACACACACACACACACACACCACACACACACACACACACACACACACAGATACACGCACACACACATATACACGCACACACACACACACCATGTACCATGTGGCACGTATACACCCGTACCGTCGCAAGAGACCGCAAATCTGTAAATGCACTGGATGTGCACCCACAGATTTTCTCTTATACATGTACTGTTATAGCTGCGATAGCACACGCGGCGCGGCGCACACACACATACACATACACACCACACACACACCACACACACAAACACACACACCACACACACAAACACACACACACACACGCACGCCTTCAACCATGGGTTCCTACTGACCTTCGCTGATTTGAGAATGGCCGTGAAGTTGTCAAGAAGTGATTTTATAGCTTCACGAAGTCGGTTGGTCAAATGTACTTCGTCCAACTGAGACGCACCAGTACGAGTTGGCCTGCTCATCGCTCACTACACAGTGCGTCTCCCGCAAAGTCTAACTGATTGTATCACAGAGTCCTCTCATTTCCATATCCACATAAACCACATTGTACTCCCAAGAAAACAATATTCCTATCACACTGTTTGATCAGCTCGTACGATCGTAGCACATAATCATTGGAATTGATTTTTTGAACACACGATTGTACTATTTATTGTGATGCAGAATCTTCAAGATAAACGCAAGATGAACAGGAGTAGTCAAGGTAACGCGTGGTGGCGCTGCAAAAATCGTATGTGCACGTGCCACACAAACACCAGTTTTGTGTTGTGTGTACGTAGACTACGTGTGGTTCCTTTTTTCCTGCTTTTTCATCACTCGCAAAACTCAAAAGCCCGCAGTGTCATGTTTGAATCTTCTTCAAAGCAAGTTAGTTTTGGCCTTGGATGTCAAGTGTCAGTGTCTACTCGGCGCTCACCCTGTGCTTGTCGTTCAGTACTTATAGAGAATGGGTTCCGATTCATCCCTTTCTTTGCTTCGAGAGTGAGTTTCCTGACACGTCCTTCTCTATGTAGCCTTTCTTTCTCGGGACGTTTCCTCTGAGGAAAGCTACCCTAGTTCAACTCCAACTCCAGCATGAAGTTCTTATTATTGCTGTTTGGCGTGTGTTGGCTGCACACGACCGGAGCGTTTCTCGCGGAAATGTTCCCGCGAGATGGAAGAAAATGGCCATATGGCCAGCCCAAAAAGCTTGAGTATCGGAATTTGGTGCCAGTTAGCTTGAGTGACGATTGTTTGAAAGCTATCAATGAGTCTGCGTTCTTGCCAGGACTGAAACATTTGAATCACTCCAAGCTTGATGTCAGTAAGTCGGGGGAAGATTTGTTGCAATTTTGTTTCTTGCTCTTCAAGTATCAACTGCTAGAACGGCAGTACATGCACATGGTTTACCCCACAACTAGGCACAGTCAGACCTCGCTTAACCGCACACATCCGTTTTCCACAAAAAGTATCTGGATTGGCGAGGGAACCGGATAATCGAACACACATACTGTATGTACAGTCAACTTCGCTAATAACGACTGCGGATATAACGACAATTCGCGAATAACGACAGAATTTCCATGCCCAGAGCAAAGTCCCATCCCACTGTAATACATATAATGAGACTTCGGGTATAACGACACTTCGCGAATAAGGACACCTTTTTGATGCCCCGCCGAGTTTCGTTATAAGCGAAGTTGACTGTATGCATGGCATATGCTGTAAATCGGTAACCAAATTTTTTCTTCCGGATGGCAAGGGATCCGGATAAAAGAGGACCGGATAAGCGAGGTCTGACTGTACTGGACTCAGAGACACTGGTCCAGTCATTTGCATCAGTGCAGTGGTTAAAGCACTGAAGCATTTCAACCAATCGGTTTTTCCCATGCAATGTTTAGAAGAGGGAAGAATTGTAGGGTGTGTCGACCAAACTAGGAGAGGAAGACGAGATTATGAAGCTTGAAGAGAGAGAGAGAGAGAGTGTGTGTGTGTGTGTGTGTGTGTGTGTGTGTGTGTGTGTGTGTGTGTGTGTGTGTGTGTGTGTGTGTGTGTGTGAAAGAGAGAGAGAGAGAACAACGTTTGGATTAGATATTCGAAATGCGAGGGAGAGCATGCTCATCGCTACCGTTTCGTCTTTTCTGCGCTTCTTGTTTCTGTACATGTACATGTACTAGTAGTACCTTTTTCAGGAAGGGTAGGGGGGGGGGGGTGCGGCTTGTCAGTGGTCTGCCCCTGGAGATCCAGTACCCAGCTAATTGCCCCGACCTGGTGCAAGTACGGAGCATACTCATTGCGGCATAGTATGTCGCGAGAGGAGCCTACCACTTGCTCGGCCGCATGGCTATCAGCTGCCCATGCATAGGACGAAGTGAGTAGCACTCAAACAGAATGTGCGCACCTCGCTGACTGCGGGTGACTTGGTCGTTGTACAGCCTTACGGCGTAAGGACGTGTCTGCTGCGAGAGGGAGTGCAAGCCTCAGTCTGCTCAGCCTCCGAGTTTACCAACTCTCTCTTGTGGGGCAAACCGAGTCTGTTCCAGGTCAGAAAAAAGCTTAGCGCTGGCCGCCTGCGACTTGAGATCATGTGTAACAACAACAACGGTCACGTTTAGCTATATTCAGACTCGGGGCATGCTGGTCCATTGCTGGAACGATGAAAAGGGGGAATAGGATGATGGGCTGCATCCAGCTTCCTGTGGATGTTGAGTTATCCATAGGTGTGCTGTGCTTGTGTGAATGCCCAACACTCGTAAAACACTTGCCACCAATGTAATTGTTTGTGTGTGTGTGTTTCAGTGTTGGATTCGGTGGGCAAGCCCGGCGCTGGTCTCCTCTCTCGCAACTTCCTCTGGTACGGCAGCTACCAGCAGTGCACAGAGCTCACCGGTACCAAGTACTGTCTGAATACCATGATTGTCAATGGAGATAATCTGGGAATCAAGGTGCGTAACCGGTCATACAGGAACTACTGTAGTAGGCGAATGTGCTCAATAAAGTTATCGCATGTTATATATCGTAGTACATTGATTTTAGACCTGAGCGGATAGCTACAGTGTGTTTCAAAATATTGACCTCTAGACTTTTTCATATTTTGGTTCAAGCTTTTTGAGAAATTTCTTCGGGATAGTGCTCGGGCAATTCCCTCGATTTTTTCACAATAGATTTCTTACCAATTGAATAACGAACGCCCAATTTCGGGAAATTTTATGCACAAAGGGATCACAGATTTTATGTGGCATAGATGCTAGCCTAGCGGTTTTTTAAACCAAAGGTCTATACTTTTGAAATACACTGTGTCTAATTCAAGTATGGTCAGGTGTACAGTATGGGTAATAGTAATATCAGCATCTACATGTCTCATTACATCTCACAATATGTGGGCCCCGTCCCTGCTCAGCCAAGGATTCAATTTAGTTTGGAATTCTAACTTTGGATGGAAGCCGGTTGTTCTGGAACTTGGTTTTTGTTCTCAACCCTTTACCGCTTGTACGCGTATGTTCAAATTTGATAATATTTGTTCTTTGGTTCGTTTGTGATGCAGCCGACTAAGGCAGAAATAGGAGTGTGTATTCCAGATATCTGCAATGATGATGATGCCATCAATTTTCTTTGGTCTCTGGAGGCAGGTGAGCTGCGACACAATCATTTCTGCGCACATCAGTTTGGACTGACTCTACTCTAGAATATTTTGCGTGTACATCATGTACTCAATTACTAGCTGAGTGCATGATGTACAGTGTACTAGTACTAGTAAATGTAGGATATTCTAGTAGGGCTGAAACGATTATACCGAATAGTCGAGTACTCGTTTGATAACTCTAACGATCAAGCAATCGTTTAGATTACCGATTACGATTATTTTGCGTTTTTTAAATTTGTGTCCAGAAAGTACTGTAAACCCTCGTTTTGTGAAGTTTGAATCAGTTTCCGCTGGGAGTATGCAGTTGCCAGGGGTATGGTTCATGTTCTGAGGTTAAATTGACTTCAAAACTGCCATGTTTCGGAGCTACCCTTTCACTAATGCAGATTTGTTGGTATTATGAAGGCATAGTTTGTGGAAACAGTGTAATGTTTGCACAGAATTATGACTCTATTTGCTAACGATTATAATCGATTACTCGATCGTTAAGCTAAAGAGTAATCGATACGTGAAAATCCACGATCGTTTCAGCCCTATATTCTAGAGTACATAATTCTAGGATATTCTAGAGTAGAATCACTACTGTACTGTGTAATGTTACTCAGGGTCAGCTACGGTGAGGCCCCCCCCCCCCCCCCACACACACACACGCACACATTGTCTGGGCACGTTGATTGTTGTGCTCTCAATCTGGCCCAAGAGAGGAGTCCTGGCTGTTGGTCATGCACCATACAACATGTGTGTTGTACACACAATGCACACCGCATAGTCGATCTTTACTCCTGTCATTTAGATTTCCAAGCAGCAACTAGCGGGCATTGAAGTAATAGGGAAGTGTTGGCCGCCATGGCCTTCGCCTGTCTCCTAAGTAACACATCCACTTGTACTTTGCCTTGCAGCAAACCAACACAGTGCTTTCTGCATTGACATTGCTTGTATTAATGTCTCTAATCCAGCACTTGTTCTGTATGTCTTGTTGACTGGTATCCGCGGCATCTTGTGTAGTTGTTCCCACTCGGTGGAAGAAGGCATATGCTGCACTGGAAGTGTACATACTTGCTTTTGTCGAGAAAAATGCTACAAACACTGTATGTGAGACGGAACAGCCCCTGGAGAAACATTCTATAGCTGGTCTGTAAGTTTTCACGCTCACACGTGTGTACATATGTAAATGTGTTGCATAGCACAACCTTGTCGGGAGAGGGGGAGCTTGTCAGCTCAACCTACAAGGTTACCAACTCTCTCTCTCTCTCTCTCTCTCTCTCTCTCTCTCTCTCTCTCTCTCTCTCTCTCTCTCTCTCTCTCTCTCTCTCTCTCTCTCTCTCTCTCTCTGACCAGCCGCGCTGGTTTCAACTCAGAAAAAAGTGGAGTTTAGCTTTGGCCACCGGGGACTCGAATCAAGCGTGATAGCTATGGTCACGCTCCGTGATGAATCGTACTCGGGGTGTGACACATGTATGATGTATGTATGCGCATGAAGCTGGATCACTTTGTGAAGAGGTCATGGGCTCCCCAAAAGTATGCAGCTCACTCTGGGCATAATATTAGGTGTGCCGATGTCGAAAACTCGCATGTGATACAGTGTTGTAACTTGATGTGAGTTTTGCGATCTGATTTCTTGGGAGTTTAAATGTGAGCTGTTGATAAATACAGCATGAATACTAGTATAGTATGCCTATTTCAGTCTTGGGAGGTGTTTCCCCCACAACGCTGGTGTCTGGGTAGATGTTGAACCTGTTGTTGATGGTGTGAGTTTACATAGGCTGATGAATAGAATGTCATGCTAGTTTTTATTGTGAATCCTGAGCAGGGGGACTAGCTCACATGGTAGAGCGCTCGCTTAGCATGCGAGAGGTACCGGGATCGATACCCGGGTTCTCCAGGCAAACTTTTTTTGTTTTACTAGTATTTAAAGTTTTTTAAACTCATAGGTGACTGGACATGTGTATGGTGTGTGTGTGTGTGTGTGTGTGTGTGTGTGTTTATCCATGCATTGCGACACACAGTGTTGTGTGTAGCTGCATCATCGTTCTCTTGTTGACCGGATCTATTGTCGACTGGTACATGTCGCAGCCACTGCCTATCCCATCCTCGGCGGGTTGGATGAAAGGAGGCCGCAACATGTTTACCTCTCAGCGCACTGCCACACAAGCTCGCAACATTAACGACGGCGACGAGACGGACCCACTGATCCGTGCATCACCGGCTATGGGCCTTCTCAGCTCGCAAGTGCTCAGCTACCCAGACAGACGTAAGCCTCTAACGTTGTATAGTGGAGTGTTCTTCTTCACCGCCCTTTTCACCACTACTTTGCAATGCTATTGCTTGTTGTGCGTGTACATGTAGCTGTTTCTTGCTTGATTTTGTGTGGTATTATCAATTGCTTTTGTCTTGGGGGTGTACTCACAGGTCCTGAGTGCTTCTTCATTACCAGCATGCATATGTACATACATGTACAATGCATTCATAAATACCATACGCCCTGTTGAATAAATCAAATAAAAATATTGATTTATTCAGCAGGGGCTTGTTAATGTTTAGCAAGCCTGAAAAAGCTCCTCCTCAATGGAAGTTAAATCAGTACTTGTAGTTGTTACTTGTCATAATGATTGGAATACGGAAATCAACGTGGGTACAAACTTGTTGAATTACTGGTTGAACTAAAAGATCGCTTGGACCCTCACATTGGACCAATCACCTACTGAAGTATTTACCAAGGGCACCGAAAAATCACATGTGTACAGTCCATTTCAAAACTATAGACGCGTACCTAGGCAAAAACCGTTATGCCAGCATCTATACCACATAAAATCTGTGATCACTTTGTGCATAATTTTTTCCAAATTGGGCGTCTGTTATCCAATCCTTTAGAAACTATATGAGAGTAATTGTGGAGCGATCCTGAGCAATATTCCGAAAACTATTCTCAAAAAGTTCCAGCCAAATTTGAAATATTTCAAAAACCCTACGCGTCTATAGTTTTGAAATGCACTGTAGAAAGTGCCTTACCTCAACACCGGTTTACTGATCTCTTTACTGTGCTTGCAAACCAAGTTCAATGTTTTGGTATAGAGTGCTTGATTACCCGTTAGCATGCAATGCGGCTGTCCCAATTTTGGAGTGAGTGCAACACAGAGATGAAGACCTCAGTTAGGAGCTGGTGTGACCGCTAGGTACAGTGAAAGAGGATATCTGGCACTGTCTGTCAATGTCACAGTGTGCATCCCTTATGTGTATGCCCTGTACACTTCTGGTGTGAAAGCTCTCTCGCGATGATGTTGTTGTTGTTGTTGTTGTGCTGGTTCAGATCGGGATACGTGGTACAGCCGTGCCCTGCGCTGCTTCTCGTTACAGCGCAATGTGTTGTTTGTTCTTGACCCGAAGCACAACACCGGCACTGTCCCCTGTCTACACGGCATACGTGTATTCAGCATGGCCTGGATCATCCTCGGCCATACCTACTTATGGCCACAGTTTGTAGGCTGCTGTAAGTGTCACACTCGATGGTGTCTACGGTGCACATGGGGATGACTACTTTGAGAGTGATATAATTGTTCAGTGCAGTGTACGGTCAAAGTCATACTTTTTTAAGTTTTTATATTAGTATACACCTCTGTGAGAAGGCAGTGAGTGCTCCGGAAAACGAAACAGGTTTTGCACACTGTGCTTACTCAGGCGAGCGATTTGTGTGTGTGTGCGTGTGTGTGTGTGTGTGTGTGTGTGTGTGTGTGTGTGTGTGTGTGTGTGTGTGTGTGTGTGTGTGTGTATGCTTCTACACACGTGTGCGCTTGCATGTGTGATGAGTGCAGCCAATCTTCGAGAAATGTCCATAATGACGTCGCAGATTTCGTTTCAACTTGTGCTGAACAGTACATTTGCTGTGGACTCCTTCTTCGTACTAAGGTAATGCATGCATGTGGGTACATGTGGGTCCTGAGGTATTGCATGCGTGTGGGTACTGATGTCATTGAGTCACTCGGTTTAGAGTGTAGACCATGCCAGCACATGTACATGTGTTACCACATTGATACAGGGACAGGACTCCATCTCTCAGTGTCATATGACGGCTCAGAACCCGGTTGCGTGTGGCCGTTTCCACGTTGGACTAGAGTAACAAGCCAACTCCTCTTTTCAATGGCTAGGTCAGCCATGTCTAGTCTCTGTAAGGTGAATTAAAAAAAGCTGGTAAAACGGATGCCACGACGAGCTTTTCGTCTTGGAAGCAGGATTTTATCTCTATTCAAATAGTGAAATGTGCAGGGGTGCACTGATCACGCATGTTGTAAGATGGTCTTATTATAGCAACTGTGACAGGTTTTGCCAGAACTGATTATTGCTATACGATATGGATGTTTTGTGGGAGATTTGAAGAAAAACTGTAGCATTGGGCTAGATCTGTCCTCTTTGCTCCCTGTGTCTGTGGTGGCACGTGTGTGTGTGTGTGTTTGCATGTGTGTGTGTATGTTCACATGTGTGGCCATGCATTCACAGTGGGATGCTTGTGATGTTCTGGACACTGAGGCGTGTGGGCAATGATGGCGGTACATTCTCGGTTGTCAAGTTCTACGCTCACCGGTTCTTGAGGTCAGTTTGTGTTTTGCTTGTTTGCATGTGAGCCATTGGGTATGTGGAAGTGCGCATCTTATTCCTTTGAATTTGCTGCTTGGCTGTGGGCATTTCTGAATCATACTGGATACAAGATCGGTACCATTTTTCAAGCATACAGTCCCACTGTTGCTCTGCTGGTGTGCGCCGGAGAAGACATTCTGTCACGCCTTTGCCAGGATACCGACCGGGGAAAAAACTGACCACCACGAGAAGCATTGGAAGAGGATGGTCTCCCAGACAGTATGGGTGAACGCTGGCGACGCTTGTTCCAAGAGCTGACGGCTTTGTTCAATGCTTCTCGGAGCATTTATTTAACGCTTGCTAGAATTCTCTGTCCACTCTGCACTCCACTCGTTGCGCACACATCCGCACACTCACTCATACGTGTACACCACTACTGAACACGTCAACATTGCCAGTGGGGGCCACCACGGTGCAAAGACAAAAGATCATTACGAGGTTCAAACTTATCTCGTTTATCTTGGCTGCTGTTGCTCCTGCTAAGGACTCACAAAGGTGAGAAAGAAAAGACCAAGGAAATAGAGTTTGAGCACGGGCAAATCTGGCACATGGAGATGTGAGAAAATAAAGGTATCTTGGGAATTCTCATTATTTTAGCTGGAAAGAGATAGATGTCAGGCCGAACATACACACTGGCACAGTGAGCCGGAACCTCTGCGGTGCAACCTGGATAGTGCACGGCACAGTGGTGTTTTGAAGTGAGGTGTGAGCCTGTTTCTGCTCTTCTTGCCATGGTTGCGTGTGCTGTCAGGTTGACACCAGCCTACATGTTTGTGTTGATGGCGTGGACAACGCTGGCGCAGTACTGGGGTGAAGTACCCTCATGGAAGAGTAACATGGAAGATCACCGCATGTGTGAGCAGTACTGGTGGACTAACCTTCTCTACATCAATAACTTCTATCCTCCACACTTGAAAGGATCCGTAAGTTGAAGATTCTGCTACCGATATGCCCTATTGTGCTAGGCTTACTCCTGGTCTCGCTCGGCTGTCGCTGATCCATACTCTGCTTACTCCGCTTTATGGTTTGAGCTTTTTCTATTTAATGTGCAGCATGACTTGTTTCTTGCCTATTATAGTTGTAGCTGGGAGCACTATCCTTCGAAGTGTTGCGCGGGGTAGAAACAGATCCGAGTTGGATGAGTATCAAGCTGTAAAGTACCAATGCATGCCTCTGCTGTTTGATATCTGTTCCCTACTTTCTATCATTTACTTACGGGCTGTGTTGTCTGTATGACTGTGTGTGTGTGTGCGTGCGTGCGCGCGCGCGCGTGTGTGTGTGTGTGTGTCACTGTGTGTGTCACTGGTGTGTGTGTGTGTGTGTGTGTGTGTGTGTGTGTGTGTGTGTGTGTGTGTGTGTGTGTGTGTGTGACTGGTGTGTGTGACTGGTGTGTGTGACTGGTGTGTGTGACTGGTGTGTGTGACTGGTGTGTGTGACTGGTGTGTGTGACTGGTGTGTGTGACTGGTGTGTGTGACTGGTGTGTGTGACTGGTGTGTGTGACTGGTGTGTGTGACTGGTGTGTGTGACTGGTGTGTGTGACTGGTGTGTGTGACTGGTGTGTGTGACTGGTGTGTGTGACTGGTGTGTGTGACTGGTGTGTGTGACTGGTGTGTGGGTAGGTGTGTGGGTAGGTGTGTGGGTGGGTGTAGGTGTGTGGGTGTGTAGGTGTGTGGGTGTGTGTGTGTGGGTGTGTGTGTGTGTGTGGGTGTGTGTGTGTGGGTGTGTGGGTGTGTGGGTGTGTGTGTGTGTGTGACTTTTTGGATACCAGGCTAAAAATAGTGGCGGTCAATTCATCAGCCTTGCAAGGTGTTGAATGGTGTAATCCCAGCACAAGTTGCTATGTCTAACATAGCTGTTCGCTATCATCGCTTCCGCGATGGGCATGTCTGAGGTGTGTGGATGTGTGGGTGTGTGACTGGTGCATGTTATGCTGTGTGATTGTATGTAACTGCTGTGTGTGCTGTCTCACAGTGCCTTGGCTGGACTTGGTACTTAGCTCTGGACATGCAGTTCTACATCATCAGTCCACTGGTCATCATGGCTGCCTACAGGTTAGCAACACCTCACTCCTCAGCTACAGTTCTGGCTAATCATACCCACTGTTGTACACAGTTGTTTGTTTAGAGAATAAGGCTGCGTTTACACGGAGACGAAACGAAACGGAACGAAAACGGGCTGGCCTCGAATCGTTTTCAAACCGTTTACACGAGAACGGCAAATCGTTTTGAACCGTTCACACGAAAACGGAAAACGGGCGATCAGGCTGGAGTTAGCACTTGCTGGCTTGCCGCAAGGGCGGGAAGTAACACGTTAGTTGGAGTTGGTACGCGCTGGTGGTCGCAAAGGTCAGGTATTTCCCGCGAAATATAGTCCCGCGCGGAATGGTTTCCATGACCGCGCTCCGTTTCCAATCGTTTTCACTGTTTTCACCGTTTACACGAGAACGAAAACGTTTTGAAAACGTTTCAAAACACTTTGAAGTGCGTTTCCATTTCGTTCCGTTTAGGTATCGTTTTCGGGCGTTGCCGTGTAAACGATAGTAGTAAACGCAACGATTTCGTTCCGTTTAGGTCCTACTTCGTTGTCGTGTAAACGCAAATCGTTTTCAATCGTTGTCGTGTAAACGCAGCCTAATAGAGATGATATTCAAATGTATTGTTATTTCTGTAGATGAACCTTTCAGGCTTCCAGGTTGTGGATGGTCATTTTTTGACACTGTCAAGTATGACTGTGTCTTTTTTCATATCTTGTGTTTCTCTCTTGTCTCTGCACATGTGTCATAGGTTTGGTACTGTGGGCCTGTCTGTGACTGTTGCTATTCTGATGAGTGGCAGCCTGATAGCCACCGGTCTCATCGTACGGATCTACAATTTTAGAATCGATGGTTCCCAACTGCTCATCAACGACATCTTTACAGATGAGTTTACGAACGGGTGAGTGAGTACCCTGCCCTACTTGTTATTGTCTGTTGTTTGTGGAGATTCACTCTCAATCTGGCATGATGCGTTTCTCCCAGTTCTGTATGTGGTTGATAAGTTCTACCAACCAGCCAATGATGTTATTCAACAATGACACCTTGCCTACTTCGATTGTGTTTTTCTGTTTTGATTCATTCAGTGCAATGGTATCCACAGCTCGTGACTCGTATCCGTCGAAAGTCTTTGACAAGCCCTACTGCCGCATTGCACCCTATCTTGTCGGTCTCTGTATTGGTTTCCTGGTTCGACGACTTCCGTCAGTCAGCACAACTACCTTCTCAAAGGTTCGCTGTATGAACCTTGCTTTCCTCTCAATTCTTTAGCTAATATTTCTGTTGTTTGCGCAGCTGTGAAACATGTGCGCATGCACACACACACACACACACTTGTACTGTACTTGCTCACTGCCAAAACTGGTCACGTGGGTCTCCCCGGGAGAGGGGAGAGAGACTCCAAAGGAATCTTGGAAAGATGACTCAATTGGCCATTGAACCACCCAACGGCCAACACCCCCTGAAATCCCCAAACTAGGGTGGACTTGAAATGATCCCACTTATGGGCTCACCACACCTCAGTAAGTGGGTGAGGACAAGGTGCAGAACACACACACACACACACACACACACACACACACACACACACACACACACACACACACACACACACACACACACACACACACACACACACACACACACACACACACACACTTACTAGTACTTCGGGAGTACGGGGCAGGGGCTTTACATGGCACTGCAATAGTCACCATGTCAATACAGTTTAGTGTGGAAAAAAGATCCAAGCCTGTTTATAGCTTTATGTTGCTTCATGCTTCTATGTTGTGCTTGGTCCAGTTGCAGTCCATTTCGAAAATAGAAGCAATCAGTTTTTTTTTACAGAAAATGCATGAAGATAGGGGAACTCGAAAATGGAATTACAATGACATAGGTCTTGTTTTGGTCTTGGATTTGCTCTGCTCTGCTCTTATGAGCATTGGGCACTCTTCCCAGCCGGAGGACTTCTCCTAGATGTTGCTTGTAGATATGGCTGGCAATGTTTTGTTTTTTCTTCACGGTTTTCAGTGCATGTGCCATTGTATGATGCGATACCCTAACATGTACATACCCTTACCGTAGGCTTGCATTTGTCTTGTTTGCATGCAGGCTCCAGCAAGGTGGTTTGCTCTGCTTGGCTGGGCAGTTGCTCTTGTCTTGCTACTGGCTCCTGTGTATGGCCTGTACGGGACGTATCGCAGGGAAGATCAGCTGTCCAGCTTGGCGACGATCTTCTACTACACGTTCTCGCGGCTCTCCTGGGCGCTGGGTGTTGGATGGCTGGTGCTGGCATGCTTTGCCGGCTATGGAGGTATGCTGTACTAATACTAGTAGATTGTTGTGTGAGCAAGAATCAACCGTGCTTATTTACGATTCACAGGACAAGAACAATTCGCACAGGCGTATGCCACGTATTCTCCCCAGCTTCTGTGGGAGCTGGGGAGAATGTGAACGAGGTGAGCCAAGCCTGGAATAAAACACACTGGCTGCCAGTTTTGCAGTGATTGCGTTGAGCCATTTCATATTGAGGTAATTTGCACTTTTCTGCATTGCTGTGGATACAGGGTACATCAACAGTTTCTTCTCCCATGGCATCTGGCTACCGCTGAGTAGGTTGACGTTTGCGGCGTATCTGACTCACCCGATCATGCTCTATCTGCTGTTCCTCGGCCTGGAAGTTCCTGTCTACTATACCAATGTATCCATGGTGAGTACAGGTTGATCTAGTCAGTGGCATATCCAGAATTGTTGTTCTGGCGTACATGTACTTCTTGACGTAGGTGCATTTCTGTTTTTCTGTTTTCTCTGTTGTTTATGTACTTTTGGTGTTACAACTTACATGTACAACAACTCTACTGTTCTAGGGGAGGACCTTATTTTAGAACAGGTCTTGCATTTTCACTATGCTTGACTTCATTCCCCTTCACTCTTCAGATCATATGATATTTTTAACGTGTATGTATGTGTGTGCATTTGTAGGTTGCATACTATCTGGCAGCCTTAGTGGGATCTTACACGGCCGCATTCGTGCTTAGCGTCTGTGTGGAGATACCGTTCGTTGAGCTGGAGAAACTGCTGGTCAGCAGGTAGCTGACTCGGCTGACGATATCCGATGACCGCCTTGATGTACCGCTATATTCTACTACCCTTGAGTGAATACAGTCAATCATTTTCTTACTATGTTTCATACTGATCTAGTCCAATAGCTTTTTAGTCCCCGCATTTTCTAGACTCTAGTTCCATGCCACCTCATATTTCGCTCTCCCAATCCAGTATTCTCTCACAAAACACTAACAAACTTAGATGTCTGCTCTATACAACACATGATTTCCCATTGCAGGCCACAGAGATATCCATAACCACAAAACATTCAGAACAACAAGGATAGAGTCAATACTTGAGAAGGATTTATGATTTGTTTTGAAAATTCTAAAATTATGAAGTGTATTTTGTGTTTGACGGTTGGTGTCATGTTGTCTCTCAAATACTTTAAGTAGCAAAGCAAGATGCATTGTTCATACTTCAGAACAGCAGCAAACGTAATACAGGGATGCAAGACTTGCCAGCGCGCGCCTACTAGTCTGGTTTGAGATGAAGATGGAAGTGCATGACCATGGGGTGCATACTGTATCAAAGCACTGCCTGCAGTGGCAGTAGCAGTAGCAGTAGCACTCGTTTGGGTGAAAGGCAATATCTCAAGGGAGCAGCGAGCAGGCTTGAACAGAGAGCAGAGCAACATCAAGCGAAAGTAGCGGTCTGTTTCCACAAAGGCAGGGTAGCAGAAACTCAACTCAACCATTCACAAGAGCTGTCAGTGCGTTCACAACATTGCCATCATGCAATCGTAGTGTTCTCTCCGCCACGGGCTTGGTCACTTCCATTTCGCTCATCTATACGGAAACAAGCAACCACAACAACAGAAGCAGCAAACTCAAGAGTCTGACTGGAGCCTCAGTCATTCAACACACTACAGAAGATTACAGATGAGTTTCACATTGAAGTAAATACTCAATTTCTGGACAGCTAGTTGTTTCGACCTCAGGTCAGGTCTCACCAGCGGAGGCTATGGGCCTTAAAAAACACCCAGTCAGAAAAAATGAATACCTTCTTGCAAATGAGAAATGAATACCTTCTTGCATGATGAGAAGAGAACAGTTTGGATTGAATGAACAATGGTCCTTGGCAGTTGAGAATCATGCTCTTGGACATGTGTGCGTGTGTGACTCTACTACAGCCAGTGCTGGTCCGGAAGCACATCCTCATGGATAAAGCAACACTGGCGTCTAATTGCACACCAAGTTGACGTGTCCAGAAGAACACGCTACATGTCTACTTATGGCAGTGACTCCCAGCAGTTCTCAAAACACTTCCGTTGACATACACAGAGATATGAACATGCGCCAATACACAATTAGATCTTACGAGCAGTGACACATCGTCTTTCGAGATACTGACTTTTGCCAACTTGCGCTCCCTTGAAAGCACGAGAAGAGTACAGAAACAGGATCAAGAGAGGCTTCAAACAAAAACAGTAGTGAATTTTCAACACATATTTCAGTGCAGCAGGTGGAATGAAATGAACAACAGCACATGCACGTGTCATGTTCCAAAGCAATAGTAGCTGTACACAGTGCCATTCAGGCACATTTGGTAATAGTATTCTTACCGCTCTGCTTTCTCAGCAGCTTTCTGATTTCGGCTAGCCGTTAGTTGAGTCACGAGCTGCACATGCACACACACGCACGCGTACAGTGGACACGCACAAACACATACACAATGATTAAGTGCATGTACATTTGTCTTCTGCATTTCAATATAAAGCGTGTTCACTGTGTAGGTTACAATCCGACCAGCGCTGAACTACGCAAAGAACAGCAATGGCTCAATCTGCCACACCAAGACCACAAACCCTGCTTGAACAATGCCAAAGTGGTTACATAGTCTTTCTGAAACATATTAGGATCTTATCTATAACTTTGAATGCTGGCAGTGTGCGAGTCGATATGTTGGTAGGACTGTTCAACACCTGAACGTACGTATCAAACACCATACAGGCATACGCCACTTCACATCCTTCCAAAGTGTGCGCGGCAGGACAGACCTAAACAACGAGTACCTGCACAACAGGAGAAATTACTGCCACTGCTTGCTCTGCCGCCGTTGGCGAAAAAAGGGTGTGGGTGTGGCAAGACACGGAGGGAGCTGGTAACTCAGACTTCATTGCAGCCCTCGGCGGCTCCATTGCCGTTGTTGTGTGTGGGGGGAGGAAGGCTGTGGCGGAGGTGGTGCCACCGCGTGTAGCTCCTGCCATTAACCCCACCCCTGATCTTCCGCCTCCTAGGCCTGTGGCAGCGAAGCATGCCCGTGGCAGGCCAAGCAAAACACCCACAGTAGCACTAACAGCAGCGAATCACACACACCTTCCTTCTACGTCGACCGCACCAACACCCGGATCGCAGCAAACTAAAATAACAGTACTTACTCCGTTTCTTGTCTCACTATTTTATGCCGTGGCCGTCATGGGTATGGGATAGTTGCAAGTGTTAGAAACTATTTTAAAAATAGTGATAACACTGTCTTTCTGGACACACAAATCTGGCTTATAAATTCACTAATTTGTCAGTGAATTTATAAGCCAGATCTGTGTGTCCAGAAAGACAGTGTTATCACTTTGAAATTGTTCAAGTAATGCTGTGTGGTCTTCGTGTGGAAGAGTTTGGCCATTGCTGTATTATTACAAGTTGCATCTCGTCGTATTGTATGCTCGCCAATACCATAATATTGCCTCACATGGTTGCCTACTTGCTATCACTTCACTCTTATCTATTCAAGCCATTTGGCATAAGCGAAGTCGCGGACTCAGCCTTCCGCTGGGTCACGTAGACGTGAACATGCAATCATTCTTTGTAATGGTTGTATCAGAATAGAAGCTACGAGATTAGCTGGGCAGGTAAGGAGAGCGCATATGCCTTCTCCAACACCACAAAGTGCTGCAACCTCTGTATAGCCAAGAAGTACCACATCCTTGCATCAGATCGCAGCGCCCTCCCTCAACAAGCGCAGAGAGATCGTGTCGAAGTGTCGCCATGCTGCAAAGTAAGTTCCTGCTCAGTGAACAAGATGGTGTGTCTTAATATCTCACGCTTAGCCCACCGAATACACACATGAAATTCCTCACTCTCGCATGCATACATCGCTGCTTCCGTTATATTATACAACCGGATCTTGGCTGTTCAAGCATTATCAGTTTTGTGGTGATTGCCCAAGGGCATGAACCTAGTATTATAGGGTATTCCGACTACAGTCAACTGAGACCACATTTCTACGACTCGTGTTTGATCGGCGATTGTAGATTTGTCATTCGGAACACGACTGCATCACCATGGAAATTCAAGTCCAGACGTGATTTTGGCCGTAGTCTGAATAGCCTACTTGAGTACTTGTATAAGTTACAATGAAGACGCAATGTGCTCTGCGACGTGTGTGTGTAATGGTAACAGGAGTACATTACCTCAAGAGTGTGCAACTCCTGATCTCGGACCTATGAGTGTTGCAAGGCGAGCTGCCTGCATTACGTAGTGAAATGACGATCCAGCTGCCTGGATTTGAGTTTTCCTACGGTTTAGCAACGATTTCAGGTGGAATACAGTAACTTCACATGCGAATGCCTGTGCGTGACAAATCACATACAAACCATCCGAAGTCTCTGAGGAAAGCGGATTTGGAAGCCGGAAACCGTAGCAGATCAATAATGACGCGATGGCCCACAGTCCGTGGCTACGTAATGCCCCGCCAGACCCCATATGCAGAGTTGCATATTCTTAGGGTTTAATACGTACGAGTACATGTACTCCTTGATCACAACATAATACTGTACAGTCAAACCTCTTTAGGACGAACACCAAGGGATCGATGATATTACGGAGGATTAGCAAGACGAAATTCGCGTTCGCGTTCGCTCTCCAAGGAAAGTCGAACTCAGTGACGGAATTCGCGTTATGAGAAGGATTAGCAGACAGAATTCGCACATGCATGACGTTGACACGACGTACATTGCGTACAGACAGTACAGCGTGGTAAATTTATGACTGCCCTGACACGAATCCGCGATTCGTGTTCCGACTACTTTTCCGAACGAAAAATGCGAAAGTACGCAATCCAGTTCGCGAACTCAAAAATGTTTGCGAACGCGAACGCGAATTTCGTCTTGTTAATCCTCCGTATTTGTTCGCAATAACGGGAGTTCTTCTTATCCGTATGTTATTCCCAGTGAATACACAGTGATTTATCCAATGGAGTTAGGAATACTAGTTTTTCTTAAGAAAACATTTGTCTTATCAGTGTTCGTTAGGACGAACACTAATAAGGCAAACTTTCCGTTAGTACGAACTAGGGCCAATCCTATGGTTGGTCAGGCATCAATTCAAGTCAAAATTATTCGTTTACGACGAAATTCTGTACAGCGAACTTTCGCGAAGACAAACTATTTTCAAGTGTGATTTGAACAAAATCAGTGTGGTCATGTACAATGTAGTACGAACTTTCGGTCCATGAGCGTGCGCTGGCTGCCTTTTTTCTCTTTTTTTCAATAGTCGGGGCCATATTGTACGTACAGTGCAAATTGTTTTCAAGCGTGGTTTGAACAAAACCAGAGCGTTGTGCGAACTTCCGGCACAGTCGTGATTCAGTGCACATTGTCATTGTACTTACCTGTTTCTGGCTTATGCTAAGAATAAAATGCTTCCCATGTACCACAGCATGCACCTTCACATAAATTCAATCCATAATATGATATGCATATCGATTTTCTTGTGAGATCTGGATAAGAAGAACTCCCGATAAGACAAACAAACTTGTTCAGTCCCTTGAAGTTCGTCCTAACGAGGTTTGACTGTGCATGTAATATGTACCTCGTACATTTGCTCTGCACATTTCAGTATCAATAGCAAAGTGCTGACAATATGCAAAGCCAAGTAACATACAGACACAGTTGGCACAGTTGACATGCGTAGTGCATGTCTTCTCGTAAAGTATTTTCACATCAATTTCCAAAGGAAACACAATGATATTTGAATAGAACATCCCTACCTCTTCGATTCCTTCAGTATTTCCGTCAATTTCTTCAACATAATCAGTCACCCTTTCGAGATCTGCTGCCCCATCGTCGTGTTTCTTTGCAGCTGGTTGCGCATCAGCACCTTTTTTACTTGCGGACGCCATTGCCTTCTATCTTCGCAACAAACACAAACTCACTGCAACTCTCGCCAACAAAAGATAATGAAAGCTAGCTGGCTAACCAAAAAGCCGGGTAGATTTTAGAGAAAAAAAACTACAAAAAGGCTCATGACATGCAGTACGCGAGCAGTGCACGTGCACATGATTATTATGCGTGTGGTGATATCTGGACATCTGGTATGTGACGTAACAAGCGCATGACCTTCACTGATTTCGATGTGCTCAAAAATCAATCAACGCGATCGGGAGAGAACCGCGCTCATCTCTCTTGTCTTGACGATCGAGTTTTGTCTTTTGAGAAGAGAAAATAGATGGTAGCATGTAGTGCATATTTTCCAAGGATTTGATAGTTCGTAAAAGTCATCCAGATCTTGATGTGTGTTTGTTGAAACGCGTAAACAACATCGTAACTTAATGCTAGTGCCTTCCTTATGTTGGCCACAAATTCAGTCTTGATGGATTCCTACTGAGTTGAACTCAACATGGAGAACAAGATCTGCAGTGTTCCCTTCTGTCATTCAACTTGCAGTGGGAAAGACCATCATCCACTGGTGAAAACCCTGTGCGATTTTCCTTGTAATGGATCTGCTCCCTATCAGAGCTATCAAAGTAAGCTAGAGGATGCCATCACGGATGCTCAGGCGAATGGATGGGGCATGTCTGATGATGTTCCTGAGAAAGGGACCAATTGTCCAAAGCTTCCACTTATGCACTGGGCGGCGGTGTTAGGGAAAGGCCACGCGTTGAAGCGCTTAGTGGAAGAGGGGTTCTCCACGAAATGTATCAATCCTGGAATCACTGCTCTATCGTTGGCTATGAGGCATATGCTAGTATCCTATGCCAAGTGCAATGAAATTTCTCAATCAGCTGCTGGATTCAAGAGTCTAGCAGAGGTCCTATTCAGATTTGACAAAGATATAGAAGACTCGCAGGGACGTATTGCACTGAACCTCGCCTGTGAGCAGTATGTAACCGCGCTAACGCAACCTGGAGCTGAATGCTCATTTCGTAAGAGTGTTCTGCATACACTCCTATCTCTGATCGACACCAGTGCAGCCGATGGTGTTGCTCTGCTAAATCATGGCGACTGCGAGCGAAACACCTGTCTGCACGTCCTTGCGCAACGAGACGAGTGCATGGATTTTGTCGATACCTTGCTAGCCAAAGGTGCTGATCCCACGATACGTAACAAGCATGGCAAGACACCGTGTGAGGTTGCACAGAGCTTTGGCCAGCATCAGCTAGCAAGAAGATTGTTTCGTGCAACGCCGATGTCGGTGACGGGCATGAAGCGACCAGGTTCTCCTGACCTTGTCAGAGATGTTCCGCCACACAGTGCATTGCCTGCAAGTGCACAGACCGCCATGCCGATTATGTCAGATATGTCGCAGCAAGTGCGAGAGCAGGTCAAACACCACGTCACCAGCAGGCACGCACAAGCAGCTGCTACTCCTGTTATTCAAATCATGGACAACACGAGAGCAGGCCGCTCGGGTTACCAAGCCCAGATGAAGGGTACTGTAAGAGAGTTGCGTGATGTGTGCTCCGTGGATTTTGCAGTTATGAACCAGCAGAGTGTGCCGTTTGAATTGGTCAGTCGGCATCCACACGTAGTGCCGAACGGAGTTAGTGCTGGGCAAATTAGCGGGCAACCATCCCACTCTTCTTCTATGAATGGAGACTACCGTGGTGACATTCAAGCAACCTTTTCTAATTATGGGCAGCTTTCAGGATCATGCTCAGTAACCACAGCAGCAGCAGCACATCGTCAAGAAGTCAGTAGTCCTCCGCCACTGTTACCAGGTCCTGTTTGCAATGGAAGCAGCACTAGCAGGGTTGGCATATCTAGGCATCGTGCAGCAGTATCTGTCATCATGGATGATCAGATTGCATCGGATAGTTCATTGTCATCAGAAGAGTCTGAGGATGAACACGATCTACTGCTAGAGGATGAGCTCCTATTTGCAGAGGAAGATGGTTTCATTGTGACATTGAAACATATCAAAGGTACACTTGGTGAAGAAGCTATGACCACTATCGTTGCAGCAGAGGCTGATCGTCGTGAAGCTGACTACAACGCAGCGCTGAACCAAGAGCAGGAAGCGAAACAGGCGTATGCCCAGTTGATCGCGCAGAGCAGAGCAGCGAAAAAGCGGTGCGACACAATTGTGGCCAAGATGGAGGAGTTGAAGACGCAACTTGTTTTTGTGAACGAAGAGCTAGAGCAGCGTAATCGTCGATGTGCCGACTTGGATCATGAACGTCAAGCAATTGATAGTCAGTACAGGCTTGCTCAGCTTCAACACATGTCCTGCAGTCAGGCATTAGAAGCCATTCCGCTTGCGTTTCAAATGAACATTGCCTTTGATGACGATACCAGTGCATCCGAATCTTACCCAGAGACCACATCATCCCACGTGGACACATCTACACCATTTTTTGACAATGCGTCCGTGTCTTCGACACCTGTATATCAGGCTGCGGCACTTGTCTGACAATAGCAGATCAAATTGTTGAGTGTAAATACGTTATTTGTACAGAATTTTGTTACATAAAGTAATGCACTTAGTGCTTGTGTACATAGCCTTATATTGTACATAGCTGAACTGCCTGCTAAATGTTGCCTGGTCAGTGCTCCTATGCAGCAGAAGACCATGTACGTGTCTGTCTCTATCAAATGTCTCTTCTTCTCATGGAGTCTACATTGTGTACCGCCGTTGTAAGTTGTAAACGTGCTGTATCTGTGGTTCCTTACGTGTAGTCATGACAGACTTCTTTCTTCGACATTTATTAGCTGTTTCTTTCTGTTACCGCTTGCGTCACACTCAGTATTCACTATTCAGCTTTATCACGCTTTGCTTCTTTTAATGTCCCCAGAGTAAGAACTAAGTGCTCATCCGTTGTATCCTGTGAGTTCTTTTAGGTTGTTTTGCGATACTTGCTACGCTACTTCTAGTCCACTTTTCTACTTATTCTCATATTAAAATAGAATAAAAAAGGAGAATATGACTACTAACAGCCATTATACTTATTCTTAGATTAGAATGAGCAAAGCTCTGCATGTAATCAATGTTTACTTGAAGGAAGAGGAAGAACAGTACATCTATTGGCAAGCGAAACTGCAGGCATATGCATGATTGTGCAGTGCTGAAGACGACAACACTGTACACACTCACACGCACCTCGGGCTATTTCAAATCGGCTCTGAATGCTCGAACTTGGAAGTGGCTAATGTCTTCTTGGTTGCAGAGATACTACAAGTAACTGTATATTATACACTTATCAGGTATTTTCCGATCTCATGGTAGTGACAATCTGCTAATTTTGACGTTTAGTGGCAGGCAAACCGGTAGATCGGACCATCTACTTGCACGTTTACTAAAAACGGGCGCAAACTCTTAGCAAATTGAGCCTTTCTCCCACGGACAGTCAGCTTCATTTTGGACAAGAGACTATAATTATAACAGAACAATCCTAGGGCAAATAATCACCCCATGGCCCAATATGCACTAAAAGATTTGCACAGTGAAAGTGCAGCAAGAACCATTCTGTTGTTTTGTAGGGAAATTCTTTAAAAAACCCTTTATAGGTGATAATCACTGATGGAGGATGCAAATTATAAATGGACTGAAAATTTCTCTGTATATATACAGTCGTCCCTCTCTAATCCGGCACTTGTTTATCCAGCGCCCTTGCAAACCAGCACACTTTCTGGCAAAACGGATTTTTTCAGTTAACTTTCTACGCTTTAATCCGGCACTTGAATTCCGCCTCCAGCAGCGATTTTCTGCAACAAATCACTCAAACTGTACATAGTTCGATTTTCTAATCCAGCAGTTGTACATCACAGACTGTCAGGGACCATTGTAACATACACTTGGGAGTATCCTATGCTAGTGCAGAAGATATTCCCAAGTGTATGCAAGAGTACATACCGTAGTCTTGTATAAAAGCCGCACTTGAATAGAAGCCGCAATTTTGGGCCCATCAAATCACACATAAGCCTGATTTTAGTGTTGACATACATAGAAATATCCGTCTTCTATAGAGGCCTCTCATATAGAAGCCTGCAAAAGTTCACCAAGAAAGTCATAGAAGCCGCGGCTTTTATACAAGACTTTACGGTAACCCCCCAGAGTGTGCAACTCCCACATACCCTGCTGTCCCGACAGAATTTCAAGTTGACGTCATTATTTATGACGCAATGCTCCTTGCACCAGTGATTTACAACATGTGTACGGGTGTCAACGCATCACACGTTTTTCTTTGCAATAATTTGTACAGGATCGATCGGCTTCGGTCAACCACATGCACAGGTTCCGGATAATCTGTGTACAGTGTGCATTGCATCATCAAAATGACGTCAACTTGAAATTCTGTGGGGACAGCACCCATAGTGGAGTTGCACACTCTGGGGGGGGGGGGGGGGGTACTCTTGGTGTATGTTATAGATTCCACAAAGCACTTGGTTTGACACAGAAAATCCCTACGTTTTGACGTACGACACAAATGATAACATGTGGGCGGGTTAGAGGGTAGGATTTGATAAATTACCGTTACAAAAGGTGCTGGATTACAGTAGAGAGAGACGACCGTATTACCGTATAGGCACGAATAGAAGCATCGGGGCTCTATTTTTCCAGAAGACACATGGACGGGGGTATACATGTCTGTCCCTCCAGGAAATCGCGATTCCACGGATACAACAAATTTCGCGATTTGGGCCCAAACCCGCGATTTTCAGCAAAATCCGCTATTTCCCGCATTTTTTGTTGTTTTTTGCACTATATCTCACATTCTTCTGCACTTTTCACGCAGTTCTTGCCATGATCCTGTAGGTTATTTGCACAGTACGATTCCCGAGTAGGTATACAGTCGTCCCTCTCTAATCCGGCACCTTTTGCTACAGCGTTTTCTGCTGGATTAACGAGGGTGCTGGATTAAGAAATCCTGCCCTCTGAAACGGCCCTACCCAATTGCATGCATGTCATATGTACGTCAAAACGCAGGGTTTTTCCGTGTCGACCCAAGTATTTGGTGCACGGCTTTATATTCTCAATTGTTCTCCGGGAATATACACACAAAGTGATAAAGTAAAACAGAGAACATGTTCACATGTACTCTTGCACACACACGCACACACACACACACACACACACCTGAAAATTGGCAGGACACTACTGTACTCCTTGCTAAAATAAGAAAGTATGATTGACTGCCGTTGTCTCCTGGACAACATTGACCAGACTGGCCTAGCCTGGCCTGGCAAGGAGTGCACCTGTACGGTACGCGATTTACGACTGCCGGATTATGAAATCAAACTACGTGCAGTTTGAGCGATTCGTTTCAAAAAGTCACTGCCGGAGGCGTAGGAATTGAACGAAAAAAATCGGTTTCGTCAGAAAGTGCGCCGGTTGGCAAGGGTTCCGGATAAACAAGTGCTGGATTAGAGAGGGACGACTGTACCATGTAACAAATTTCGTGATTTGGCCCAAATCCACAATTTTCTGCAAATAATTCCGCGAATTCCTAGCAAGTTCTGCATCATTCCGCACTTTTTGCCTCATTTTTTGTTATTTTCTGCCGCAATTTCTTGCGCAAGATGGGAGTTTTTTCCGCAAATTCCCACAGGGACAGACATGTACTAGTACTACATCATATGCATCCCACAAGTACAAGCTACCAGAAAACCAACACAGGCGTTCTTATGTTTTTCAGGCTGAACGTTCTTCAGCAAGTAAGTTTAACAATGGCCTGTCCCTCCAGGAAATCGCGATTCCACGGATGCAACAAATTTCGCGATTTTCGCCCAAACCCACGATTTTCAGCAAAATCCGCGATTTCCCGCATTTTTGGTTGTTTTTTATTTATTTATTTATTTCACCTTCCCGTGGCCAGAGAATATAGGCCAATATGGAAGGAGGGGGGGGGGGGGCAGTAGCCAGCCATGGCAGTAAGGGCCTGGTCAGTGCGGCAAAATCGAAATAATCCTGGGATTGAATCTCCATAGTAACTTACCGCCAGAGCGGCAAAAGCGAGAGTTGACGCTCCAAAAAAAAAAGCAAGAACGGACCACGCTTTTCCGCTCCAAACAGGATTTGACGCTGATACGCCATTGCCGCTGATAATCACTGATTTTTTCATCTCGATATCGAGGAGCTAATTGGCCAAGGACAACAACAAAACTCATAAGGATGGTTGCAAGGATTGCACTGAAGGTGTTGGCGATCCCCAAGGTGAAGGAATTTGACGTCATTCGTGGAGATTTCCACTTGACGCTCAAAATGAAGTTTGAATTTTCATTCTCCCGACATGTGTAGTGTGATCGCGATTTTAATTCTGGACGCTGTTCTTTTTTCGTCAGGCAACCAAAATTTGCCGCAGTCTGACCAGGCCCTAAACAAAGACAAAGCAAAAATAAATAAATATTACACACTACTGGAGGCAAAGAGAAACAAATCTGGATGAAGAATTAGCAGTTATTAGAACACGAGCTTCATGTTGGCCTTGAAATCCTTTAGCGTACAAGACGATTTTACTGATAGAGGCAGGGTCAGCCAGAGAGAATAGGCAGCGAAAAACGGAGATCTGGTATAAGCTGATGTTCGGGCTTTAGGTAAAGTGCAGGGATTTCTGCCCTATATCTCACTTTTTTATGCACTTTTCATGCAGTGCTTTCTATGATCCTGTTTTTCTATTTTGACAGCATGTTACAAGGCGAGGATCTAGGACGCATAGTGCTCCTGACTACAACCATTAAGCGGGATTCACAGAAGCTTTTTTGCGATGCGACAGCCGCGAAACCGGGAAATCCCCAAATTGCAACCATCGCGGACCCCACGCAATTGCCGCAACAGGGTCATCGCAGAAGTTGAGCTTGGCTCAACTTTTGCGATGCGACAAGCGATTTGGCGTACAAGTTTGACCTTTTCTACAGCAAAGTTGTACAAAGGTTCAAGAGTTGCCTATAAATTTGTACAAGTTGTATCAAACCGCGCGAATATCATGGTGACGTAGCCAAATCAGCAAGATGTTGTCGCATCACTGACTTCTTCTGTGAATGGTATTTCGCGAGTTCGCATCGCATGCGTCCGTTGCAGATCGCGTCGCATCGCAAAAAAAGCTTCAGTGAATCCCGCTTATAGGCGATTCACACGACAGGCAAATCCACGTTTACCAAGAGTACATGTACTCTTGACGTTTACAGGAAAGTCACCATGGAGATATTCCTGCGGGCGACCAAAATTTGCCCGCGGGAATCAAAAGTGTCCATGGCCTTTTTGCCCGCGGATGCACTCATCTGCGGGCACTTTTACAGTTATGAGGCTGTGAGGTCGTACTATCGTGAACCCTGGTTGTTTGGCCTTCGTCTTTGGGTACTCATTCCAAATCACCACAGTAACGCCGTATACTCACCGGATACTCGCGGGAGCTCTGGCCGTGTGAACTGCAGCCTCACGTTTCACTTCCTGCGGGCACCTGACAAACGTGGATTTGCCCGTCGTGTGAATCGCCTAGTATTAACCCAGTTGGCAGAGTTCCGGTCTTGCGACCATTTGAACCGTATTGGGAAAACCCAGGTTCGGACCATCGTCACTCTCAGGGTTATGGTTGTAGTCAGGAGCACTATGCGTCCTCGCCTTGCCTTGTTAAACTACCAAGCAAGGCTTCTGTATATTTTCCATGATCCTGTAGGTTATTTGCATAGTAGATATACGATGCAACAAATTTCGCGATTTGGCCCAGATCAGCAATTTGCTGTAAATCATTACGAGAATTCCTGCATCATTCCGCACTTTGTTTTTTTCTGCCGCAATTTCTTGACAAGTTTTCAAGAGTTTTTCCGCAAATTCCCGCAGAATGGCTACCCATCTGTACCTTTACACAGACATCTTAAAAACAGGTTCGTCACAATGCTCCTCCAAATTATAAAGAAATATTGGTCGACTTTCCGTTTTAAATTCAGATTCACTTGGACAGGTTTTATTTGAGAGGGGGCTCCATTCAAGGGGGGGGGGGGGGCTTGTATTCAAGAGTGAACGGTAAATCAGGTAATTAGTTGCAAATCTGACACTACGTTGTAGCTGTTGTAGCATGCATATCACTTTCTGGACCCTCAAATGTTGCCCTTCTGCCCATGAACAAATGGGAGATATAGCAGAAGACACCCAAGTCCACGCCCAGTACATAGCAAAGTCACATCGAATAGCTCTTATTGAAGGAATGAACTACTGTATTGAGAAATATACGGTATCAAAAAGAATAAGGATGGAAAATAGATATGGGCGCAACAAACGGAGATTCTTGAGGCCACACGGAGATCAAGGGGCAAACCTGCACCAGGGAACAGAGATCAAACAGCAAAACATTAGTATAGAGAACTAAAAGGAGTAGAGGCACAGAAAACACGAGAAAAGTCAGTTGAGCCTATATCATGGCATCGTGATCGGACAAAACACTACCAAGGTGCGAAGCTAGAATTATAGGCAATTCATCATATTTGCAGAGAAAGTGGAGTAGAGTAATGAACGAAAGCATACCTTTTGATTGGGTGAACTCTTCCAGATTGCGATTGCAAGAAGAGATGATGATCCTGAAACAAATCACAGTACAGAAACAAGGTTTACTGATCTAGTAAGAAAAGAACCAAAAATATATAGTAAGACTGCTTTCTCAGCCTGACGTGACATTATCCGCACTGATGGGCTTTACCCATGCGCTAGGATAGGGATAACAAATGATCATCATAGAACAAAGAAAAGAAAATCATAGCTTGATACTCTGCTATACTTACAGGCTGCTCATAAGTTGACAATCGCGAGTGCCCACACAATGTAGCGACATTCTGTTAACAGAAGGAAAGAACAGAGAGTATAGCTCAGCAACAGAGTACAGGTATGGTAACACTACAACAAGAATATAAAGTGGTTCAGTTGGCCTAAAAAGCATTAGTTACGTTCATTGAACTAGCTCATACAAGAGGTGTCAAATAGCTCAATCATCAGAACCAATGTAGAGGTCACATGAAGATCAATCAAACAGAAAACATACCCCAGATGGTCGCAAGAAGTAGCTGGCGATGTGCATGTGCTGCTTAGGACGGCAGTCAATCTACAAAACCAAACCAAAAACAAAAACACTCAAGATGATGCATCCAGACAATACTGTACGGAAATGCAGATTAGCTAAGACCATAGTAAATCAGTTATGCCCACATATTGGCATTGTGATCGGACAAATCACTTCCAAGGTGCGAAGCTAGAATTTATAGGCAATTCATCAAACCATGGCGATTCATATTAAAAAAAAATACTTGGAACCGTACGTACCAGTTGCGGTCGAGGGACGCGATTCCATAGCACAGATGAAGGCTTATGCCTGGATAACAACAGTAGCACACATAAAGGAGACATGTGGGTTAGATGTGCCTAGGTGGAAGGAAGATACAGAGAAATGGGGACGATGTGTCTCAGCCTGACGTGACATTATCCGCACACACAAACTTCTGTAAGTGTTCTAGGATAGGGATAACAATAGATCATCATAGATCAGAAATACGAAAGTGAAAAAAATACAAAAACGTACCACTCTGAGGCCAAAGCCACGCGACAAGCCGTGAATTCTCCAATCGACTAAGAGTATCTGAAATTGCAGAAAAATAGCAAAGACAAAGTTCAATGCAAAATGGTAGCAAAGTGCAACGCATTAACGGCCGATAGGCTAGATCAGTTGGCCTAAAAAGCATTAGTTGCGTTCATCGAACTAGCTCATACAAGAGGTGTCAAATAGCTCAATCATCAAATCCAGCATATACAACTGCTGCTCTTGGATGGAATAGTGTACTTACATTCTAGGAAGTTGATATGAAAAAAAAATGGCGGTTGCACGTGCAGTCCATTTTCATTTTTTCGTCATAAACCTGATGGAAACAAAAAGAAAACAAAAAGGACAATACCATTCAACAGGAGGGCACCTTCCTCAATAAAAGAATAGGATAATCTTGACGGGCAATCAGTCAGCCAAGTACAACATCATAGATATTGCAGAGAATAAGTCGCGAAACCATTTGGAGATCATCAGAACGCCCAAAGACAAAAAGGAACGAGTCTAACAGCAAAACAAACCTTATAATCTTACCGTTGTTGGAAAGTTCTTGAAGCTACGTTACACCAGAAGAACAACGAAGAAAATGCATGGCTCCAGCCATGGCTAATGAAGGGTAGAAGATGGTCGACGAAGAGAACCTCCGAGACACGAGAGCCAGAATCAGCAACCTTCACGAGGGAGGCGAAGAACAGAATGGATCGAAAGCTGGAAAAGCAACTGTACATATGCCATGGTATCACCTTGGTAACAGCCCTCCATTTTGTTGCGAAATGACAACACTCAACAGCTGTGGGTCAAGCGCGCAAGTCAAGGTCCGCTAGCCAGCGCTGCAGCATGCAGATCGAGGGGCCAAGCGGCATCGATCAGGCTAGGCTGTGCTTGAACACAGCCGATGAACAGGTGAACGCGAGACCTTTCTGAGAACTCGTTACGAGGGAACTGCGAAAAGTGCAAAAAAATCTCTTCCTTTTCATCTCTGTTTGGTGTGAGTGAAGATGGCTGCAGTCAAGAGCCTAAATCCTAAGGCTGAGGTCGCCCGTGCGGCTCAAGCCCTCTCAGTGAACACCTCTGCTGCCAGGGGTCTCCAGGAGGTGATGAGGTCGAACCTGGGACCAAAAGGAACGATGAAAATGTATGTGTCGAAATAAACAATTTACCATTTTGCTTCAAATTGATCATGACAGTTTGCTCATTGTGAATCTGGTAGGCTTGTGTCTGGAGCTGGAGATATTAAAATAACCAAGGATGGAAACGTTCTTCTGCACGAAATGGTACGTGTTATTCTATACTGAATTTGCATATTGTACGAATTTTATCCTTTGTGGTATCCTCCCTAATTGCCATGCTTCTCGCACCTTTTCTTACATATTTACATCATTCTCACGGTGCTAGTAACTCTTGTGTATTGATGTAGCACCTTGGCATGTCGCTGTAAAGTATACGTATACTAATTAACGTAATGCTGTTATGCATACGGCCATTATTATTATTACGCACACACTCATGGCCAAGGCCAATCAAGGAGGAGGTGAGGGCGATTATAGCCAGCCATGGCAATTTGACTTCACTGATTCCACATCACCTTCTTTCGTCACTACTAACATGACCAAAAGAATATGTGACAGACTTCAAAAATCTGAGTACAAAATGGGAAAAAATTGGTGCATCGGAACTTCACATTCTGGGGAGCCACTTTCTAAAGAGCTTTTTTCAAGAACAGACAAACGGTCACTTTTTCAGATCACGTGCGAGACAACTTTGAATCGCTGGTGAACAGGCGAAGCCCAGGTCACATTCAGTTTGTACAGAGATGGATGCATGCCATTGCATGGAGGTGAAAGAAGCACTAGGATGGCGCTCAACTTCATGTCCGATGCTTGTGTTGAGTCAGAGCAGCTGCCAGGAAGCCTTGCCATGGCTTGGGCGAAAAAAGAACAAGCTTCAAGATCGCTCCAAGCGCTGGTGGAGACGAACCTGTCGCATTTCGTATACTTTTCAATGCGCGGCCTGTTCACCACAATCTTGTTGTGAGCACCGCTGACGAGCACGCGGGGCACAGCGCCTTGAAAAAGCTCTATGGCCATGACAATCTTATACGAGTACCAACAGACTGGTGAGAGCAGTTTGGTTTGGTCTGGCCATACCATTCATGTCCTGATGTACTCTGCATATTGGCACACACAGACACACGCCGCATGCACACGCACACACACACACACACACACACACACACACACACACACACACAAATGACTGTGCTCAGGAGGAAACACGCGTACATCTCTGACCAGACCGATAACACTTGTTCCGTTCGGCTTGCCTAAAGACAGTAAATCGAACAGTGTGCATGCGTGGGGAGGGGGATGGGCAGTAATCAACTCTGAGGGCCTGCTTATACGGAAACGCTGACTAGTAACTACCCTGTGAGTCTACGTGCACATAGGCACTGTGGCTGTGCTGACATTGTAGGAACAGCAGTGCTGAAAACGGGAATTTTGGCTCATTGCCCCCGTATGCTTGTAGCCTGATGTGAGTTTCAAGAAGGTTTCTGTCCTCCCCTCCTCTTCCTGCTGCGTAGTTTTGGGTCCTTATTCTCTCTGGAAAATGTCAATTGGGATTTTTGCATGATGGTTATTGGTATTTCTCTGTGCTGCGTTTGCGTTTCATGTGCTACAGCAAATTCAGCACCCCACTGCATCGTTGATTGCCCGTGTTGCCACCGCCCAGGTCAGTCTTGCATGCTTGTTCATCTACTCACAACCATGTACTAATATGGTTGCATTACTTGCTTGTTGATGTACGTATCACGAAGTAACAATCGGAAAACGTACAAGTAACAATGGGAGCAGGGCTGTTTAAAACCGTTTTCTGATATCCGTGATGTATTCTATAACAAAAATAGTTTATTGGGTCCCGTAAAATTACAGCATTTCGAGCCAGTCATCCATCGCCTGTGCACCTTTTCTTTACGATTCATTTGTAACAAAACACTGCACAACTTCACCGCTAAATGCAGACCAGCAACTACAGAGTCTGCATTTAGTGGTTGTGCTGTGTTTTGTTTTGCTTAGAGAGTGTGTTTATACCAGCTCTTGAACACCGCCTGAACTTTTCGGTAGACCACTGTCTATAATTTGTTCAATGTTCACACAAATTAGTAGACTCAAAGCTGTTGATGCTGTGTTTGTTGATTGTGTACATATACTCTCAGGATGACATCACAGGTGATGGAACAACATCCAATGTTCTCCTTATTGGTGAGCTATTGAAACAGGTGAGTGCAATGTTCCCCGCAAAACAGCAATGCAGTGGGGCTCTGGCTGCTGCTCCACTTTGGTCCTGAAGTCCTTTCGGGAATAATTGAATTTCTTGTTTTGTTTTTTAGGAAAGAAAAAGGACTAAGGAACTACGAAATACGCTATACTGTCCACTAACACCACCAGTCACTGGGCAATCAGCTTGTGCGATAACATTGCACGACACTGACTAACAGTACTGACCTTCTACTGGTGGTGGTGGTGGACAGTATAGCGTAACTTGTTCCTTGGCTCTCCATCCGAGTCATTCTTGTTTTGATAATTTTTAAATAGATATATGGGCGAAAGGCTACGTCTTTGAGAGCTGTGTGGAATGCTCTTCCCATCATGTGTTCAGGTCTATTCCTCCTCTATTCTTCTGAAAAGTGGACCATATTGACATCAGCTTTTGGCCAGGTTTTGGGTTTTTCCTGCAGGTTTAGCATTGATCATTGTGCAGACTTGCTGATCCTAATGCCCTTACTGGCCAAATCAGAGTCTGGGTTTTAGTCTAAAATCTGGTTTTGAAGAGCTCAGATCTGAATTATTTCCCAAATACCCTTTCCACATTTAGTATGCTGTAGTCTGGGAGCATGTCTGACCTGGACACGAATTTTCTTTGAAGATAATTAGAGAAATGCCAATGGTTTCTTATTCTCCCCTTCCACTCCGACAAGATAGAGCTTGAGAATGAGAACTGAACATAGCCATGTGTTTTTTGGTAACCATTCTTGCGTGTTTCTGTGTGTGTGCGCATGTATCTGTATATGTGTGTTTCTTGTGACTCAAATGGAAATTTCATGTGGTGCAGGCTGACATCTACATCTCAGAGGTATGTTAATGTGTTTTGCTTTGTTTCTTTCATAATTCGATCAGTGACAATGATGACGACGCATGTTTTGGGCAATTGTGTGCTAAGGTTACTTTTCACATGGGGACTGGATCCCTACAGATTGTGGGTGGGGTGGGTGCAACGGCCTTTTTTCCAAGCAGGCATGCATGGGAGCATTAGGTGCATATTTGTGCAGGCATCTTCACTCACAAGTCAGTACACTATGTAACACATGTCACAACATGTTATGCTACATGATTATATTTTTCTGCTATGATTATATTTTTTATGTAGTCATGTGTTTGATTCCATTCTTGAATGTTGACCTCCTCGTGTAATGTGTTATTGCTTGTGCCATACCTCAGGGTCTCCACCCACGCCTTGTCACCCACGGCTTTGACTTGGCCAAGACTAAAGCGTTAGAGATTCTGGAGAAAGTCAAAATTGATCGCGAGATGGACCGTGAAATCTTGGTCAACGTTGCCTACTCATCTTTGTGCACGAAACTGCATGGTCAACTGGCGAAGCACATGAGTGAGGTAAGTTAAAAGTGATGTGTGTGGTCATTGGTGATCTACTGAAAGTGCTTCACATACAAGTTGTAGTCGTTAATGTTTCTGGTTGTGTCTCGCTATACGATACTCGGGCAACAATTCTAACAAACTTGATGGTCACGTGGTGTGTAACTCCGAGTTGCAGCAAAATCTAGCTTTTACGTTAGAAAGCTCTACCTCCCTCCCTGTATTGCGCACTATGTGAGTATTGGAGGTTGTCCACTGTGTATATTGCCGCAATGTAGCTTGCGGTGTGTGTGGGTGTGTGCATGGGCACGCTGTCCATGCCTTTCCCTTGCTGATGTTTGGGTGTTGGTATATTCCTTTCTTTCAGATTGTCGTTGATGCTCTGCTGGCAATTAAGCGTGACGCCAAGCCGCTAGATCTCTTCATGGTAGAAATCATGGAAATGAAGCACAAGACCGACACTGACACTGCGTAAGTGCCTATTCACCGTACATCAAGTGTGTTCAGTTCCTGCTGTCTTTGTCTAATCTGGACGATTGGGCTGCACTCAAGTGTCCTTTCCTTGCTGTTAGCCTTCTTCATCTGATCCTCTCAGATGTGATGGTGAGGCTTGATTTGACCTTTTATTCTGAATCTGAGCAAGCAGATACAGAAATTAGCTGACGATGGCAGGAACCTAGAGAAAGGACTTTCAATCCATTCACACTGAACCACCCTTATAGAATGAGGAGCTGCGTGAATGCAACGCAACATTGAAATAAGATAACCGTGCCGCGATCCGCGACCAACTATGGGTGGGTAATCCACAACTCCTCGTACATTGTCTTGTTTTAACTTTCAATCACGACTGGTCATTTACACTAGCGAGCTAAAAATATTACTTTCTTCGCAGATAGGAGCTTGATTGACGCGCGTGTGTGTTTTGCTTTACTTTTGTCTGTCCATGCAGCCTGGTGAAGGGTCTTGTTCTGGACCATGGCGCACGCCACCCTAACATGCCTAAGCAGCTGAAGAATGCTTTCATCCTCACATGCAACGTCTCCCTGGAATATGAGAAGACGTGAGTGTGTGTGTGTGTGTGTTTCTGTTGTGTTGTTGGTGCATTTGGGTTGCTGTAGGTTGTGTGTCTCCCATCTCTTTGGAGAGCTTGTGGCCAGTCTGTGTAGTGAGCTCTTTCTACACTGTTCACTGCGGAACCCACACTCAGCCTCTTGTCTCTACCATAATCAAGAACCTCCTGGGGGTAGTGGCCCAGACCCCTTTCCGCCGTTATCGAGTGAACTGACTTCTTGAACTGGTGTCCTACGCATGTGCTTGGAGCTTTGTGTGTGTTGTGTGCAAGAAGCTTGTTAGATATTGCCACTTACATCACCATGTTGCATGTGTGTACATGTAAAGCCAGATTCGTGCTTCGCGTCATCGCTTTCTTTGGCCCATTGCATGCCTCACATTGGCTTCTGGAAGATTTTGTTGAGTGGGACCCTGTTTTATGTTGGTTACATTTGCAGCGAGGTTAACTCGGGTATTTTCTACAAGACTGCCGAAGAACGCGAGAAGCTTGTGAAGGCTGAGCGTCAGTTTGTCGACAACCGCATCCAGAAGATCATTGATCTGAAGAGACAGGTAAGCTGCGCTCACCCTGAGAAGGGGATGTAGGGAAGAAGAAGTCGACTTTATGCAAGTATCTGTTAGCCAAGTCTGAGAGTATTGTCAGGTTCATGGCCGTGACTGTTTTAGCACTCTGTGCCCTGCCAGAGTTCACTTCGATATCATGGACAATGCAGTTTTTCGTTCGGCAAGGTCTTCAGCTGTTTTGGAATTAAGTTTCTCTTCGTCTTACGCATTCTCTTTGCTTCTGAAATCTGAGAGTATTCTCTTCTATTTGCTGGAAATGCAGTGTCAATTACATCTACAATGTATGTTTTCGGAATCTAAAATTTGTACGTGTCGTTTTGAACTAATACGTTGAGGAGTCTGTACATTCTAGTCTTGGTTGGAGAGTACGGTGTACGCTAGAAGTCTGCCCTGAGCTCTCGTCCACTTTAATGCATCAATGTTGCCAAACAGCTGCCAACATCAACGGCGGCAAGCTGAATGTTTCTTGCACACATGTAGACAAAGGTGTGATGCATGCGTGAGTGCTTACACTGAGCGGTGCATTCTAATGCGCTACTGCATATATCTTCAGTTGACAGCGGAATTACCTGCTGCGCCTGTATGCTTCAGTCTGCACTGCTTTGTTCTATCTTCTTCTTCTTCTTTTTTCTGATAGGTCACTGAAGGTAATGATAGCACATTCCTCGTTGTCAACCAGAAGGGTATTGATCCAGTGTCATTGGACATGCTTGCCAAGGAGGGCATCATGGCGCTGCGCCGTGCCAAGCGCAGAAACATGGAAAGGTATGTGTGGATGCATGTGTACTTTCCAGTGGTTTGTAGAGCAGTGCTTCTGGCTGGTGTTTTGTGTATCCCTGCAAGACAATCCCAGCCCTGCCTGTATTCATTGGTGTGCGTGTGTGTGTTCAGGCTCACACTGGCTAGCGGCGGCACTGCAATGAACTCCGTTGATGACCTCACTCCGTCAGTGCTTGGCTGGGCTGGTAATGTCTACGAGCACGTCTTGGTAAGTCTGCATTGTCATGTTGAACCCCTCATTTACGCGTACATGTTCACAGCTAAACTGTCCGGAGATTGAGGGCGATTATTATTCTATTGCTACTGTAGTACATTGCAAAGCAGTCATCCGGGTTGAGGTTTACATTGATAACAAGGAATAGCGTAGGATTCATACAAACTACTTTTTGCTCTTCTGTTTTTGAAGCTGTGTGCTTCTGTTGTTGAGATTGTGTACTTCTGTTGGTGGCATTGAGGTGTATTTCTTTTGTTTGCTCCATACTGTTTCAGGGTGAGGACAAGTTCACATTTGTTGAGGATGTGAAAGACCCCGAGTCAGTAACAATTCTCATCAAGGGCCCCAACAAGCACACGATCGTCCAGATCAAGGATGCCATCCATGATGGTCTCCGTGCTGTGAAGAATGCCATTGAGGACAAGAGCGTGGTTCCTGGAGCTGGTGCTTTTGAGATCGCTGCACACGCTGAACTCATGGACTACATGAAGTCTGTCAAGGGCCGACAAAGACTTGGTGTGAAGGTACGTGTATATTTACACTGCTGTGTTTGGATATGTATGCTCCACACATCAACCTGTATAGCTTACAGGAGTCAACTGTAGAGACATCTTAGCCTGGTCACACAGAATATACAGTTGTGGCCAGTGAATTACGGTAGTTCCACGAATGGACTTCATTGACTGAAAACACTAAGCTTAACTGATACCGGTACAACTGAGTTATGTGCATCCTAAACAGGTCGACAAGTCACAGCCTAGGTTCACACAAGCATAGTCATTAATGTTCATCCAGTGCCCGCTTCATTTGGGAGCACTCTCGAACCGTTATCAAACATTACACTTTTGTGATACTGTGATTGTGCTGGTACACTTGTACACAATAGCGTGTACGCAGGTCTGTAGGCGCTACATATTGTATAGTACGAGGTGAATAGCAATTTCTGGACATGAAAATAAAATAGAGGCCCACTGGCTGTGTGTTTTACATTTTTCATATCTTTTTGTATCTATTGTATGGCCTAATCCTTCATCTTTCCAAATATGTGACAATTGCTCATGCTGTGATCCCAGAGACTTTATAGCAGGATGTTTTCGACAGGCCAATTTTTTGGCCTAAATTTCAGTGTATCGAATTCTGGACATGAAAGTAAAATAGCGTCAATAGGCATCCTATGCTGCACCATTTTTGTTATATTTTCTATTGGTGGACTGCAGTTGGCCTCTTCACACTTCCAGCTAACAGGTCCAAGACTATACAGCGTCTGAAGTGAAGCGCACATGGGGAAGCCAACAATTCGTCCATTACTTCTTATTTTACTCAAAATTCAAAATTCTCATGCGACATAGTACCACAAACCTCGTTGAAATGCCTCCCAAGAAAAGGCTATCAACAAGGCACCGACACGAGGAGAAACTACAACAGCCCAGCTGTCAACTACAACAAGAAAAAACTTCATCAACCTGACTGACTTGACTCTACACGCGACGAAAAATTATTTTACTCGAAATGTCCAGAAATGTACAATGTCCAGAAATAGCAATTCACCTCGTACAGTCCCGTATTGCAAGTTGAAGTGTCAGATTTCACTTGGCACCACTGCAGTTTACAGAACTCACTTCTGCACCTTGTGTAGTAGGTCATCGACTGCTTTTCCGGTGTTAACATGCCTGTGATCCTGCTATCCAACTGTTGTTGATGTTTTCTTGTAGGCATATGCTGACTCACTTTTGATCATCCCCAAAGTACTGGCTCAGAACTCCGGATATGACCAACAGGAAATCATGGTCAAGCTCCAGGTAAGAATTGTTATGCACGTCAGGTGTTTTTCATTGTAGCTGAACAGACTAAGTCAATATGTGTAACTTTTTTTAGCCAGCAAAGGAATCCGCCTGCCATCATATTGTATCCTGGATTCCTGGTACCTCTGTCTGCTTACATGCGTTGTATTATCACTTTTAATGTATGTACTAGGTTTTTTATTAGTGTCATTGGTGGGCTCCCTCACGCCAGTGTACACAGCTGTGCCAATACTTGCTCTGTAGTGGAAAATGTTCCTGATTGAAAGGTGCGAATAGTATCTAAAACAGTAGTTACGCGTAGTGATCCGAATTAGCAAGTACTGGTAGTCAAAACGTACAACAAGAACCTTCGAAATCATAAGGTTGTTTGGTTAGCGCATTCAAGACTTGGTGGAGCTGAATGTCAGGCCGTGAAAAGTCAGTACTACTCGTACTGTAACCCTCCGTATTGTACTGACTGTTGCCCACTTTGACTATCAGTATCTGGGTTAATGAATTATAGAATAGGTGGACAACTACACGTACATATAGCTAGTAAACTGTAGGTCCTTTTTATGATCATATCACTGGGCTCTCCATCTGAGTTCTTTGCAATTGTTAGGTAAGTATCTTTGCCATGAGCTCATGTGTGGATGGTTATTGTTGTTGCTGCTGTTCCTGTAGGAGGAATACCAGGAGTCTGGCCGGCCAGTAGGTATTGACATTTCCACAGGTACGTTCTTGTATGGTTCTGAACTTCTGGTATTTGAAAATTGGGAGGGTTCTACATCAACTACAGTCTACTGCTGGAGCATTTAGTATGAGTTCTGTGCAGGTATGTCTGTAGTGGCTTATTTTGATTTCATTTCTGGGCATCTGGAATCAGACACCCTTCCAGACCCGGCTAAGCGAGACTGTAGTGTTGCAACAACACGGCTGATATCTGGTGATACCTCTTTGAGTCCTGTGGCCGTAACTCTGGTAACCCTATCCACTTGGTGTGATACTGATGGTGACGCGTGTACTGCATAGTGCCTCCTGTACGGTTGTCTCAGGATGGCAAAAAAAACTGATGGGTTTCCTACGATCGTGGACAGTCGATATTGGCTGGTAGATGTACTGGTGTGTGTGAGAGTTGGTGTTCATTTAACAGTCCGGTAACATTGGATTTTCTCTGCCTTTCCTGCTGATTTGTGCCAATGCCTGTCTAATGTAGGCGAGGCTTTAGTTCCCGAAGACGCCGGTATCTTCGACAACACTCGCGTCAAGAAGCAGCTCCTGCACTCTTGGTAAGTTTGAGCACATGAGTCTATATCCCGCGGGCGGGTATTGTCTCATGATTCCGAGCAAGGTTCTTGCTTGTTAGGCCTTGGTCATACTAGTACTGCGTAAAACACCAACACCATGATAACATGACTGTAGTAGAAAATCTGCAGAAGTGGACACTTTCAGTTATTCTACTATTTGCTTGTTCCTTCTCCTTTTTTCAGGAAATTTCACCGTTTGTTCTACTAGGGCTAGAGAACAATGCAGCCCTCTGTCAACTGTCATGTGTGTTTGTTTTGTTCATTTGTGTACAGCACCACAATCGCCAGCAACCTGCTTCTCGTCGACGAGATCGTTCGTGCCGGTATGGCTTCTCTCAAACCCGGTCAACAATAGTTCAACTCACACATCTTTTAGTTTTTTACAACCTTGATGAAATGCCCATATGAAAATTAACACCAGTTTCCATGAAATATATCATCTCATCATGAAGACAATGTGTGTTGGCGTTGTATTTGTGTTCCTGTGTCGTGGCGCAATGTGCGCCTCATTCTAAACGGACCATGTAGAGTTCCAAAGCGAGTACAGTAGAGTCGCGCGCCCAAGAACGTTGTTTCCAAGGGGTTAGCCTGGGACGTTCTTATTTTTTCAGCAACCTGGCTGCTTTCTTACAACACGTTCTTAGAAACAACCTGTAGTAAATCATATGTATCCTACAAGCTCCCAGAAAACCAACAACGCCGTTCTTAGCTTTAGGCTGTGGCGTTCTTAGTATTTCAGGCTGGACGTTCTTGGGCTCCATGTTCTTCAGCGACTCTACTGTGCTAGTACAAGTACTAGTATGTCGTGCACTAAAGCTTCCTCTGCCCGCAGTACAGGCGTAAAGGCTGCAAAGCTGGCCAGTGAAAGTCCATTTTGTTACCATTTCCAGTTCCACTGGCGCCAGAATTGCTATCACCCAGTCATCACAAGCCAACTCATCGAGGCCGACAGGTTCACGTGTTCTGTGCTCACTTTGCTATGTTGAAAAGCTGAAATGTGATTCCAAACACATCTGGTGCTCTCTGGGTCCAAACTGTGTTGTTTTGTGTATAGTCTTGTGCATTACATCGCAAGCAAAACGATGCAATCGTCGTGACATAGTGGGTATGTATGAGTTACACAGACTCTGGAAAGTTACTACTGCAATTGTAGTACACTTGGACGCCTCTTATCCGGGCACCTTGGGACCGGGCACTGCCCGTATCTCAGATTTGCCCGTATCTCAGAATAACTCATCTACCATGTATCATTATCATTTTTGAAGAAGTTTTTTTGGTGCATATTGCACATGTTCAGGTTACAAAAATAATCCATGGATAAAAATGTATGGATTACACAGGTTGGCAGTGACAAATAAGCACTTCTGCATTCGGAAAAAAAGTTCAACCCCCCAAATTCGAAGCATTTTTGCCATAGGAACTCAAGCTGAGGGTGGCCGGTAGAGAGACGTGCCCGTATCTGAGGCGTCCGGATAAGAGGCGTTTGAGTGTACAGTCGTCCCTCTCTAATCCGGCACTTGTTTATCCAGCACCCTTGCGAACCAGCACATTTTCTGGCAAAACGGATTTTTTCAGTTCATCTTCTACACTTTAATCCGGCACTTGAATTCCGCCTCCAGCAGCGATTTTCTGCAACAAATCACTCAAACTGTACATAATTCGATTTTCTAATCCAGGAGTTGTACATCGCATACTGTCAGGGACCATTGTAACATACACTTGGGAATATCCTATGCCAGTGCGTAAGATATTCCCAAGTGTATGTTATGGACATGCATTCCACAAAGTACTTGGTTTGACACAGAAAATCCCTACGTTTTTATGATAACATGTGGGCCGGGTTTGATAATCCAGCACCCTTGTTTATCCAGCAGAAAATGCCGTTGCAAAAGGTGCCGGATTAGAGAGGGACGACTGTATGTACTTTTGAGGGTTGACATGACTGTACTGTAGTGTGTAGCTGTATACTTACACCAACCAATGGCTCTGTGGAATTTGAAGCCAACTGATTCCAGTGGATATGTGAATAAGGGCCATGGAGTAGAATCCAAATGGAATTATCTATTTGTCTGTGCTCCTGGTGTTTTAAAACTCCATGAAACTGTGAAACGAGATCACGTAACTGTTATACGATCCTTTGTAGTATTGTACAGTTGTGTTCGGTAAAATTCGACTACGTGCATATTTGGTGCCTGAACTCGCACGGCCCTTGACGCCCAGGTGTCAGGAAAGTGTACAATTCCTAGTTATTGAACGGTGTATGCATTCTAGTGGATTCTGGAATTGACATGTCTAATCAAGCGAGCCCATTGGCACGTATAGCTCTATGAGTTCCGTAAAGTACGGTGAGAGCGCCCCACCACCTCCTCTGTTTGTGGTGGTGTTGTGGTGGTGTCCTGTCTGTAGGTCATACGACACATACCTTGTACACACATTGCACGACTTGCATCAATCCGTACTCAATTTTCCTTCAAGCGGATGCGAGCTCAACACAAGAACATGCTAAATGTGACCTTTGCAGTAAGGTTCTGATACCTTACAAACTGTAAAACGACGTCTGCCAGTACGTCGTATTCCAAAACGTGACGCGTATTGAAACGTAGTATGAATAGCCTATAAGTGAACCCACAACACACTGACGCCACAAAGATACCATCTTTACAGGATTTAATGTGCAATTTCCAAATTCCACACTGGTAACTCAATTACAAGTGGTAACTCAATTACCTTTAAATGTGTGTCACCACGGTACAGTAGTCGCACCACGGTACAGTAGTCGCACCCCGTGGAAGAATGTGGAGCCTACTAAGAACACCAACACTACAGTTAGGAAAGTCGTTGTAACCGTGCAGTTTAAGAAAAAACTTGTTTAGGCAGCTTTTCCGAAACGTAATAAGATATTTACCTACATGTACATGTTAATAGTAAAGAAAAGGACCAAGGTACTACAAGTTAATGCTATAATGTCCACTAACACCCACAAGTTCTACTTGACAATCAGCTCATGCAACAACATAATCATTGCACGACACTGACCGACGTTACTGACATTCTACAACTGGCTATATCACATAGTATCAGTATCAGCTCTAGCACATCTTGGATGCCCGCTCCAACAGCCTTCCAACTTTGAAGGTTATAACCTATTGATAACATAGGAGGGGAAGGTGCCAACGTCCGTCACAGCTGAGACTCCCCTCCCCTATGTTATCACCAGAACTAACTTTACTTAGAACCTTCCAAGGTGGAAGGCTGTTGGAGTGCATATCCAAGACACACTAGAGCTGATAGCCAGTTTATAGATGTAAAACGTCAGTGCCGTGCAATGTTATCACAGGAGCCAAATAACTGGTGGTGTTAGTGGACATTAGAGAGGTTAAGTTACACGTTTTTGTAAAATTTTGCCTGGCAGGATTCGGGTTCAGTTCGCACAAATATCAAATCTTCCAACAAACTCGATAAAACTCCGGAAACTCACACAAATTCGATCGGGATAACCAAGCGCAACTTCCAAAAACCCACGTCATGAACTTACGTGCCGGACAGTCAACTCACGTAAAACACGCCAAATTTTACGCGAGTTTTTTGACGTAAAAGTTCACGGACATAAGAATTTTACGTGAAACTTAAAGGGGAAGTATACCCTAAAATCAAATTTTCACCAGTTGTAGTCTTCTGGGTGCTGAGTCGAATGGTCTTGGTCCGAGGAAGCTGCGACGCTCCCTTCCTACTTGAATCCCAATCGAACTCGCGCACTTCCACCGAAACTGGGTGACTGCGCCCTACTAGATGGGGATTTGTATGCAAAATGTCACTAAAAGCGCCATTTCGTTCTTATAAAAGCACGGATGACCGCGATTGGCCCATATGTTGTAGTCTTTTGGACGCTGAGTCGACTGGTTTTGGTCCGAAAAGGCTGCGATGCAGCGTTCCTCCTATATTCCCAATCGAACATGGTTGAACAAGCGGTCACGTGCTCCTGGGTGCCCAAATCACCTGGTCACCGCGCCAGCAGGCGACAACTTTCACACCAAGGTTCAACTCGAGTTCAACTCGAGTGACAGGACTGCACCCAAAAAAGGTCAAACAGGCTAGTAAGTTGTACCCTGCAGGCACGGTGACCAGCTGACTGGTGTACGCAGGAGCACGTGACCGCTTGTTCAACCATGTTCGATTGGGAATAAAGGAGGAACGCTGCATCGCAGCCTTTTCGGACCAAAACCAGTTGACTCAGCGTCCAAAAGACTACAACATATGGGCCAATCGCGGTCATCCGTGCTTTTATAAGAACGAAATGGCGCTTTTAGTGACATTTTGCATACAAATCCCCATCTAGTAGGGCGCAGTCACCCAGTTTCGGTGGAAGTGCGCGAGTTCGATTGGGATTCAAGTAGGAAGGGAGCGTCTCAGCTTCCTCGGACCAAGACCATTCGACTCAGCACCCCGAAGACTACAACTGGTGAAAATTTGATTTTAGGGTATACTTCCCCTTTAACGGTAACCTCTCTATTATAGCAGAACTTCCTTGGTCCTTTTTAAATAATTAACCCGTGGCACTCCATCCGAGTCTATCCATGCACACCTGATGAGCTGTCCATATCGGCGAAATGATAGTCGTGTGAAACTGCTGCTTATAGGGCTTGAAAGTGATGACGTCAAAACGGCCAGGGAGTAGTAAGTTGACATCAGATTTCTATTTTTGGATCCACTAAGGTGTGACTTTGCTATTGCCTAAGTATGTGGGTGCATAGCAACCCACTCATGTCGCATGCAGGTGTGACTTTTATTTCGCCACCAGTTGTAACCCCGCCCCCAGTAGCCAAATCAGTCAGTTTCACTGGCTACATCACCATGCTGTGGGTAAGACCGCTTGAAATGTGCTTGGATCCATACAAAAACTGGATCCAAGTGGATCTAGTTTTTGAATTTTTGAAATTGTTGCTATGCTGTGACATAGCACTTTCAAGCCCTATTGTCCATCTAAATTGTCATAGTCGAAGTACATTAACTGAGGTGTTCGGCTACATGGTTCATGTTCGCTTACATGTAGCTTCCCTCCGATATTTGAATCACATAATTATGTGTGGTACATGTATGTTGCTATGGTATGCATCCTTGAATTGTGGTTTGACCGTATTGTCCAATGGTCTTGCCAGTATCGTCATAGACAATTGAGTAAACCAAGAGTACATACCCCCCCCCCCCTGTTATGTACTCTTGATTAAACCCATTTACATCCGCCAACATTGAGACTTTTCAGCTGGTCTTGGTTGCGCGCACTTTCCCCTCCTATTTTATCGCTGCAACCGAGAGTACTAAAAAACCTTTTTAGTACTCTTGCGCTATAACTTAGAACCTTCCAAGTACAGTAGTCGCGCCCTGAAGAACGTGGAGCGCAAGAACGTCCAGCCTGAAATACTAAGAACGCCACAGCCTAAAAGCTAAGAACGGCGGTGTTAGTTTTCTGGCAGCTTGTAGAATATTATGATCCAATACACACTGTTTCTAAGAACATGCTGTAAGAACGCAGTCAGATTGCTGAAAAAATAAAAACGTCCCAGGCTAACCCCTTGGAAACAACGTTCTTGGTCGCGCGCCTACTGTAAGGCGGAAGGCCGTTGGAGTGCGCATCCAAGACGGGCTAGAGCTGATAGCCAGTAAGTTGTAGAACGTCAGTATCGTGGTCAGTGCAGTGCAATGTTCTTGCGTAAACTGATTGTCAAGTAACTGGTGGTGTTAGTGGACATTTAGCGAAACTTGTAGCTACATGGGTATGTAATAGTGCGTGGATGCAATCCAGTAGGACTATTTTCTAAGAACGCAACCAGATTGCTCAAAGACAAGGAACGACCCAGTCTGACGTCTGGGACACGACATTATTGGGGGCACGACTACAAGCCAGCGGGCAGAGGGAAACATTATTAAGTCCGGGCGTACTGGAGCTGAAAGATCAGCGACAATATCGCTGACGCAGACCAAGTACATGTATCCAACCCCAGGGTGATGGCCAGCCCTCAGTGGTCTGTGATCTAGTCATGTTACAGCCAACGTTTACATGATGTGGTAGGCTTATTCAGCTCACCCTGTCCCAGACACCAGAGCTTTATCGCCCAGGGCTCATGTTCTTTATGTACACGGTCAAGAAAACAAGAACAAGCCCCCGGCTCCTAAGCATGCAACTTACTTCCTAATGATCAATAATAAGCCTACAGTCATCACGACATTTCAAACACAATCATTTATCACGAGCATACTGCTGTCCACGAAACCATAAAGTCAAAATGTCTGGAAACTACCAGCACACGAACCCCGCATTTGCACTGACGACACACCACAATACTGATGTACCTGCGCCACAAGCCCTCGTGCAAATCTATCAGGCAACGGTGACAATGTAAGCCAGACAAGCAAGGCCTATGTGCCTGCAAAATGCAATGTAACGTACAACTCCCCGTTATTCAGGTGTTGAGAAGAACCAGAGCACTACAGTGGAGATGCACCTCTAAGAACAAGGCCCCCATGAGGTCAACCCAACAAATCATACTCTTATATAAAAGCGCCCATAGCTCACAAGAAGCTGATGAAGTGCGAATTGTTGGCTCTGTAACAAAACTATCACCCTTTTAACGGTGCAGAGGGTCCACAGTCTCCCAAGTTGGTCATGCCTGAGGTCCAAGTTCTTCCTCAGAAGATGCAGTGTGTGAGTAGACGGGCAAATGTATACAAGCTTACATCGATACAATTAATATTTGCATCAAACTTCAGAACTCTAGCACAAGACCAGGCACACATCGACTACAAGGTCAGAACAACTAGCCATGGACCTGAAAAAAAGATTCCCAACAACATTGCCCAGCGCACCTATTCTACCGGAACACCAAGCCTCGTTACAATTGCAATTGAAAGACATTCTATGAAACACACAGACCCAAAACACACAAACACATCCCTGATGGGCAACCAACTTAGAAGTGAGCAAATCCCACCAAGCCCATACAGTACACCCTGGGAATCTCTCTTGCCACAATCACAAACTTCTCAACCGCAACCCAAAGTCAACCAATCATGAACACCATCACTCCCAGTCCAATACAACACACCAATCTATGATTCGGGAATCTCCCCACCATTGAACACTCTCCTATGCGACACACAGTACTGAAACCTAGGACTATAGCGTGGACCTCTTTACTAGAAATGGTGTCCGTTACAGTGTTCGACTCGTGTGTGAGTGAGTATGTGAATGAGTGAACGTGTCGACGTAATTAAAGCCCAGTGTATTCATGGTGGTGTTTCATCTTGTGTAATGTGCATACTCTCCCTGACGACAAGACTTGGACAGCGACTCTCTGGATGACCGGATGCCATTCCTATCAAGAAATAGAACACAAGTGAAACGCCGTCTTGGGCAAAAGCTACGATACCCTGGCGAAGAAGATTCACTAGTACACGAATGCTAGCCTAAAGACAAATATTCTAATACACCACCAGCCCTATCCCCTTGCTTATGCTGGAACCCCAACCAACCAAAAACTAGAGTGAATTTAATGGTAGTTCACGACATGCTACCAGTAAGAAATATGACATGTGCATAGAGATGAATGGTGGAACAAACAAAAAATACCAGATCAAGTACTATATTCACAGCAAAATACACATATCACACTCAACGGCAGTTATTCGCATACGTACCAGGAGTCACTGAGAACGTGAGAGGAGAGATGAAACCCGCCATCGACCAATACGGCCCATAGATCCACGGATCAGTGCAAAAGGCAGCCAAATGGCGCTTCAGTAAGAGAACAGAACACGTTGCACAAAAACCATGAGACACAACAGCAGACGCTAGCGGCCAGCCAACTCTCCAACCAGTGGAGGAAATTGCCTTACCAGCTAAACAACTAGATGACGAACACGGTGACTAGCATTGAGCATCTTTGCCGTTTCCATCTCTGGCTGAAAGGTCACAACTACCTGCTCTGCAAGGACAAGACAAGCAACAAGCAAAATACAAACTGGGAAAGAACCTATAAAACTGATATTTTGTGTTCATATGGGATAAAAAAAATAAAAAAAATTCAAGAACGATGTCGGTATCCATTGACAAGCATTTATATCCAGCAGAATCACTACTGCTCCGTTTGTTGGGCACATGATGAGCACATGACGGCACTGGCTGTGCCTCCTGCTATATGGAGGCATATTCCACCCGATGCCGAGGATGTCGGTTTACTACGGCTACCTGATTCAGCCAAGTCTGCGGGTACCGAAAATCGTACTTGAGTTACAGGAATACTTTTCAATACCGTCGCAATGCCGCTGTCATTGCAGAGGACACTTTTCAGATACTCAACCTCTTTCTCCAGACTTGATATCTTCTTCTGCATGGGCTCAACGACTGCCGTCAGCCTCTGGTTGGCAGCTTCTTTCTCCGTTAGTTGATATTCCAGGCTGTCCACGTAACTCTTCTTCTTCTGGCGGTTCTCACGGGCTGACAAAGCAGCTTTGTTAGTAGCAGTGCCTCTCCGAGGTCTTTTGCGCTCCGCGATAACCGAGCTCGTAGTTGTAGCAGGATAAGGTGAATGCGATGGGGTTTCCGTCCACCTGCATTCCGAAGGAGGAGAACAACTCCCTACGGAGGAGGTACACTCTACTCCGGAGGTTGAAGGGGACCTTTTGTTCTCGAGCGCAAGAAGATCGCTTGCTGAATCCCAAAAGTTCGAAGTAGCAGCGGGTGGTGGTGCTACCTGGGATTCAAACGGGAACGGAAGATCAAACGCTGGGAGATCAGGCACTGCTGTGCTGAACTCTTTTAGAAGTTCGTCCAAATCGAACCTAGACTCCTGGCACGGTTGAGAAAGGGCAGAATACTCCATTGTTCGTACAGAGAGAGACCTGAAAAAACGAACCAGAACTCTGCTACACAGACGAAAATGTGCCCGTTGCTGGTGTGAGTTTTGCTTTTTGAACAGTTTTCTATGGAATGTGCTGACGAACGCGGAAAAGAACGTTCGTGGATCGTTGTCGGGCGGCATGCCTGAACAGTCAACACATTGCGTGTGCACAGGATAGTAACTGAGCAGATTCTGAGCAGACACGTGGAAAGAACGTTCGACGAACGATGTCGCGACCGGTCTCTGCGCGGTACGCCGCGCGCGGGCGCGCTGCGGCGCGGACTTGCCTGTTGCACTTGCACGCTGCAAGAAAACAAGCGCCCACCGCCACCGGCCACCGCGTACCGAAAACACCGTACCGCAAAAGTTGCCAAAAAATATTTCGGGAAATATGAATCGTCAAGCTTTCTCTTTTGAAATTTCCTCTCCAAGAACGAGAAATGGCGAGCTCACAAACCATCGACCGAGTTGTCGTTCACCCCATCGTGTTGCTTAGTGTTGTAGATCACTATCACCGCTTAGGCGGAAATAAGCGTACTGTTGGTGTGCTGCTCGGTGCCTATCGTGGCAATGGAATTTTAGATGTGTCGAATTCTTTTGCTGTTCCGTTTGAGGAGGATGCCAAGGATCCTTCCATTTGGTTTCTAGACCATGACTACCTGGAGAATATGTATCGCATGTTCAAAAAGGTGACTGCAAAGGAGAAAATTGTTGGATGGTATCACACTGGACCTAAGCTCAGAGTCAACGATATTGACATTAATCAGTTGATCAACAAGTACTGCTACACGAACAACTCGGCTTTGGTGATCATAGAAGCGCAGCCTACAGGTGTCGGCCTACCAACTGATGCGTATGTTGCTGTCGAGGAAGTCCATGATGATGGATCTCCAGTAAACATGACTTTCACTCATGTTGCAAGTGAGATGGGTGCTGAAGAAGCCGAGGAGGTTGGTGTGGAGCACCTACTGCGAGATATCAAAGACACATCCGTAGGCAATCTGTCTCATGTGATCTCATCACAGTTGCTGGCACTGAAGGGTCTCCAGAAATCGTTGGATACGATACGCGTCTACCTAACAAGAGTCGTCACCAGTGAGCGTCCAGTCAATTTTGCTATTCTCAACAACCTGCAAGACATCTTTAATCTGTTACCGAACCTCAGCGTAGACGACCTGGCAAAGGCACTCACAGTCAAAACGAACGACCAGATGTTAGTGCTGTACCTCGGCTCACTGGTGCGCTCTGTCATTGCACTGCACAACTTGCTGGATAACAAACTGAAAGTCCGTGCTGTTGATGCGCAAGCATAAGCTCCACAGTAACTCAGTAACTCCTCTCATCCTGAATTTATGCATTCCCGCATTTTATCCTAGTTTTAGCCGTACTCCGTGACATCAGACATCAGGCATGTAACATTACTCATTAGTATTTGAACAGGTGCTTCACACGTTTTGTGTTATTCGAATTTCTCATTGATTTGTGTGATTTTATGTTTTTCACATGGAATGAATTATGATTTGTCAGATAATGAATGCACTACATGACTGTACATGTAGTATCAAAGTAAAAAGCCAACGTGCAGTTCTTAAAAAATGTACAAAGTTAGAATAACGATCTTTTTTTAAAAACCTGTACAGCTGATTTTTTCATGTTTTTGGCAGAAGAATTTCCTAGCTGCACATACATTATACATATTTTCTGTTGTAAAAATCACCACAAAAACTGGACTGGTATCAGATTTGTGTGCCGATGTGAAAGATAGGAATGAGAGGTGTAGAGCAATACACAACCCAGAGATAATACAGGGCAAGTAGTAGTAGTACTAGTAGTGTAGAAGTACAGTCCACTCAATAGTCGAGACAAGGTCTGCGCCAAGGTGGTATCTTCCACCGTTCGCAAGGTCTTCCACATACTTATGAAGTACATGTATGTACATGTACGGATACATGTACTTGTACATGTGATTGTATTCTTGAAGTTGTGGTGCACCGCTAGGGCACAGGCAGCATTCCCCTGTGCTAAGGCTGACCCAGTCAACTGAAGCGAACTGGTCCAGTAGAATTGCTTTGTTTCCATCTCATTCTCTGTCCAGAAGAGGAAGTTCCACTCCGGCGTGGTGCTTAAGTATAGATTGAGGTGCACCGGAGAAGCTGTGACGCACATTCAGTCCATGCTGATCATGGCATAGTACAATCTTCATTCGTCACCTGCACTTCATGATGATGCTGAGCTGTACCATGATGATGCTGAGCTGTACCATGGTGTGTGCTCGCACTGGTCACAGTTGTACACGCGCATTGGAAGATAACGTGCACGCTGACTTGCTGACTTGGCCCTTTAGAGCCACAAGTAGCATCACTGTGGTTGTCTGTATAGAACTGACGGATCACATACAGTACTGCGCACTGTGATCGACCGCTGGACAGTTGCCTTTTGCTAGCTCTTCGCACGCGCTGACCGAGCAAATTGCTGAAATACGTAGAGTTAAGGAAACAAAGCTGCAGTTACTCGAGACACATGGAACTGGTCCAGTGCCGCCACCAAAGAAGCATAGTGGTGGAAGAAGACATCACAGACTTATGTGTACATCGCACAAGTACACGACACTAAGTTACACTGCATGAAACCTGGCCATGAGTACAACCATCTAAAACTGCTGCCCACATGACACGTGCATGTACCACTAAAAATGAAAGAACTTGTCAACAGTTACTGTTGGTCATACAGGTTTCTCATCCGATGCTCAACTTAGACTAAAACAAGTGCATGAAAAGCTTGATTGCAGAACACGGCATTCAACAAACTTTCAAAACTCATATCTTTAGGCTTTGCAGATTCTCGAACAGTAAGAAAATAGATCTACTGCGTATTGCAAGCAAGCTCTCTGCATATTCATGGGACGGAAACGGGTAGGTCACTGCTTTTGATCACTGAGATCATCCGCTAAGAGAAAGGTTAAAATTCAATGATAGTGATGCAAACCCCACAATACGGATGATGCCCAAGGCCACCAAGAGTTACTCAGGATCCTCTATGAACACACACGCGCACACACACACACACACACACACACACACACACACACACACACACACACACATGTACACACACAAACACACACACACACTCACACTACTACTTGTACACACAAACACACACACACACACACATACATGTACACACACACACACACACACACACACACACACACACACACACACACACACACATACACACAAGCACAAGTGTAACTCCATTATTGGGTCTTTGAAGGAGGATACAACAACTAGAGGCTTCGACTGCAGAACAAATCCATTTGTTTCTTTCCGGGCCTTTTCTGCTATTTCCTCATCGGCAAGTGTAATGAAGGCTTGGCCTTTCATTCTGCCTTCCTGCATCAAACGGATGTTGAATCTGAATTCACAACGATCAATATCAACAATGACAAGTTAGTTAACAAACAATAACTCACCATGGCAAAAAAACAATCACACATGTTCAACAGTACATACAAGAACCGAGGCCTGAGAACAATATCGCACAGCACACAGCGAGCGCTATGCGGCCGTTCCAACCAGATCCAAGAGAGCAAGGAGTTGTTCACCTACTGTAAGATGAGAGGATACTGGACTATTATACTTGTCAAACTGCTCCACAGTGTTTTGTTAACTTCAGGCTCATGATATTCTTCGCAGGCATTGTAATGGAGGTCCGTACCTTTCCATATGCTCGGATGATTCCCTGTCTACAAAGCGACCGAAGATAAACCGGAGATCCTGCAAAGCACACAGATTAATAGAATATCAGACACGTCCCAGCTCACGGCAGTCTCTCATTGCTCAGGGCACTCTCTCACTGCTCACGGCACTCTCTCACTGCTCACGGCACTCTCTCACTGCTCACGGCACTCTCTCACTGCTCAGGGCCGCACTCTCTCACAGCTCAGGGCCGTACTCTCTCACAGCTCAGGGCACTCTCTCACTGCTCAGGGTACTCTCTCACTGCTCAGGGCCGCACTCTCTCACTGCTCAGGGCCGCACTCTCTCACTGCTCAGGGCCGCACTCTCACAGCTCAGGGTCGCACTCTCTCACTGTTCAAGGCACTTTCTCACAGCTCAGGGCCGCACTCCCTCACTGCTCAGGGCACTCTCTCACTGCTGAGGGCTGCACTCTCTCACTGCTAAGGGGCACTCTCTCACTGCTCAGGGCACACTCTCACTGCTCAGGGCCGCATTCTCTCACTGCTCAGGGCACTCTCTCACTGCTCAGGGCACTCTCTCACTGCTCAGGGCCGCACTCTCTCACTGTGCAGGGCCGCACTCTCTCACCGCTCAGGATCGCACTCTCTCACTGTTCAAGGCACTTTCTCACAGCTCAGGGCCGCACTCCCTCACTGCTCAGAGCCGCACTCTCTCACTGCTAAGAGGCACTCTCTCACTGCTCAGGGCACACTCTCGCTGCTCAGGGCCGCACTCTCTCACTGCGCAGGGCCGCACTCTCTCACTGCTCAGGGCCGCACTCTGTCACTGCTCAGGGCCACACTCTCTCACTGCTCAGGGCCACACTCTCTCACTGCGCAGGGCACGCTCTCTCTCACTGCTCAGGGCACTCTATCACTGCTCAGGGCTGCACTCCCTCACTGCTCAGGGCACTCTCTCACTGCTCAGGGCCGCACTCTCTCACAGCTCAGGGCATTCTCTCACTCCTCAGGGCACTCTCTCACAGCTCAGGGCATTCTCTCACTGCTCAGGGCACTCTCTCACTGCTCAGGGCCGCACTCACTCGCTGTTCACGGCTTCACGCACATCATTGCTCAGAGCACTCTCTTGCATGTACAGCAGACAAGTAGAAACAAGAAATGGAAGGTACAGGAGAAGTTCACCTGGAAAGCATTGCACGCAGGCCAGTAGAGAGACGGTAAACACACAACACTACCTGTAAGCAGGTCAGCTATTTCCCCTTACCTCCTCTGTCACTTGCTTGCCAAGATTTTTAACATATAGGCGACATGATGGCTCCCCAGGCGAGTACGATTTGAACACATTGGCGTCATTCATATCTATTGACATCACAAACGAAATATACAGGAATTACCATTGTAATACCGAGCTACAGTCAGACCTGGTGGCACCAGTGCGCACTACACAGAGGATGCGAGTTGACAGACAGCATTCTACAGATCCCGAAAGCACACAGACGCCAAGATGAATGATGCGCATTCCGGCTGGACCAGATGTGAATGGTGAAGAGCCCAAAAGCGGGTAAATCGTGCATTCTCTGTCTTCCTGCCACTACTCACTAGCACTGGTGTGCATGTTGCCAACTTAGTAGTTCAGTCCTGTACTCCAAGAGACTGTAGAGCACTTGATATTCATCATACCCAGATTATGCAAGTAGGTTTGAATGAAAGGAAACACTACGGTGCAGTTTAGTATATGATATCGTTACTACAGTGTACGTTTTCGACTTTGACAGCATGTTACAAGGCGAGGATGCACAGTGCTCCTGACTACAACCATAACCCGGTTGGCAGAGTCCCGATCTCGCGACCATCAAGCAAGGCTTCTATACATACCATACAGTGTACGTGTAGTAACACATCTTACCGCTCTGCGACAGCCGCCCCTGTTGAAGCTCTTGGCGGCTAACCGTATTCAGCAGTGCTGTCATGAGGTCATCACTGTCGTCACCATGGTCCTCCACTGTTATCTGAGGTGCAGGAGCGAACGTACCAAAGCCTGCTGCCGCCGCTCCCGCATCAGGTTCTTCTTTTTCTGGCGCCGCAGTTTCAGCAGTTTCAGCATCTCCATTTGTTTCTTGCTCCGGGCGTGAACTTGATTCAAGGGCAGCCTGTCCAGCTCTTACAGCTGATTGGATAAGTGAGGACAAGTCGACTTGCTTCTTCCCCTAACATGACACCGCACAAAACACAGTTGGATAGCACACGCACAGTGCAATCTCGCTTATCCAGTACTTCAAAGTACGGTGTACATGTATTGAGTAGGAGCTCACACTCGTTAGATTCCTTACTTCAATCTCCTCATGAAAACTACTACATTGTACTACAGTAGTAGGCTGCTTACAGTGCACTATGTAGGCAGGCAAACTACACAGGTAAATACAGCTAAAATGGCACTGGTAAGTTAAAGTGGGTTGAAAGAGGTGTGAGAAAATAAATACCTGAGATGTGGAGTCAAACACGGATTCAGCATCTACAGGTTGCTCTGATGTCCTTCGCAGTCCTGCAGACGTGTCTGTTGAGGCAACAAAGCGGCGTCTCTTCACGGGTCTGGGCTTTCGCACAGCAATGCTGGAGAGTAAAACAACAGCATTTACATGTACACACCATTCACTAGACCTTCTTACAAATGCCCACACAGCCAAGCCTTCAACACTTTTCTTTGTTGAAAATAAAGCCAACAACAGATCATCCAGAACAAAGTCAAAATTACACAGTATAATCACAAAGGCAGAAGAGAACAGAGACAGCCGGCTAATAATCATGTACTCACGGTTTCGCCTGGCCACCCAAAAAGTGGCGAACAACATCATTCTGGTCATCCTCTAGCTCCGAGCCGCTCTCAGAAGATGATGCGGATGACATGACAGCAATGTCCGCTGCTGGTGCACGGATATCACCACCATGCTACACGGGCATCATGAAACACAGCACACAGCACACAATATATAGTTGAATACTATACAAAGCCGTGCATGGTAGAATTCTCTCTTCATCACAGCCATAGGAGGTCATATTCTACCAGTACAGTAAACTAAAGTGAATAGTAATGAGTACTAATGACTGTGGTAGTCCCACTGAACTATGTCTGATAGTTGCATGACTCTTGTTGTAATGTATGTTTCGTCTCTGTCATTGATACGCTTTCAGTAATCTGCTGATATGCTAGAAGCATACTAGACCTACCTGCACTGCGTTCTTTCTGTACGCACTCTCCACATACTTGGCATTCCCTAGCCCTAGCGCTGGGTAGTACCATGCAGTCTACCAGTGACTTAGGTCTCACGTGATACTTGTTTTAGCTACATTGTAGTGATTGTACATATTGACGGATCCTGGCGCAAGGCCGAGGAGATCGAGAGAGAGAGAGCCCGAGAATGGCGGCCAATTTTTAGGACATCCTCAAAAAGCTCATCAGCTCCAGGGAGCCCTAAAAATATTTGAGCAGAAAGAATGGCGTTCTTCACTCTGGTACGAGGCTTTCCTTGGATTCGTAGGTCGATGTCGGAACTTCTGATTCCGGCCCGGCGCTGTGCTACCAGTCCCAGCGTCACCCTCAACTCTTTGTTAGAGGACGCTCACGAAATAGGCGTTCCCGAAACGAAATTTCCACTGTTCGTGTTCAAGCGGCAGATGGAGATGTTCAAGGTCAAGGAGATGGAGATGTTCAAAGTCAAGGAGATGGAGATGATGAAGAAGGACCTCCATTTCAAATATAAATGTGAGATGGAGATGATCAAGAAGGACCTCCATTTCAACTATAAAGGTGAGTTGGCTGAACTCAAAGTCGCCATCTGCAGCTTGTCGCAAAGAGTGGTTTTCGAATCGTTCATGGAAGACTCGGTACCCTTTCTGCAAGAGTTGGAGACAGTTACACCCAAAGAAAAGGCGGCGTTGTCAGAGCTCCACCCAAAAATGAATGTCCTCAACCGCGTGTTACGGCGCTGTTGGCCCAACGTCGGCAAACGTCTGCTACCAACATTTGTGATAAACGGGCAGTTTGTCACCGACTTCCCTAATCTGGGACGCCGCGGGATGATGTACGGTAACCTGAGGCATAGGCTACTGAAATGTATGTATACATAATTGGTGGCAGCTGGTGGCAGCGGTGGTTGAAGTCAACTTTGTCAGATTCGACCCCACCTGTTTTACATTGGTAGCAATGGTGCTACAAAATTGGTAGCAGCGGTAAATGGTTTTCTCGTTCCGTACGACCAGCATGGCCGGTGTCCCGACATATCCACATCTCCCGTACTGGCTGATTTTCTTTTCATGCTATGAGGTGTTGTCAATAATACTATCACCGAACGACAGTTCACCAAGCGACAGTTCACCGACCGACAGCTCGCCGAACGACAACTCACTGAATACCCAGTTCACAGAATGCCCATTTCACCGAATGCATGACCCAACCGGATGCGCCAGCCGCCGCTCCTCCGACGCCTGCCCGCCACATCCAACCCAACCGGATGCGCCAGCCGCCGCTCCTCCGACGCCTGCCCGCCACATCCAACCCAACCGGATGCACCAGCCGCCGCTCCTCCTACGCCTGCCCGCCACATCCATTGATAGCCAGAAATAATGACAGACAACGTCTCTACCGATTCATCTCCATTTCCAACGTAAGCTAATTCCCGATATGGCATTTTCTTTCCTGTCTTCCTTCAGTCTTCCTATTCTCTTCAGTCTTCCTTTATGCGAGTGTGTGAATCCAGTTTAGTTTGGTAGGCGTCCGATCATGGTGAGCCACGGTCTACCCAGCTAACGTGGGACAATGTGTGTGACAATGCCCCTTATAGTGTATTCAGTTCGGTTTTTGAACTGCGATGTTCCTGGCGGGTTGTGCCAGCGTTGTGCAGCAAGAGTGCTGTGGTTTTTCAGGTCCTATTTGGACGACGTTTCTTTACCCTTTTGACCCCGTGAGATCGTGTGAACCTGGTGTGCTTCTACTTTATGATTTGTTTATCAGTTCATTCTTCTGTCTATTCCAAACGTTATCATTTCCGATATTATTTGCCATACTCCGGTTGACGCTCTCCCAGTAATTCGCGATCTACTATAATGTTCACGAATACATACCTCATACCTGTATATGCAAGACATCCATTCTGCCTATCTCCAATCGTCGAGTTTATTCCGACGCGACCATGCATGCCACCAGTTTCTTCTAAATAGTAGCCAGTTGTTGGTGTCCGGCTATCACCTAGTATTCGAATCACGAGGACGTGATTGTATTTGAGAGGGGAGGTGTAGCGTTGGCACGCTGGTGACTTCACAGCGTGTAGCGTATAGTGTTCAGCGTATAGCATATTGCCGTACGTTACTGTATCCCCGTATGTTAGCATATTCCGGTACGTTACTATATCCCCGTACGTTAGCGTATCCCCGTACATTAGTGTACGGAGTTTGCCTGTGCATTAAAGCTGCTGCTCACGATTCTTTTGTTGCCAGTCAGTTAATGTAGTTGCCAGTCAGTTAATTAAGTAGCCAGTTAATTTCATTGCCAGTTAATTTCATTGTCAGTTATAGTTACATTTCAATTGCCAGTTACAGTGTGTTCACTGAGACCCGTGTGCATTTGCCTCCGAGAGAGACTGCGGCCCGCTACACCAGTATGGCATAGTAACACCGTATCCTACGCATGATGTACTACTGTATAACACCTTTATTTCGGTGTAATTTAAATTTCGGTAACTTCGGTACTGGTCCTGGATCACCGAATTACACTTCGGAGCTCCGGCTTCGAATGTGACAGTGTGTTTGGCCTAATTCGCTCCTAAAACCATAGCAATTCAAAGAAAATTTTCAAACTCCGCCACCATATTACTCCCGATTGTCCTGATTATTTATTATCCAGAACCCTTTCCGGAATTCCTTGTATTTATTCTTATTGCATGTATTGACTATCCCTTTGCTGGATTGAACCGTGTTGGCTGGTGTGATTGACGAGTTGACTAAAACAAGTAACGTAACTAGTTGAGATGTGGTCACTAGTTCATCCTAGTACACGTACAGGTAACACCTGCAATGCCACAAACCATTATAATAGAAGTTGTACCAAGAGCACCAAAGTGTACCAGAGTGTGCAACTCCGGAAGAACGAACCCACGGCAAAGGTTTTTGTTTATGTCATAGTGACTCACCTTTGCTGCATCTCAGCTCATACCGGCTTACACGGTCATCTTACCGCATCACCAAAGTAATTTCTGTTGTACATTGCTCCTTGTCATACAAAGGGTGAAAATGCATGCAATTTTCCCGTTATCACCTTGGTGGTACAGTGAGTTGGCACTGAACCTACAGCATGGCGGGTTATCTATGATTCACAATGATTTAAAGAGTTGCACACTCTGCTTTATGTATACATGTACTTGGATGCAGCTAATGGGACTTCGGTCTTTGACCACTTGGTGGTGGGTCTGATCTACTCACCTCCCACCGTTTAGGCGCTGCATCTGCGCCTTTGATCCTAGAGGGTGGTGGCGTTCCCACGGCGGATGCGGAAAACTCGGCTTCCAGCCGAGTCTCACGCGAACCGTGAAATTTATTATTTATACTGAATTCACGGGGACTGAGAAAATCTAGCGGCCCTTACTTCCAGTCAATTTTTTCTTCAGACTTTTCATTTTCAACTCCTTCAAAAGTTCGCTCGGTGCAGCGTTCAACACTGAACAAGGCGATGATAAGTTCTTGGAACAAACCGGGCTAACGACCAGTTTGGGACTGTCCCCGTTACACCCTTTCCCTGTATGGTATGAACTCAAACACGATAGTGACTAACCACTGGAGGTGTAGGTGTTACTGGGCCAAATGGTGGCGGTAAGTTCATCTTGTTCATCAAATGAAGCACCTGAACAAAAGAACGAACACGAGACACAACAGGACGCTCTTCAAAAACTTGATACTACAAAAGAAATGTACTGATTGTTTATCCTCAAATGCAAGAAAACACAAGAATCTGGACTTAATGTACCATGCAGTTAAATGCATGCATTGGGAAATGGGTTTCGCAGCCACAGAGAAAAAAGCGAAGCATGGAACTAGCGGAGGGCGAGCAGTGCTGTGGCAACAGTTACATGTACGTGTAACGCCGGTACGTTCAGACCTACCTGAGTGTAGAACTGAGGCACGCATGCGAGAGTGTGGGCAACGTTGGTGATGATACTGGCAGACACCGGTGGGTAACGATAAGACACATGCGACGAGGGTAGGCAAGACCTAATCCGAAATGGTTTCACACGAAGGAAAAAAAAAAGCAGAGGGAATGAATACCATTAGCAAGCAATGGTGCACAACATGGAAAGGATGGCAGAATGATGAAAAGACTTCACTACAGCTCACTGCAAAAATTAGAGAAATAGTGGTCAGATACAACACCTGACACAGACGGTCGGGTTGCACAATCCGCAAAAGTTGAAGTAACCTTCATCATTTTCTGGAAAGCACCAAGCATCCGGCACGTTTCACAGCACGCAGAGTGGCTTTTAAAAACATAAACTTATTGAATGGATAGACTTACGATGCTGAAGAACCCAAAGATGATGGGACAAAAGCACCACACACTGGCTGAATACGATCCGGTTGTGCCGTATTGCAGGGAACAGTCATCTTGGGCGGCCCTGTGCCCTTAGCTTCCGGCTCATCTTCATCATCTTCAGAACTATCGTTTTCCTTACTGGGTGCCAGGACAAAAGGCAAACAGAGAAAGGGAAATAAGACAAGAGCCTACAAAAGCATGACAATACAAATACAATCACATACTAGTAGTATGCTGTGTCATTGGCCCGTTACTGTAAGAGAGAACTTACTCAGGCACACATGCCATCACAATCATGAATGCCATCATAATTTTAGAATTTCAATTTTTGACCATAATTATGGTACTTGCTTTTGCAGAGTTGGACACATATTTAAAGTGGATGCTTTCATGTAGGCTTATTCTTAAACCATGTCCTCTTTCGTCTAATGTCGATTGGACTTTTAGCCGTTCGTGCGTAATGGAATGCACAAAGTACATGTACACATTGATCTCTAGGCAGGACTAATAACAATAACAATGATACAGCACGCATATAGCATGAAAAAATCGTGAATCTGTCGACTGTGAATTCGACTATGCATGATTGCCTTCACCTAATTCCATCATATTTGGTACGCGCGGATAGCGTAAGGTTTCACTCACCGAACTCGTTCCTCTTCCGCGACATGCTCAGGCCGAGCATACACAACCACAAGTCGGTTTTCGATGATCTTGAGTTGATGTAGACGAACGAGTGCCTGCATATACAGAAGCAAAGGTCAGATGAACATACACTTGTCCCACTGGAAATAAAGGAGAACTAAGTAAGAAACTAGTGATGTGTCTGAAGTGAATCTGGCACATACCTATACCATGAGTAGAGGGCACTACGCCTCGAAAGGGGTTGCTTGTATCTGCCCCATTCCTGACCGGCGCTAAATGGGAGAGTGGTCCGTGATCCACCATGCACATCAGCATCGACCGAGGACATTATAGAGTTGGTGGACAAGCCGTTGATTATCCACTCTCATTGTAATATCAAAAAGTATTCTTTCTTTATCCACTGACGATGTTGTTCAGAACAACGAAACGTCTGGAGAAGTATCGTAAATTTTATCAAATACTGTAAAACATGTAATTTTAGGTGCATTAAAATTTCGGTGGCAGGGACCTGCCAGGTTTCAGGTGTAATTTAGAATTAGGTGACCAGCGTTTCCTTCACATACAGTGCATACTCTAGTGCCTTTTAGGTGTAATTTAAATTTAGGTGCCTGGTTTCTCTACCAAAATCACCGAAATTAAAGTTACACCAAAAATTACATGTTTTACAGTATACCACTCTTTGGTCTAGAAAGAATACTTTCTGATACCAGGACATTATATCAGCCTAGGTAATGCCCAAACCTTCAAAACAGGGAGTCGTACAACTCTTGTTTGACTCCCTGCTTCAAAACTGTGCTGAGAAAGAGAGAGAGAGAGAGAGAGAGAGAGAGAGAGAGGGGGGGGGGGGGAAGTCAACCAAACTAAGATGCCATTACTGCCGAATACGGCCACTATACCTTATGAGCATCCAATGAAGATGGAAATGATGCAAATGCGCAGTATCTCTGTACAGGAACATACAACAATGTGACCAGTGTCCTCAACGCAAGTCACGAAAACTGTCAAAAAGGGAAACTAGAGGGACTGTGAGTAGATCTTGTACACACAAGCTGGTCCCAAACCTAGAATCCCCAAGGCAAAGACATTAGGCTTTCACAGGCTACACTCTCCTGCAAGCTAAATCCTTGTACCAATAATACAAAAATAAGCGAAATGCCTATACATGTATTCACTGGTTTGAGGGAAAGACATTAACGGGAAATGTACCTTTGATATATCAAATATGGATTGCTCAATAAATGCCCGTTGCTGACTTGAACAAGCTGTAGCTCGTTCATTTTCGTATCTCATTCGCACCAAGTAGGTGTCACAATGGGCAGTAAAAACCATCTATGTACAAAACACCGGAGGGTCATATCCTGCTCCAAAGAAAAGCTATAAGCCTTTGAATGTGGCCTATTTTGCACTGTATACGGAACAGGTGGTGAAAAATTCGTGATACTGCCAACCCAACTTTGCCCGATGGTTTTCTAAGTACCGTACTGGCAATATATGTTGCCGCGTAACGCGTAACGCAGGGGGTGCGGCGTAACGCGCGACCAGGCTAGTGCGACAAATTTTCGTTGCGTTCGTAACGAGCGTCCGGCGGGGTGCGGCGATCTTTTCATTGCAGTTTGCAAAAAATGATGCGGCAATAGCAAAAAAATGATGCGGCAATAGCAAAAAAGTGATGCGGCAATAGCAAAAAAAGGACTGCGGCAATATAGAAACCTGTGTAACGGCTCCTGTGCGATTTTGCATGAAACGCCCTGCGTGCGGTAAACATGTGCCAATGTAACGCTTCATGGCCTCACTGCGACCATATATATTGCCAGTACGGTAGTACACCTACAAAATGATCATATAGTTCCAAATTCGAGGCAGTGAGGCGAAGCAGGTAGCCACCATACCGGTGAGTTATGAGCCTCTTCGAAAATGGGTATCGTAGTTTGATTCTTGCTTGTCACACAAAATGAAGACTTGACACTGGGTCACTGGGGGCTACAGTACATTTTCTGGAAGAAACTTTCCTAAAATCCCAAGTCCACCTAATTCACCATAGGGAAACCAAAGATAGGATCAGAAAAGGCCACAGTGTGTATCGGGACCTGGAAATAAGTCCACTGCGAGGTAAAGAGAGCAATATGGTGGGCAATTGTACAAGGTGAAGCCTTGCATGTATCTCTTAATTTGCTGGGCAAAAGTCCTATATATAGGATTTGAAAATGCGTGACCTTTATGCCGTTGTTATTGGTCATCATGAGTCATTCATGACCCATGATAAGAGCATAATGGTTTTATTAGAAGCTGTAAATATGTTTGAGGCATGCATGTTTACTTTTTAGATTCATAGGACATCATGAATACCCATTTTGAGCAAGGATTGGAATTTTGAGCATTGTTCAGCTGGTGTCATGGGAAGGACTGAAGCAGTGAATGTGCAAAAGAACATTACAGGTGTGGCACGGGGTGGTTTCATGACGACATATCGCACATGCCGTCGTGAAACTACCAATTTTAAGGATAAAACAAGGTCCAGTAAAATCTCAAATCCTATATATAGGGTTCAAAAAATAGGGCACAGGCCTTAGAAATATTGCGCAAGGAGATGAGCCTTAGATGTTAGTATTTAAGAAAAATATCTTATTCAACTCTCCATATCGACTAAGACCTAACACGGAAGAATTGATCACATACGTTTCCCTATGCTCATGCCACACCCATTTTGAGTTGAAAAATATGACCAAAATCCTATATATAGGGTTTAGCAAATTAAGAGATAGTAAACACACAGCCACAAACACTTCCCCGTGAAATCTTCACCCATACACACGCACACACGCACACACACACACACACACACACACACACACACACACCATGCACAAGTCACACACACACACACACACGCACACACCATGCACAAGTCATGCACATCCATCAAGAGGTGATTTAAAGGATACATATTCCCAGCGCATACCCAGGGTCATTTGCCACCAAATAAGGATACAGGAGAGCAGCAGAGGTGATCAAATGTCACTGTCATGTCACTGGTGACCCAACCATTCATCAGATGAACGGAATCGAATGGCACCGAACCAAAGAACTCGCTATGGGGCCCGTCCAATCTGGAGCCTGGAAAATACCACCACAACGGGTACGGATTGGTTTCAATAGATAGCCCCCTTTACGCTAAATTAAATTCTTCCCTGCTAGTACAATGTTAGCCAATAAATGATCTGCTGCATAAGTGGACTTATCTTAACTTTTAAATTGCATAGTCTACAGGGGCGTGGAGTCTGGCCTGACCCATATTGGATCTTTTTTTCTGCCAAAGGCAGAGTTAATTAGACTAGACTTTACACACAGCTGTCCCGAACCATTGCAAAACCCTCTACCCCTCAGAGAGCTTGACAGAAATTCCAAGTCTTCGCCTAACGACACATGCATGCCAGGTAGTCGTAGCATCTCACAGGGAGACTGTACCGGCCACTGTAACGCTGAACGATGTGGCTCGCTACAGTACCCCTTGGGGCAGAGCCGATTTATACCCGCTCGCATACTATGGTATCGCTCGTCTGGACCGCAATTGGGGCCTACAGGTCAAGGTAGTGCTCGCGATTGCAAGATGCATAGACCACGGATCACATAGAACTTCTAAATCAGGGGTCGAAATGCACATCGTTTCGGGTACTTGTACCAAGATCTCTTGTCGTCACACGATCATGTAGATGCTACGATTCTCCGACGTATATCATAAGCGATATCCGTGTGATCCGTTCATGTAAACTGTGACTGAGTCTGCTGAATAGCAAAGTGAAGGCATCCTTGGGAAGCCTGCTATTACACCACATACTAGTAGCAAATTATACACTACACCGGCTGGTGCATGTACTCGTGATTAAACTCTTCAGCAAAAAGTCTTCAGTGTGAATGGCACACTTGAATTCCAAATTCAAATTACTCAGCCAAGCTTAATAACCAGACCCAGAGTCACACAATACTCATACCGCACTGTTACTGTGGTCCTAGCCTAGTGGTATATAAGTGGTATGGTAGTTACTATTCACAAAATATTGTCTGCTTACCAATTTAGATTGTTTAGGCATGCATGTCACATCTGTGGCCCCAAAGTGACGCAAGAAATCTTCTTTGTCACTTGGGGATAATGATGGTGGGAAGCATCGCACCAATAAACGAGTATCGCCTTCCACACAAGGAGCAAGAGCCATTGTTTTCAACACCAAACTATTACAAACTTTACATTTTCGAATCTGAAAAAATCAAAAAATAATTGGATCATGCATCATGCGGAGCTGAAAAAGAAAAGAAAAAAGTCGGGCTTGTCCGGGATTTGAACCCGGGACCTCTCGCACCCAAAGCGAGAATCATACCCCTAGACCAACAAGCCTGATCACAAGGGCCGGAGACTTATGAAAAGATATCAGCCGAGCACAAGCACATCAATATCAAGTCATCAGATTTTGACGTAACATGCAGGCACAGGTACTAGGTCACAGTAGGTGTCATCAAGACGAACTCTTGATGTCATCATGGTCGACATTGGCATTGCTTGCATGCCTGGGCAAATAATTTCAAACCAGGGGACAGGGAGTCGCCCACACCCCTGCCTAGGTTTGGGTGCGACTCCACTCCCTTTTACTTGGGCAAAAACAACCCAGCACTAAGCAGCCAGCATGCATGGCAAGCCAACACTAAACTGGTTATGCCTTAGACGGAAGTTAGAGCTCACAGCGATCATTTTCAAAGGCCCAGTTTAATACCCAGATTTCATTCGCCCGGTACGAACGTACCCACGCAATCCAACTTCATGTAATAAAACTAATATCGGAAATTAAATAAAAACAGTGCCGGGTATACCTTATGATCCAGCTCGTACGGCAGGCACTGGCACTACCGGTACACTCGCTTTGCTAGACAGTTTTACTGTGCATGTACAGGGGACTAATTTCAAGTACATGTAATGTACTCTAGCTCCCAAGCTTCGAACACCGAGTATAACAACACAGTCATATGTTATCATGGATTCTCAGATACATTGTACATGTATACTTCAAAAGAAGCACATGCCATAGCTCCAGAGCATGTTTAGTCAATGAGTAAGCCGTATTCAACAAACCTAAACTGTTTCAAACCAGCTTTAAATACTGTGACTCGAAAAAGGAATTTTTTTTTAAAGAACCAGGAGTTTGGCTGCTGTGAAGGCGAAAAACAACTAAACTCGTCAAACAAATAAGCAACTTGTCGATGAGCAACATTCTAATCGTTCAAACTGTGGCAAACATACACAACTTGAAAAAGTCAACAATGAAACAGAAACATGCAATGTCAAAGTACATGTATACGGATGATTCGTTTATATTAAAGGTTAAAAATTAAAATTAACAGCAAAAGACGTGGAATCGTATTAAAAAGAAATAGAAAAAAGGGAGCAGCTTGAAGCATTTCAAATAGAACTACACGTACATGTAGTCAACGGATATGGAGGTCACATGTACAACCATACCGAAAACGCCCATGTCATCCACTTCCACATCTACGGCAAGAAGAGTAAACTCTTGTACAAGCTCAATACAAGCGCTGCAGGACACGCCATGGCTGGTAGTAGTAGCCAATGCACATGACCAGCAGTCACACATCGGTAGCTTACTTGCATCACTCGACAATGGGAAGGGTGAAAAGGAGATGCATGCGACGATCTCATACACGCTGTAGGCAAGCGTGGCAAGAATACGGTAGGGGCTGCAGCTCTGCTGTATCAGGCTCACTTTTCCGCCGGCATTTCATGGAGGATCTACAGTTCCACGCGTAAACTGTACGTCATGAACAGATCGGGTTATCGGGTCCCTTTCACAATTCTGCTCCACGCTGCACGAGAAACGCGTGTGCCGGTAATTCCACAGGTCAGAATGCTATGGCAAGAACAGGCAGTAGCAGGCAGTGTTCAGCCAGCCACGGCGCCGTGTTCTACATGCTGCCCATCACTGGTGGTGGCGGTACTTCAGCAGCACAACGCATCACAGCTCCATATCCTGCTTAGACTGCTACACCCATGTCAGGATGGGCTTGGACCAGTCCTGATTACAGTCAAATTGCTTGCTGTTGTCTTTGGCTAACAGCTAGGTTACTTGAAGTAGCGTTCCATCCGGTGCTACACAATGGTCGATGGCCAAGGAGCAGAGGGATGAAGACACCTAGGACCAGAACAAGCACACACCAACACAGTCAGACCAATTTTTTCAAACAGAACTACCCATGGAGTACAACGTATTCTAAAAAGTAAAAAAACACCTAGCGAGTATGCCACTCCACCAAGTGGACAAATGGGCACATTGGGCATGCTTCGTGTGTCATCAACCGGCAAATACCGGGGTCACGACTGCCAGTCTCTGTGGTATCCAGGGGAACACCACACGCTACAGTAGAGTGCTGATTATCTGCACCCCTTACAGCGCAGGGGTGTTTCTTGGGAATTCAGATGAGGAGTAAGTTGGGATAAGGGAGCGGGTACACACCCATCTACAACCTGCGAATTCACTCAATTATCAGCATTTCTCGTTCCTTTTTAACAGTAAGGCCTCAGTCACACTACGCCAGAAAAGCCGCGTCAGAGTCAGAATCATGAGTTTTTCCATGGCAACGGACGAAAAGGTGGGGAAAATTGAACGTCAGATGTAGCAATGTCTAAAAACCGGGCAAATCGGCTGTGTTGATGCTGCCGCTGCTAGCACTTGTCTCAACAACAGTGCCTTTGCACATAGCGTACCGTACTACACTGTATAGCGATTTGGGTCACCACTGACTGATTATGTGAAGTGCGCCAGGCCGCGACAATCGCGAGCAGCAAAAAGCACAAATACAGTGCGACACCGTGTCAACATCAAGTGCTCAGGTTTGACGCTGCGTCCAGTGTCAAACTTGACGTCATGTGACCGATGCCTGATACAGTAATACGGCACCCTCCAGCTCCCCGGAACTGCTCACGGAGATGCGTTTGGACAACACCCTGCAGTCCTGCATACTGTGCACCAGTACTATGGTGCTGAGGGAAAACACTAAAAAAATCATGTTTAACCCCAACATTCAGTGTGACCAGACGTTTAGGATAATCGATTGTACGGTCACCCTCTGGTTAAATGACGGCTGGATAATCGACATTCCACTGACTATACCTGCAGAACTTGGATTGCACAGGGCTCCCCATGGAATTCGCCGAGCAAAGTCAATGCACTCCAAACCTTCTGGACGCCACTAAGAACAACACACAGACACGGCCGGAGAAACAAAAATGGGCCGTTGAGGGCAAGATTGTGTCTTCAGGGCTACATACAAGTTAACCAGGTGGAGCTGCCTGCACCAGGGCCATCACCACACTATGATGTACTATAATACAATTAAAGATGAGAATAGTTCAATGCACTCATCCGCAGGCAGAGAGGCGGCCATTAGCGGTTGGGGCTGTTTTGTCAGATCCGTTACCTAAAAAGCGACGGAAGCAGGCACTGCATCGATCATAGTGGTAACTCAACTCGTGTAAGATAATGGATGAATATACGACCGAGTGAAGACCCAGACAAGAAGCGGCTAAATACTCGAATTCCAACGTGTTGGGAGAGGCTATGATTGCCGAATCTCGTCCCAAAATAAGAGACGATTAGCGCCGACGACTGGGGCCAGACACAGAGCATTCACATATGCCGATTAGACAAGACCCAACAGTCGATTTGCCAAAAGGTCGGCCTAATCAGCATTATACGACTGCATCATTAGACTCCTCTGTTATAGACGTACAGCTAACACCACAAGTCATGTAATAGTTACCTGTGTGGCACCCTGAGGATAGCAAGCGAGGCATCAGGTAACCATTGAAGAACATCAACACGTAGAGAAGCTCCAACCTATCACGTAGCATACCAGACACATGACGTACCAGGAAGAAACTCAGCCAAGGTTCAGCAATACAATAATTAGGAGCCATTGCGAGGAAAAAAAGTTTCGATCGTTCACGCTGGTACACAAGCAGTCAAATTTATAGCGTCGATGCTAAAAATGATTTTCTTGAAATGGTTTTGCTAACGGCCCTTACACTCTAGATGCCGCTATACATGTACTACAAGGAATAGGTGCACAGAGTGGGACAGTCAAGAATGGGTGGATGACGCGGAACTCAGGAAATACTATTATGGAAGGCATACACAGACGGGTCACAGGTACCAAACGAGCACGGCCCTTTAAGAAAGGTTACGGCGCGAGGTTGTTTAGCTCCATAATGTGTGACTGTAAGACTTGTTGGAAGGCATGCGGCTCTCCCTGAGTTTCAACCCAATGATGCTTGCACTCACCTGTCCGTGTAGTGAAAGCAATGCAGACGCTACCAGAGCCTTCACCTCATCTCTGTCATCCAATGGATTCTGCTCTATACAGCTAATCACACAGGACAGTATCATACGGTTGCAATACATGACATTGTACTACAATGTCAAGTTACATGCCACATACTACGTCATCGAGTGGTACAAGGTGCTGCCAAATCATCTGATTTATCAGTCACTGTCCAGAACCCGATCCGAAAAAAGACCCCTTCCGCTCTCGGCAGAAACCCTAATAGTAATACTGTACAACCATATACAGTATACTGTAAAAGCCATTATTCTAACGAGTTGCAAATAATAACGATTTCCTAAAATTGATGAGTTTACATGCACCAAAGGTAATGATTCTCTCTCCTTCTCAACGCTCACTAGCAGCAGTAGAAGTATTGATTTCTGTATACCGTTTTCTATCTTAATGTCAGATTTCTCCTCGTTAACTCGTTAGATTTAGCACTTCGTTACATATACAGTGAAACCTGTCTAAGACGACCGCTCAAGGGACCTTCAAAACCTGGTCTCTGTTACCAGGTGGTCTCCTTGTCCAGGGTCATTAGACTGGAAAAAGCATTCCTTGGTGCTGATTTCAGTGGTCGCCTTATCCGAGTGGTCGCCTTGACAGGTTTTACTGTAAGGCTTTTACAGTATTATTATAACAGTAAATACACTACTTTAGTGGTAAGAAGATTGAATACTGTAAAAGCCATATATATATAACGAAGTGCTAACTCTAACGAGTTAACGGGAGAAATCTGTCGTTAAAATAGAAATCGTTATACAGAAATCGATACATATACTGTCCTATTGAGCGTTGAGAATGAGTGAGAATCGTTACCTTTGGTACACGTAAACTAGTCAATTTTGGGAAATCGTTATATATGCGCCTCGTTAGAATAATGGCTTTTACAGTATGCATATCCATGTCACTACAAAGTACCTAACACACATGAGGAAAACTTGACCATGCATAGCCGTCTAGAACAGGTACCCGATACGGGGTGAAATTAATTAATTACATGCACTTGGCAACACTGGGTGTGGCTTCTGTTCTATATAGGGCTTGAAAGTGCTACGTCACAGCATAGCAACAATTTCAAAAATTCAAAAATTGGATCCACTTGGATCCAGTTTTTGTATGGATCCAAGCACATTTCAAGCCGTCTTACTCACAGTAAGGTGATGTAACCAGTGAAACAGACTGATTTGGCTACTGGGGGCGGGGTTACAACTGGTGGCGAAGTAAAAGTCACCCCTGCATACGACATGAGTGGGTTGCTATGCACCCACATACTGAGGCAATAGCAAAGTCACACCTTACTGGATCCAAAATAGAAATCTGATGTCAACTTAGTACTCCCTGGCCGTTTTTGACGTCATCACTTTCAAGCCCTATTGGCTCCTTGTTTCAATCTTTAGTTCACTTTACACAATCATATACATTGGTTAACTACAAAACACATATTGGACATACACCCAGTGACTGAGTGATTACTTTCAACAGTACTAGTAATCATTATGCAGTGAGTTACTGTAACAATAACAATATGTGTCATTGCTGAATATTTGCTGCAGGCATTGCCATTCAGCTGACTGCACAAATAAGACACAACAGGACATTGTAGCTTACACACATCTGCAAATCATTTCATGTGACACAATACAAAGAAAGCCAATGTAACTTACATGTGTAGCTTCATATAAGAGTGCTCATGTTGATGTAGAATACGATTCATTTTGGTGAGAATTAGGCTACGACCTTGTAGCTACCTCGTCTCCACGGTTGCCTTGCCTTGCGTGGAAACAGGTGTTTTTACATTGTAAATCTACTCTCTGGATCAAATCTTCTGTTTGGATAGATTACAACCGATACCATATTACCATGCCATAACGTCAACCACGATCCTGAAAACTGTCTTTCAACTAAAAGTTACAAATACAATTATTTTCATTCAATATTCAGACTCACCTTGTGACTAAAATATGTGAGCCTGGCCTGGTATGATTCATTCGGTTGGTGTTTGACGTCATTTTCCCGGCTGTCACATCATGACGTCAGTGCAGTGTCATGTCAGGGCATTTTACAGTCAAACAGCAAAATATCTACCGCTACAACAACGAAACAAGAAGCTTTTTCAAGTTTTTGTCAAAACCGGTTGCCGGCTGACTGTAGTGAAGTGTGCGTTTGGTTTCATCGCATCGTCGTTTTCAGTTTGGTTCGCCCTGCTCGAGTTCAATCATGAGTTCTTACGATTCCCTGGAGGCTGGCGGGATGCCATCTTTCTCGAGCTTCGATGAGAAAAGTGTGCGTCTTGGTAGGTTCATCAGTGTTACTGTTAGGCATTTTGAACTTTTGAAAATCCCACCTAATGCCAATGCTTGTGTTTTGTTGTGTTGATCGCAGGTTTCATCAGGAAGGTATGGCCATTTTGACACTTCTTCAGTGAACCTGTATCATGTATCAGTAGTACTAGTAATAGCCAGTACTCTAATCGTCGTTTTGATTACTAGTATGGGGGGTTTTCATGACAAATTTCTTATTCTTAGAACTGCACTCTATCACGTTTAGAACAAGACAGGGCAACTGGATGATGAATCAGCAGTCCAGGTCCCAATCTCAATGCACATATGGCTCTTCTCACACTAAAACTGTTGACCCTAGTCCACGGGCACTTCTGGAATGGACTCCGTAACACTCGATGCTCCTGTTCACATGAATTGGGATAAACAAAAATACAATGCCAAACTTTGTCATGTGGCGATAGCAATAATAATCATGTACACAAAATGCATCTATGAGCGGCGTCCGGCTATACCCTGTCCGAACACCCCCAAGGTCCCCTCCTTATCCAAGTGTCACAGTGAACGCCTGAAAGGTGGTCTGATGTGCAGGCTGTAGCATTGTGTACAAAATTGGGATATTTTTGTTGACGGAAGACAAACCAACACACGGGGGACAGAAGACAATGGAATATCTGCTCTTATCACCAATGTACCGATTTTGAAGAGTAATGGTGCGAATGGCCTCACCGGATTTTCCAATAGCTTCTTTGCTTTGTGTGCTGATTGGGGTACATAGTATTAATCGATGGACTAAGCCAAACTTAGTACATGTACATGTACATGCATGATGATAATCACTGTAAAATTGTAAATCCCATAAAAGGGTTTGGCAGGATACAGCCAGCGCTGCCACTGGCCCAACCATAAACTATCGGTTGGTTTTTGAAGCCAAGCATCTACAGTTGCACTCGGTGAAATCCAACTCAAAATGCATATTTTTTGGCGCCCTCAACTTGCACGCCCCATGACGCCCTGGAAGTGACATGAATGTTGCTGGACGTACACATGTACAGTGATGTAATCGGAAGTGGTCCAGTGTGCCAGTGTTGCACTTTGATTCGGATTTCATTTCACCGAGTGCAACTGTAGACAGTACAGTAGATACATGTATACTGTGGCACCTATGCAGAACACTGTGCATGGTTGAGACGAAAATCCTGGTTACTATCCTGGCTGGGGTTATCATGGTTATCTAAATATCTTAATGGTTGTGGTTGTGCTTCTGTGCATGAGAAAATAGCGTTTTCTTGATTGCTTGATTCATTAATTGAGAATTTTGCACTGTGTCCATTCAGGTATATGCGATTCTCTTTGTGCAACTTGCCGTGACATTTGGATTCGTGATCCTCTTCTCCTATGTGTAAGTGGATGGGTTAGTGGCTGATGTGAGCCTCTAATCCCGAGGTCTGCCTACAAATTGTAAGGTCAGATATGTACATCATGAAGTGATGTCATTTACATACAACATGAAGTAATGTCATTGTAGACAGCAAAAACCCAACGGTGAGGGATGTCACCTTCGTCTGATCATGTACTTTTTTTAATCTTCACCATTTTTCCAGAGGATAAGCCGCACTTTAAACACTCGCAATTCACCCAAAAAAGTTGGTACGTCGTATACTACGATGGGTAAATGAACGGTGATATACAGGTAGATGTCTGTTTTTCATGACGACGAATCTGGGTGCGCCTTATATTCCAGTGCAGCATATAACTCCGGAAAGTACGGCACTTTGTGAGCAACAGCAATGATGGGGAAGGCGAACAATAAAAGCCTCCGGCTACATGTATATTCAGCTGTTTTCGCTCATGTGGAGCACAGGCATGCGAGTTGCGGTCGTTTGTTAGTATTCGGTCACGTGTTTTCAGTCGGTGCATGACCGAAAATGAGTGTCTGATCATCAGTTTTAGCAGTCACCATCATTGCTTTTTCCCCTCGAAGTACAAGTCCAGAGCAGAATCCACAGTAATCCCTTCGTTCTCTTTGCTCACTCTCTGAATCCTCTCAACTCCCTAAAGAGGACAGTCACTTAATGAAAACAGTGACATGTTGTGGAGTTCATGGTGATGAATAGCATGTTTGGCATCTCACGTTTGTGCAATGCATCATTCTTGAGATGGCTCACCCGGGAATGTTTCCTCAGTTGTGAGCTTGTGTGCAATCACATATGCGCAATGTACTGTGAATGTTGGGCCACGCTTGTGTTTGTAGAATTCACTGCCAGGTCCAGAGTGGCTGATTCATCCGCCGCAACTGTCTGTTCTCTTTGTCTTCAACGTTTACCCGTTGCTGATGGCGTCAGTGCCTGGTGGTATTGTTGTTGTTGCACGTGTTGTTTTCTTGCAGAGACTCTATCCAACAGTACTGTGAGGCCAATGCTTGGATGTGGGGCCTTGCACTGTAAGTTGCTTCAATGATCTAGTAGTTGTACAGTCGAGAGTCGCGTATCTGTTTGTGAGTTATTCGATGAGCACTTTGATGGTGTACTGTACAATGCATACATGTCTCAAATGGAGATCAAAGTTGTGCACTTAGACATACGCATGCACATACATCTACAGTATGCAACAGGGATCTGATTGTGGCGTGGTATTATAACATGATTCTCGAATGTACATTTGATGATTTAGTACATCGTACAGTCAAACAGCATGCGTAGGTACTAGCTCAGCATTCGATATGTTCACCTCACTTCCTTGTCTGTGTCATTTTGTGATTGCTCAGGGGCTTGCAGATTGCTACTCTTATTGCACTGGCTTGTTGTGGACAGCTCAGGTACGAGAGAATAATCTATGAGGGCCTGTGTGCGCGTGGGTGTGTGCACATGTGGGTACGTGCGTGTGTGTGTGGGGGGGGGGGGGTATGTACAGGCCAGTGTGGATGTGTACACGTCCATCTTTAGTCCCGACTGTGTGTGTGTGTGTGTGTGTGTGTGTGTGTGTGTGTGTGTGTGTGTGTGTGTGTGTGTGTGTGTGTTCATCAGCCTTGCAAGCTGTTGAATGGTGTAATCCCAGCACAAGTTGCTATGTCTAACATAGCTGTTCGCTATCATCGCTTCCGCGATGGGCATGTCTGAGGTCTGAGGTCTGAGGTGTGTGTGTGTGTGTGTGTGTGTGTGTGTGTGTGTGTGTGTGTGTGTGTGTTTGCATACTGCATGTTTTTACGTGAAAGTGATGACGTCAGAAATCAACAAATAATGACAAATAACAATTCCTGGGTAAAATTAGATTCACTCTGCCCATAGCAAAGTACTGCATGTGTCGGGTAGGCCCCTCGTGGCGCACACAGGTGAAAATTTTCCTGTAGCAGGTGTGGGTCCCCAAGCGGGAGGGCCGAGTCCAGTCACTACCGGTGGATATGTCCCCTTGCTATAAAGTAAGCCACTCAAATGTGTATGGATCTACACGAAACTGGATCCAAGTGGATGCTAAAGTCAGCATTGTCATGACTCTGGGCCGGCTGTGACGTAGCACTTCCAAGCCCCATCATTTAAAATTGCATGCGTGTACTTCGAAGTAGAAGTCTCGAAAGCTATTGCCCAATCCTGCGCACTATTTCATCTTCGTCATGGTTCATGAACGCAGCAGCGAAAATTTATTAGAAATCTATTTGCAAGTACATATTTGCAAGTACATGTAGTGACTACTGCAGGATCATTGGTGTAAGTTATCGCTTCACACTTAGAATACACTTCTGACCCATACGGAAGCATGTTTTCACCCATTTACATACATGTACAATGTGTTTCATCACCTCCAAGCCCTCCCTCTCCCTCCTCCCCCTCCCTGCTACTGGGAAGTACGAACTATACTTGAAGTACATCATGCAGCACTTGATGCTTTGGTCATTGTGGTGGTGTTTGTTTCCTGCTGCTGCTGCTGCTTCTGCTGTTGGTGGTGGCACGGTGTCATCTCCGTTCTTCTTCTGCAGACGGAAACACCCACATAATATCATCCTCCTGGGAGTGTTTGTAAGTACCTGTAGCCATATCGTAGTAGAGAATCACCAACTGGCAAGACTGGTATTATCTGATAGCAGGTCACCCTAGCATGAAACTCTGAGTCACAGCAAACGACATATTTCATTCTGTTCTTATTGCAACTGGCAAGACTCTAGGCTTTGCACTTAGTCAACTCTTTTTCCTACAAAAAAACTGCCCTGCGATGGCTGGATTAGGGTACCTTACTCAAGCATAAGCTTCAACAGACTGGACACACATCTGAACAAGTTCGTTGGTGGCAGCTGGTGACTTTCTATTCATACTTTGAAAGTACTATCTTTGTCAACACTTGCTGAGCACTAGTTTTTTGATTTCTAACTGTGTCTACAAGGACACCTGATGAGAAGCTGTTCAGTTCATCTTGTGTGTGTGTGCACCCGCTTTTGTGCGAGTGTCTGCGTATACCCCTCTGCATTGTGGTGCATTGAGTATTCTATTCTACCTGCCCCGTCTGGCCATGCTTGTTCAATAACAGACTTGTATTACTTCAGAAGGATTATGACTTGCAGTTATCCAGACAAGTCGCTTGAGAGAATTGCTGTCTGCACACTCATTTATTGACTGACAATAATATCGGGTCTTTTTGCTATTGCTGGTCCTTCTTGACCATGAATTTACTAGGGTAGATTGCAATGCACAAATAACCTTTTTGTGGCTTATTTTTTTCTCTTGCCATCTTGCAGACCTTGGCTGAATCTTTTCTTCTCGGAACGTTTGCTGCGTAAGTATGCTGTTTGATTGTGGTAATATGTTTTATACTTGGGTTACAGCAGCAGTTGTGTTTGCCGTCTACATGAAGACAGTATCTTGGCCAGCATGGAGCGGGGGCTGGTTTCACCAGTTTGTACCTGTTGGAATAAGTCTGCCTCGTTCCATTAACAGTTTTATAACTTCCGTTGCATCGATAGTACCCCCCCCCCAGAGTGGACAACTCAGTTTAACCCTCATGCCACACAAGAGAGACGAGCCTGTGGGGTGTCGCAAGCGTTTATTCCAGCATGAATAATCATGAGCCTGTGATCGGTAATCAAGTATGACGTACATGTACTCAGTACGAGGTCATGATTATTATGATGTACACATATCACGCACCAGAGAGACAAGGACAGCAGAAGCGACCCGCGGGGTCGTGCGCCGTCGGAACGGCTACGTGTACTACTAGGTTGCTATGGCAGCGGAACACTAAATCTTAGTACACGTGAATAGTTCAATGGTGCCGATGTGCGTGCACTATGCGGCGCCCATCGGCAGCACCCGTGCCTCCTGCCTTTTAAATGGTTCGGGAGGGTGGGAAACAATTTCTGCGGCGGGCAGGCACAACAAACAACTGGTGAATGTCTTTACTTGTTCCTGCCTTACGAGGGTGGCCTTGGGTGAGCTTGCACCCAAGGCGGATAGGTGGCTTATACGGCATGCCGTACGCGCATCGCTGTTGCGAATGCTTGCGTGGGAGCCCGGCAGTGCGTACGACTTTAGCGGAGCTCGTATGAGACTTAGCCGGTTTTGGCGTGTCCGCGGACGGCATCTCCATGCGGGAGATGCGGCTCTGTGACATGTAGGTTAACTACGGTTTGCGCAACGCAAACCAACATTTAACCCTCATGCCACACAAGAGAGACGAGCCTGTGGGGTGTCGCAAGCGTTTATTCCAGCATGAATAATCATGAGCCTGTGATCGGTAATCAAGTATGACGTACATGTACTCAGTACGAGGTCATGATTATTATGATGTACACATATCACGCACCAGAGAGACAAGGACAGCAGAAGCGACCCGCGGGGTCGTGCGCCGTCGGAACGGCTACGTGTACTACTAGGTTGCTATGGCAGCGGAACACTAAATCTTAGTACACATGAATAGTTCAATGGTGCCGATGTGCTTGCACTATGTGGCGCCCATCGGCAGCACCCGTGCCTCCAATAAAGGTACCGAGTGGCTTGCGACACGCAGGCTCTAGTAGTGCTGTGGCATGCCTGCGGGCCTGCGAATGTACGTACGATATACCCCGCTGGACCAGCGGCCTGCAGCCATCAGGGCATACTCTGGGGTGCCTCGATCCGCCATGTATGTGGCTCCCCCGGCGCGTAAGGAATGGCTGCTACGTGTGCGGCCGGCGGGAGGTGGACATCCGGCGGGATGTTATGCAAGCGGGGCTGGCGACCCTGGACAGACACACAGAACAATAGACAGCGGGCGGCGAAGCATTGGCTCGGCGGAGCCGTAGCTTGCAGCGGGCAAACATACAACCTGCTAGGTAGGCTTAACGCCCTCTACAATTTGCCTCGGTAGCACGGCAACGCGGTGCCTGGCCCTTATTTTGTTTGCGCCATACGGGCCACGCGTGTCGCGTACATATGGAGCGCCCCCGAGCATAGCGGTCGCCTGTCCGGGGCCTGCGGGGTATCGGCCACCATTCCTCCCAAAAAAGAAAAAAAGGGGGTTCTAAGGGGCCGGATAAGCCCGGTAAGCCCACAGAGTGGTAAGATAGACCATGAAGGGTTCGCCCCGGCGAGGGCATGGATAATCATTCACAGCGGAAACTGTAGGTGGGATAGTAGGGTAGGGGAAACAAAACAACAAGAAAAGAGCAGATATGCGAGATCCTGGGCTGGGGGGACTACGGACGTACGGCGAGCCTGCGTAGTGGTGGCTGGGATTGCCGGAAGCTTGAATTGGCGGCTGGAGCGCTTGGCCAACTGCAGACGGATGCAACTATCCGTTGTCGGATTGGGCACTTGCGAGTGATGATGGGGCAGTCTCCGCGTCGGAACCAGACGGCGGAAGCGCTGGAACTGGGCCCGGGAGAGTGCGTCTGCGATGCTGTTGTCGACGCCGGCGATGTGACGGACGAGCCGGCAGAAGTTGTGGCGAGCGGCGAGTTGCATGGTGCTGCGTATCAGGGCCATGACCCTGGCGTGTCGGCATATGCCGGACTCCCAGGCGGTGCACCCTGCTGAATTATCGCCGTGCAAGAGGTCCAGTCCTGCGCACATGGTCTGCTATCGTGTCAATCGTGATTAGAGAGAAACGGTAGGCCTGCTTGTCAATGAACGAATTGACGCTGTTCCCCTCGGGGGCGGACAGGTGCATGATGAGCCGGTGGCCGCCCGACTTCTTGGGGACCACACCTACGCCAGGGGTGCGCAGATGGACGAGTGGCGGCGCGTTGAAGGGGCCAGCGGTGTGGCCGCGACTGCATTCCGTGGCCAAGTACTGGTCGACGACCTCGGGGTGTGCTGCCGCTGAAGACAAGTTCGGGCTGCGTACGGACACGTCACGGGGTCCAGTGAACCCGATACGACAGCCGGCACGTAAATTGCTAATAAGAGAATGAACGAATGCAGGATTAGGGTGCGCCAGCAATTCAGTGTGTAATGCATCAATATTGATAGGGGTGCTGGGGTGTAATGCAGCAATGTCCATAGGGGTGTTAGGGGGCGGGTGAATGCAAGAAAGTGGTGCCGGGGCTGATTGCTGTTCGCTCTTATTTCTTGGCTGGACAGGCTGACACGGCGTGCGAGCCTGAGCAGAAGAGGCAGGCGTGTCGAAAGCGACATGGGCCGCTGCAGGCGCCGTGATTGTAGCGGCGGCAGATTTCGGTTGATTTAGTGCTTGCACTCTCTTTCGCCTGCTTGCCGCAAAAGGCCGAGGTGCACGCTCCGGCCAAGTGCCCCACCTTGCAAATGTTGCAATTGGGGAGGGCCTGTCCCGTGAAACACGTCGCGAAAAGCTCCGTGTCGAGCTCTGCCAGGGATCGGCTTGGGTCCTTTGACAGGGCCTGGCGTGCCCGCGTGTCATGGTCCACGACTGCCGAGAAGCGGTACTTCCCGGCTGCCTGTACCATACGTATTTGATGCTGCATCAGTGCAGCGGCGCAGCGAGGGTGATCACGGATGGCGATCAGGCTAAAAATAGACCATGCCTCGGTCCATGTGGCAAGGTTCACAATTTTTCCTTTCGGTGCGCTTGTCACCGAAAGTGCCCCTTCCTCGTCTATATGGAACCTCTTAGGGGCTGGCTCCCCGGCAGAAATAGGTTTGGGCGGGAGCAGTATTGCCAGATCTATGTACTCGATTCGTCTTATCCAATCGACTGTCTCCAACGAGACGTGCGAAATACAGGAGGGGTAACCCATGTGCGTATAGTGCATGAATTCATCAGCACACATACCGTCTTCTTGCTCCGTGGCGTTCTCCGGTGCGTTGCCGCTGAGGGCTGCTGCCACGCTGGCTGCCACTATCTGCTGGATAGACTCCCTTTGTGCCTGCGAGAAAGCCATGGTGGGTGCTAGACTATCGCTGAGAGCGGAAGCTTAGAAGAGACAATTTCAAACAATTTCTGCGGCGGGCAGGCACAACAAACAACTGGTGAATGTCTTTACTTGTTCCTGCCTTGCGAGGGTGGCCTTGGGTGAGCTTGCACCGAAGGCGGACAGGTGGCTTATACGGCATGCCGTACGCGCATCGCGGTTGCGAATGCTTGCGTGGGAGCCCGGCAGTGCGTGTACGACTTTAGCGGAGCTCGTATGAGACTTAGCCGGTTTTGGCGTGTCCGCGGACGGCATCTCCATGCGGGAGATGCGGCTCTGTGACATGTAGGTTAACTACGGTTTGCGCAACGCAAACCAACATTTGGCAGCATTCCATTAAAACAACTGTGAGCTCCGTGTATTATCAGCCTGAAAATTTACCCCTGCCTGGTGAGAAAGATACTCCTGTTCAAGATGTGTTCACTCTGTATGCACCAACAGGAAAGTAATGGCCAAGATCAGGCTCAGTGTGACATAGTCTGATGGTTATACTCTTGGTGACATATTGCTGTTGCCTGCCGCTCATCTCTTTACCTTCATCTTGTGTTCTTGCAGTCACTTTCGGAGGGAATCTGTCGTGTCAGCTGTCGCCATCACTGCTGTGAGTTTAGTTTTCTGAAGTACAGGCACTCCGCTATCCATATTTGGTTCCGCTTTTCTGCAAAGAATTCTGCCACTGGAAATCAAGCTTTTGGTCCTGCATCTGTATACCACCCAGTGAACCTCTTGTGAACAACTTGTGTCTAGCCAGAGCAATGTGTGTGTGTGTGTGTGTGTGTGTGTGTGTGTGTGTGTGTGTGTGTGTGTGTGTGTGTGTGTGTGTGTGTGTGTGTGTGTGTGTGTGTGTTACTTATGCCTAATTGTGTTGGGTCTGTTGCCAACAGGCTCGGCTGCTTGAAGGTGTATTTTTGTATCTGCCACCTTTGTTGGTTTCAGGGTTCGTATACTTTCTATTTGAAGTATTATTATTATTATTATTATTATTATATTATTATGCTCTATTCGCGTTAGCATCAGTGAGCTTATAAAGCTCACATATAGCCTTCGCTTAAGCCGCAAGAAGGAGCAAGTGAGCGCGAGGAAGCGCAATGCACACAGAGCGTCAAAACAAAACAAAAACAAAAACAGAAAAAAGAGACAAGCTGCAAGAAGGAGCAAGTGAATGCGAGGAAGCACAGTGCACATCAAGCATCACAATCACAAAAAAGACAAGATGGAAACGCAAAGTTATGTCCATTGTTGCATTAGCGGCTACATACAACCTTCACCAGGTCCTGCCACTGAGGGCGATCCTGGGCGAGCTGCTGCAGCCTGTTGCAGTCATCTCCATTATCTATATATAAAGGTATAAATTATGTCCATTGTTTCATTAGCAGCTACATACAGCCTTCACCAGTTCCCGCCACTGTCGACGGTCTTGGGCAAGCTGCTGCAGCATGTTCAAGTCATCGCCAGTCTCTAGGGCGGTATTATTTTTCAGCTTTTTGAGATCATTATTGAGCGTTCGCGGGAGCGTTGTTCTTGGGCGTCCCCTAAAGCTGGGGCCGTTACCCCCTAAGAAGTAAGCTCCCATGGCACGTCTGGCTGGGGCTGCCTCTTCCAAACGCAGCACATGACCAAACAGCCTCCATCTAGCATCTCTGATGATTTGGCTCACGGGGCGAGATTCTGTGCGTTTATACAGGGAAGTGTTCTTTATTATGAGCGGGTATTTAATGCCTATCACTGTTCGCAGCTGCTGCCTGTGGAACGAGTCCAATTTCCGCTCCTGTGTCCCCGTGAGACTCCACGTGCCACAGTTATAAAGCAGGATTGGTAGAATGAAGCTATTATAGAGGCGCACTCGTAGGGACTCTCTGATGTGTTGCCCTCTCAGCCATATCACCCACATCCGGTGAAGTGCGCTTGTAGCCAACCGCTTTCGTCTGCCTATGTCCTCATCCACTCCAAGCATCGAAGTATACATACCTGTTAACCATGGACTGCTTCTGGCTAGATTAACTCTTGTGTAATCAATGGTGCTAGTGACGCTTAGATCAGATCCACTCTGATTTAGCCACCCACGCTAGTAGCAAGTATTACCTTCACTGGGGGCAATTGGATCCCAGGACGGATACCCTGATGCCGTCAATCCTTTTTCTGCACCTTGTCCTCACCCACTTACTGAGGTGTGGTGAGCCCATAAGTGGGATCATTTTCAAGTCCACCCAGAGTTTTGGGGATTTCAGGGGGTGTCGGCCGTTGGGCGGTTCAATAGCCAGTTGAGTCATCTTTCCAAGATTCCTTTTGAGTCTCTCTCCCCTCTCCCGGGGAGACCCACGTGACCAGTTTTGGCAGTGAGCAACAAGTACAAGTGTGTGTGTGTGTGTGTGTGTGTGTGTGTGTGTGTGTGTGTGTGTGTGTGTGTGTGTGTGTGTGTGTGTGTGTGTGTGTGTGTGTGTGGAGCTGTGTGTGTGTGTGAGCTGTGTGGTGGATACCAGGCTAAAAATAGTGGCAGTCAATTCATCAGCCTTGCAAGCTGTTGAATGGTGTAATCCCAGCACAAGTTGCTATGTCTAACATAGCTGTTCGCTATCATCGCTTCCGCGATGGGCATGTCTGAAGTGTGTGTGTATGTGTGTGTGTGTAGTGTATATTGTGCACTGTGTATGCCCACCATCAGTGCATTCCAGGCTCAGCCTGTGTGGACACCACAGCATAGAACCGTCCACAACTGTGTTAGTATGCACACACCACCATACCTGTACATGCACGTGGTGTGACAGACTAGCAAGGTGATGGGCTAGTTGATTATATTCTGTTTGGTTGTGTCCTACATGTGTTTGGTTGGTGTGTGTGTGCGTGTGTGCTCCCGTTGCAGCTCGTTGTACTAGCCGTCTCCCTGTTTGCCTGCCAGACAAAAGTGAGTGTTGTACCATAGTAGCTTGGTAGCTAAGTTCACCCTTTGTCTGCTATGGTAGCTTCCTCTTCATGCCTTACCTACGCTTTGTGTTGTCGCATAGTCTGGACTGAGTTCATCCTGGTGTAGTTTTACGGGAAGGGCAAGAGTGACCAACACCGTTAGGTCTTGTGAGGAGTATGGGTGTGTTCTAGGTTCTATCCACGCCAAGAACACTACAAGCACGCACATCGTTCTGACTCCAGTTCTCTAACTGCAGAAGGAAGTATATTTCAAACAACTGATTCAAACAGCTGATGCCTGAAGCATGAAGAATCCATGCACCAATACCAGTGTTGAATTTTGGGATATGGCCTCCGGACTGTTGTGGACACACATGTTATTCTGTTTTTAAATATGCCTTGCCAACTGTGCTTGTTCTGTGACAGTATGACTTCACGACATGCGGTGGCTTCCTGTTTGTCTCCCTCTTCGTACTGATCGGCTTTGGCTTCATGACGATCTTCTTCCACAGCAATGTGAGTGTTCTTGTGTGTGTGTGGGTGGCGGGTGTGTGCGTGTATTTGTGTGTATGTGTGTGTGTGTGTGTGTGTGTGTGTGTGTGTGTGTGTGTGTGTGTGTGTGTGTGTGTGTGTGTGTGTGTGTGTGCTTGCTCAACGAGAAACACGTCACCTACATGTCAGAGTATACCAGGACCAGGTGTGTGTGTGTGTGTGTGTGTGTGTGTGTGTGTGTGTGTGTGTGTGTGTGTGTGTGTGTGTGTGTGTGTGTGTGTGTGTGTGTGCGTGCGTGCTTGTGTGTGTGTGTATCATGTGTTGTGTTTGCATGGCAAGGGCCACTGGGATTTGCTTAGGCTAGCTGTTTGTGTATGGTCACTCTGTGTACAGGATATGAATGCATTGTTACACTGTGTACAGGATATGGATGCATTGTTACACTGTGTACATTTAAACATTGTTGCCGCTTTTTTCCTGGACAAGTAGTTATCCAGCCAATATTGCAGGTTGCCAGGGCAAGTACGGATTTGTTTTATATGACGCACTGATCATCTCACATTGGCTCCTTTCATTGTAATGCCATTGTCTATGGTTGTTCCCCATTTCTACTGTGTGTTGCAGCTACTGAATATTTTGTACGGAGCTCTGGGTGCTCTGCTCTTTACAATGGTAAGATCATCATTACCTACACTGCAGTTACTTCATCTACATGATGATAAGCCTCTTTTACGGGCATACAAAGCACAATTTGCCATGGTGGAGGAGTAGAACACGATTCGAACACTGAAAACAATTGCATGGAAGGCAGAATATGATAACTGATAAGTAATTGGAACCCAACTGAAATACAACATAATTCAATGAAGCGAGTGCAGTCAGACCTCGCTTAACCGCACTATTTTCAGCTTTTTTTTCCAGGGGAGGGATCCGGATAAAAGAGGACCGGATAAGTGAGATCTGACGGTACTGACATAGAATGAGAATGCCATACACTCTCGCAGAAAGGAAACACATTATGGGAAGTGATATAATGTCACCTAACCTACACTGCAGTGCTCTTGTACTGCTCCCGCTGTTCATTATGAAAGAAGTAGGCAGCTTGGCTTTCTATAACCATATTGGTCTGTCACTGACCATCTGACTGTGGTGTGATCGTAATGTATTTCCACACTTTGTCAATTTGCTAAGCAATATGATCGGTATGATACTATGATCGGTGTCTCTGTTCAATACTATCACTGTCTGTATCACTGTCTGTATCACTGTCTGTATCACTGAATCTCCAGACAGCTAGGTGTTTTGACCTTGTTATATCCCATCAGCGGAACTCAGCATAACAGGACAAACCGATCACAGGGATATCTGGTGAACAACAAAACACTTTTAAACTGGTTCTAAGCATCAAAGTCAGAGTGCTCTAACTGCAAGAAACACAGCGAGTGTTGGGATGCTTTACACTGTCTGTAATATGTGTGTTTTCTTTCTGTATGGCTGCTGCTGTTGTTGTTGTTGTTGTTGGTGGTGGTGGTGGTGGTGTGTAGTTCCTGGCCTATGACACACAGCTGCTGATGGGTGGCAGGACGGTAGAGCTCAGTCCGGAGGAGTACATCTTTGCAGCACTCAACCTCTACATTGACATTGTGCAGATCTTCATCTATATCCTGGCCTTGTTCGGTGACTCATAAGCAACGTGCCACAACATCACTTTCCCAAGGTACGCCCTCACACACAGGGTTGGTAGCAAATGAATGCGCTACCCACAAGTCAACAATGGCTTGCAGTACTTTATGAAGCCACAACTGTGTTGCATTGAATGAAATATTCCAGGTACAGATTTTATCATCAGTGTAACTTCTAGTGCATAGTTTATTATGAAATTTTCACTTCGTTGAGTTGTAGGGGATGATTTTCCTGAACATTTTTTGTACAATGTCAAACCTGCACTGCCTGGCTTTTGCATGCTGTCGCTTGCTTTATTTTTTAGGTGTGTGTGTGGGTGGGTGTGGGTGGGTGTGGTGTGGGTGGTGTGGGTGTGTGTGGGTGTGTGTGTGTGTGCTTTCTTGCATGCACACATGTGTATGTTTGGATTTGTGAAGTAATAATCATTTATAGCATGCAATCATTATGCTGATGCATGAAGGCCAATCGGTGTACAGCCAGTGGCTCCTTGCAGCCGCCTTCTCATCAACTACCACAGTGCATGCACTGGTACATGTCTAGGTAGCAGTGTGTCGCATATATCTTCATGATGGAAGTGAGGCAGCGGTGATATAATTGCTCCTGTAGTGATGACACCGCGTCCGCTATGCACATGTGTGTGTACATTGATTTGGTTATTCGCGTGCTGGACAATGTGTCTACTGCTTCCAGGGAGTAGTCCCTATAGTACAGCTGTATGCTCTTCTGCCGTGCTGTTTGACTTATCTTTTTTCTGCGCCTCGTTGTTGTGTGTGTGTGTGTGTTCTTGATTGCCCTGCTTCCACCCACCATAATGAAGTTATGCAGCTTGCTACATTTTTTATTCTTCGTTCCTGCTCAGATTTTATAGCCTTTCTGAAAGTGCCAGTATGAACCGGGTTTTAATATAACTTAGAAGAGATACGTAACGTTATTTCAACTTGTTTGTGCTTTACGGCTTCCAGGTGCAAACTAACCATATTGTACAAGCTTTCATGAATTCTTGCAGATATCCTGCAGGTTGATGGAGGAGATGTGTGTGTGGTGGGGGGCATCGGCACAACCATCACTAATACTACTGTACGTACATGAAGAGTTTGATTGCATAATGCAGTTCCACTAGCCCCATTCATTTCCTGGCTGATCAGAAACGGCTGCACAGTGCACACACACCATGTACGGCCATCACAAGAGAAGCACACAAATCTGCAAATGCGCAGAACGTAGACCTAACTTACACGACTAGTAAAGTTACACCCACAGATTTTTCTCTTATACCAACAATAGCAGACAAGATCTGAATGAAACAGATCAAGACTACATTGCAGCGCAAGATACTAGTAACTGCCTAGTCCACACAACCGGCGAAGCCATGTGAATTCACTCCTACTGCACACCTGGTCTACACCACACGGAGCACATCGGAATAGGATGGCCAAGACCGCTGTTACCCATGCACACCCCACACTTGCTGGGGTGACCAATAGACAGCATGCTGCTGTGATAGAAGCAGACACTAGATGCACTGGTACGTGTATATTGAAGTGAAATTGGCGTTACTACACCAACCAGCCTCGGCAACTGAGCACTGGGAAGCCAGAGCCAATAGACATACCAACAACCTCCATCATGAAAGCTACTTGTATGTAGTAACGGCACACTGGACTGTGGAGCCGCAACTACTTCAAGTAGACCAACCTCCAAATGCTTTGACAAGAAGGCAGCCTTCCGACATGTTGGCACACAGACACACACACACCTTGGACGCGCTGCCATATTCCGGCTATGCGGACCCCATGGGGGGGGGGGGGGGGTGTGAGCAGGTTCGGAACAGTAGGGGCGATGACGGGATAGGTCCTGTGGTCTACTGAAACACCGACCGCAATTGCAAACGATGCAGAAGGAGCTACGGTCTGTGTTGGTTGCTCTGGCCGAGCCACGGCTGCACCTGTGACGCTTCATGCCTTGGCACGATAGCACACAGCGGTTGCAGCGGGTGCAGTGGAAGCTGCAGCGTTCGGAGGACGTATTGTTCGTAACTGGTGACTCAAGCACACACACACACACATACACACAGTGACACACAGACAGGTATTGACATTCGTAGTCAGATCGCCACAAGGCCCAGATAGAAATTAAAAACTCCCTAACATAATCTAGTAAACAATGGTAAAGTGCTCTACATAGTCTGGCATGAAATAAAATAAAGCACTAAAAAAATTGTCCCAAGTTCCTTGAACAGTACGTGGTCACTCAAGATTTGATGACGTTTAAATATCTCTCAGCTGTGAGCAGTACACTGCAGTACTCAGCAGGCCATGAGAATAACAAACATTAGACACATTGTAAACACCCCACCATGGCAGGATAGAAGGCCTGTTCTCAACGGTTCGGGCAACAGCAACACCATTTCATAGCAGGTCTTGAACGGCTGCCTTTGGTCCTGCAAACCACCTCGTGCAACAGTTGCAAACGCGACAAGTAACAAAAAGCTGACCGGTGCCCATCCACAGTACACGTATATAGCAATCAAGTAGAGAGCCATAACCACGGCATCCTTGCCCGTGTCAAGCATAGCACCCAGATCAGATACAAGGCCATATCGGCGAGCCATCTGCCCATCCACACAGTCCAGTACATACCCAGCAAACACGCATGTCAGCACAAACAATCTGAAGCTGCCAGTCAACAAGAGATACAGCCCTAGTAGCTGTACAACACCGCTTAGCAGAGTCACATGATTAGGAACAAGGCCGATTCCCCGCAACGGTGCTATAAGTCCCTCGCCGGCGGGATAAAATAGCTCGCGATCAAATACATCGTTCAGAGCGCAGTATTGCGGTGTCGCTGCTGCTTCCGCTGGTTGCTCGATGCCGTGTGAATCCAATTGCACTTGGTTTGTGTCGCCGGCTGAACTTACATCTTTCTCTTTGCCCTCATCTGGGTGAGGCAAACAATGGAATGTCAGATACGCAGCGTCAAACAAGAAATAAGCCAAGAACAATGAGGTACTCTGTACCGGATGCGTACGGAAAACGTCCAGGAAGTTCCAGTATGCAGCCAACACGTACCCAATTAAGCGCATGACAATCGACGCAAAGAAGTTGTACTTTGCAAAGCGCCGGAAGAACTTCATGGGCCGCTTTTCATCCAACAGTAGACCAATCTTCAAATAGAGGCATGCGCATGACAAGCAATATGTGATCTGACACAGAGTCTGCCATATACATACTGCTGATCCTGCAACTGTGGTAGCCAGTAGGAAGATGCGGAATACGTGGTGAACACAATTCAGGAGCCAGAGCGCAAACGGGTGATGACGAAAGTACATGATCAGATCCATAATGGCAAACACGGAATAGAGCAGGAGGATGCGATTGCTGAAGTCGATGTGTCCATATTTGACGTCATCATCCAAATCTGGGCGTCCAATGCTAAACCAATCCATCTCCCATAGCTCACCGCGAGCAGCTCCATGGGAGATCTTCAACAGTGAAGCCGTCATCAATCCCAAATGAATCCTGTTCACTGTCACAATCGGCCACTCATCGATCAATTTATCCATTATAAATTTCAAAAGGAGTTTTGAGAAAAGTGCATGAATTATTTCTCCTCTTCTTTCTGCATCTGATCTCTTTACTATTCGCGGACAAATCACTCGCCCGCAGGTCGGGAGCTGATGCGGAAGATGATGAGTAGAGGACAAGATGCCAGAAAAATGCAGCTGCTCAGCGTTCGACGTCCATGACCTGAGGCTGAGTTCAGCCGAGCTGTGTGGGAAACTGCAACTGCAATTTTGTTGCTGTGCAAAATAGTTCGTGACCAGTCAGATCAAAGCGGATTTTCAAAGGAGCACGTGAGCACGCGACACGTGTAGGCGCACGTGGTGCAGGCAGTCTCCTTTCGAAATCCACATCCGCGCAGCGCAGGGACATGGCAATACATTTTTTGTGCTCGAGCTCGTCTCAGAGTCTTCAAAGTTCTTTCTCACCCTGATACAGTACATGTAGCAGAAGATGCGAGTGAATCAGGTATCCCCGGGGTGGACGAGATAGTGACGGGTAGTCCGCAAAACTCCGCGTAGATCTACGTACATGTACACTTGTTACGAAGTCATGACGTCTGGATCTTAGTAGCTATGACTGTGCATGCTATGGATATTGCTCTAAGAATTATAGTAATAATGAAACAAATTGAGGTATAGTTGATGTTCCGTCACGATGGAAGGAGAGCTGGAGCTACGGGAGAGATGAGCTGATTACGATAATCCGCAGGGTTAGGGTGACATCGGTTGGACGAGTATGACGATTACGAAGACAGTTGAACATGACAGTTTTCAAAGGTAACTCAAACTAATTTGGCAATGGAAAAATCTTTCAAAGCAAAAGAAGTCAACTAATGAATGGAAGAAGTAATGTTTCCCCTTTTCCAGGTTGCTCTCTAGCATGCATGGACACCTTGGTATGGGGATACTCATGTATTTTGTTGTACTTGTCCACTGTGACCACTTGCAAGTACGAAAAAGGCACAATTTTCCGAACTTTGGGGCTCCATAAGTACAACAAAGTGTATATGTATCCCCGCGTGCCAAAGCATAATAGAGAGGTTAAGTTTCACGTAAAAGTCTTACGTCCGTGAACTTTTACGTCAAAAAGTGAAAAAACTCACATAAAATTTGACGTGTTTTACGTGAGTTGACTGTCCCGCACGTAAGTTCATGACGTGAGTTTTTGGAAGTTTCGCTTGGTTATCCCGACCGAATTTGTGTGAGTTTCCGGAATTTTATCGAGATTTATCAAGTTTATTGGAAGATTTGATATTTGTGCGAACTAAACCCGAATCCTGCCAGGCAAAATTTCACGTCACGTCGCACGTGTAACTTAACCTCTAAAAATTACACGTAACGTGAGATTTGCACCGCGTTTTGAAAAAGGGCAAAAAACGTGTAACTTAACCTCTCTATTACCGTAGAATCCCGCGGATAAGCCCACCCGCGTATAAGCCCATGCTCGCGCATAAGCCCAGGGAAAGTTCGAACATCACAAGGCTTCGTCATACAAGCCCATGGGCCTAAGTTGTACCAAGAGTCCATAAATTATGGACTCTTGGTCGTACCATGTACATGTAGGTAGTACATGTAGGTTTTTTTTTTTTTTTTGTACATTTCAACACAATCATCGGTTGTTTTTGTTTGCACAGTGGCTTTCAGCAATGTATTTCTCACTTCCTTGGTACTTTTCAATAGCACAATGTTGGTGTCAGCGTATAAGCCCATGTCCGCGTATAAGCCCATGTTCTCGTATAAGCCCACCGAAATGTCCTTGTGAAACAGATAAGCCCATGGGCTTATCCGCGGGATTCTACGGTATGAGGATTTTGCGAGCATAATGCGAGAATCCATGAAAGCATAATTCCATGATTTCGCGGGCATAATCCGCCGGAGCCTAGGCTCTGCCAACCGCGGAAGGTTGTAGTAAGGTCACTGTTTCCGAACACAGTGTCCTCCACCTTGTTTCATGCTGTCAATCTAACAATTGCGTGAACTATAACAAGGTTTATCTAATACTGGTTTTTAACCAGTGTTAGGTTATATCATAGGGTTATACATGTATCTACTCTTGATCTTGGGAGATACTGATTGACCTGGGTGTTACTTAGTAAGCAGGTGATACGTGACGGCGTATTATTATGGAATGCATAAACCCACAAACTTTCCTATATTTTGGGGTCCTGTAGCTGGTCTAGGGGAGGGCGTGGTTTCATCAATACCCGTAGTCCTCAACCAAGAGTCTACACTGGGGGCGGACTCTTACAAGTTTCATGTAATTCATGGGGCCCGGTGGCAGGGTATACTACAATGTACTAGTAGGCAGTTTGGGAGGCAACACCTACATGTACCGGTACATGTAGATCCATGGCTCAGTACGTCAGTATGTGGGTGCATAGCAACCCACTCATGTCGTATGCAGGCGTTACTTTTACTTCGCCACTAGTTGTCACCCCGCCCCCAGTAGCCAAATCAGTCAGTTTCACTGGCTACATCACCTTGTTGTGAGTAAGACCGCTTGAAATGTGCTTGGATCCATACAAAAACTGGATCCAAGTGGATCCAGTTTTTGAATTTTTGAAATTGTTGCTTTGCTGTGACGTAGCACTTTCAAGCCCTAGGCTATGGACTCTTGTGCCAGTTGAGTTGTGGTCTGGACTCGACTGTGTATGTTGTCATACTCATGCCATGGTTGTTGAATGGTGTAATCCCAGAACAAGTAACACTGTTAGTTGCTATGTCTAACATACTAACATACTAGCTGCTTGTTCGCTATCGATCATCACTTCAGCGATGGGCAGGAGTACGAGTATGGGTGTGAGACGTGATAGTGACAGTCGAAATGAAAGAAGAAAAAAACAGGAAGACAACTACAGTTGTGGCAAGTGAAATCCGACACTTGGCATAAGGGACTGCACCGTGCATCCTGCAGCCTCTGCAGCCCTGCATACGTACAGTACATGTGCTGCATACAACTTTATCTGTCTGAGGACAGAATTCGTACTCATCACAGTCAAGGTTCAAAAGGTGCTGGCAAAAATGAATGGGAATTGGATACCAATACTCCTTATGTGTACCATGTTTGTGAACTGCGTGTATCTAAGCTGTGACCTTTCGACCTGTTTGTGATGCATACGGCTCTATAGTACAAATTAGGTGCAGTGCATTACATCATTGATGTCCATTTGAGGCGCTGTCCCCTATGGCAAGTGTCGGATTTCACTTGCCACAACTGTACATGTACATGTACATGACTTTTGGACATGTAGCTGGTCCTGTCTTCACTCTTAACCTTATCTCCCGTTACCCATACAACAAGGATAAGTGACAAATACGAACATTTTGGCCAAAAGGTGTAAGTTTTTGAGAAAGATAGCATGAAAGCGTGTTGCTAGGTGTTGTGGTGAAAACTCCACCTGAATCAAAATATTACTACACGGAATACATGTACATGTAGATGAATAGATAGCATGCCATCTCCTATTGAGTGTTGAATAATCGTGATAATGATGTTGGCAGTCAGAGCATGCCACTGCGCATGGCACTGGCACTGACTGGGCTTATGAATATGATCATGTCTCATGATGATCTGACACTGTGTTATGTGTGAGAGCTTCAGTACTCACTGACAGTACTCAGTAGTCGAGCCTCAGCCAGGGAAGCGCATGCTGAACTTTGCGGTCATGGTGATTGGTGGTTTGAGCATGGTGTTGATGTAGTCACCATGGTCACACGACACGTATCACTACAACAGTCTGTAATCATGGTAATCTGTAGATCAAGGAGAAGAGCCGACTCAGGCGACTGTAGTGTAGATAGAGTGAGTAGATCTCTAGGTGACAAAAATCTGGACCGTCACAACGGAGTCTCGGGCAACCACTACTAACTAGCACTGACAGTGCAAGTGAGTCCATAATAATAATAATAATTATTATTATAATATGGCAATAAGTAGGACGAGCTGAAGCGACATGTGGACTACTTTATTAACAATGTAAGCGATGGAGACGATGCAAGAAACAACCTAAAGGGTAAGGAAAAATACATGTAAGAAGAAAAAGGGCAATGGAAAAAAAAAAAAGATGATTCGAACAAGTTTTCGTACAACACTCTTCAGGAATCACCGTTGTACTAAAGAACAAAATGAGAACAAAGGAAATAATATAGCAATCAAGGTAGGGTGACACGATACAATGACAGCACTAGAATATCGAGGTGCGATTTCTCACAAAAGTGTGCAGAAAACAAGGGTATACAAGTAAGAACTAAGCGTGACAGGTGTGTATCAGCAACAAAAAACAAAAAAGTGAGAACGAATGATAATAATAACAATAATAAACAAGAAGGTGACAAAACACATTTAGGCACAAGTGGCAACAACGTTGCCACACTACACAACAGAACATTATTTGAACAATTTTAGGGTAATAACACTATCTTTCTGGACACACAAATTCGGCTTATGAATGCGCTGACAAACAGCTTCCAAAACTTGTAACTGCAAAAGATAACCATGACGAGCACGGCACAAAACAGAAAAACAGGAATCAGAATAAGTACGACAACAGTCAGTACTAGAAACCAAATGATTGTATACTGAAGACTTGTTATTACGAGACGGACGCACACAATCTCGACTCACGCGCACACCCTCACACTCCCTCTCACCCTCACTCAGCTCACCTTCTCCCTCACTGTCCGAATCAGAACCTGCTCCGTCATCCACCGCGGTTTGACTCTCCTCCTCACTTGCATCGTCCTGCGTCTCACCTTCACCACCCACGCCAACCCTGAATGCCGTTGCCTTCACGTCAGTCGTCGTCCTTTCCGATTGTTTCCTTTGTATTTTTACCGTGAATTCATAGGTCCGGTTGTAATCTGCTGTAGATCTCCGTGGTCTGTCATTTGCTGCTTTGTTTTGTGGATTAGTTGTTGTTGTTGTTGTTGTTGGATGTGAACCTGGTGTTGTTGTTGGATGTGAAACTGGTGTTGTCAAGTGCGTCCGTCTCGTAATAACAAGTCTTCAGTATACAATCATTATCCATATAAAACCGCTCTGTGAGCGGTTCTGAAAAACCTTTACTGGTACTGCCCCGTCGTAAAAGTAAGAAATTAGAACTGGCCCATTGTCCCCCCAAATGCGAACTGATCCACCTAAATCGCGAATGACGGGACCCGAACGCACCAGTAGCACGAGGTCGGGAGGGCACAGGACAGCAATTATCATAGGGTAACACCACCTACCGCTAGTACAGTACATGGCCTTTGGTCTGGACCAACGTCCCCACCTGCATCCACAGGTAGGAACCTCGTGCTACTGGTGCGTTCGGGTCCCGTCATTCGCGATTTAGGTGGATCAGTTCGCATTTGGGGGGACAATGGGCCAGTTCTAATTTCTTACTTTTACGACGGGGCAGTACCAGTAAAGGTTTTTCAGAACCGCTCACAGAGCGGTTTTATATGGATAATTTCAGTTCTTTTTCCGTTCCCTCCCCACCCCAACCCCGAAGATAAACATGATGACCACGCGCGCGATGTACTGTATGTAGCCATGAGACTGCAATAAAACACTGATACATACCAGCCCTCCCCGCCTCGCTACCCCGCACACAGATATACAAACATGCGTATGCACACGGCACACACACGTGGCCACGCACATATACGCACATGCACACGACACAAACAGGAAATTCGTCATATATAATGCCATACAAAGCAGTGGCCACCGTACTTGAGGAAGTCAGTTGTGAAACAAAAATAATTCAACTACAGCGTGTAGACAAGCTGACGGCCAAAGCACAACATAGCAAACATGACATTTGCCCAAGGATTGCAGTTTGCAGACCACGCCATGGAAGCAGCTAATACAGAATGTAATATCATACAAAGTGACAAGCAAGGAAGTGGCCATCATACACCAGAAACTTGCAGAAAGTCACACATCCAACAGATAGAGAAGTGAACAGCAATCTGATACAGCCCAGACAGGACAAAGCTGACCTGATACTCGTCCCAGGATCGCAAGTGGCAAATCCTTTTCAATGCATAACATGCAGGTGTACGTTAGACGCATGGACAACATCTGACCGTGTCGCCAGCATACAATGTCATCACATGTTTACCCCACAAGTTACACACATGCACAGTAGAAGCACAATGAAAGCAATGGAAAAGTACGATGTGGTTGCTGAAGCATCTTCACACTTCAAATTCAGACTTCAATGTGGTCGTCACGGGATGATATACCTGCAAGATACAAGTGATGAAGAAAGAAAGCAGAAGGTCGTGAGGTAGGCTATGAGTAGTCCTTTCCCAAAGATGCCATAGTTTTTCGCAACTTATGCTTTTCGCAACCGTGCCAAAACAAGTGCTAGTTGCTGAAATCGCATCCATATTTTCAGAAAAAGCTCAAAAGTTGCCAACATCGCAACTCAAAATTGGAGAGTTCTTGTGCAAAACCTACAAAACAGGGAGCAGAAATAGCAGAAATGCAGCGATGCTGCGACAGCAAACTCGTACACCCCTTCCTGCTGTGAACCACCATTTTACACAGTGCCAGTAGCCGGTTGCATGTATCCTACATGTACATGTACATCATTACAGTGCACGGAAAAGGGAATGCACATAATTATCGTAACTACCGTTGATCTACTGTTTCTCAGAAATGAGCCTGAAGGCAGGCGCGAAATGAGCGAGCACGAGTATGTATTTGTCCAACAATGCAACATGTAGTCGGTGACTTGACCTTTCGACCCCATGCCATGGGGCCAATTGCGCCAAGGTTGCGGAGAACTTGCGAAATAGTTCCGAAAAATGAAGAAAGTTGTGAAAGTTGCGATTTCTTCCTAAACACCGAAAAGTTCCGAAAAAAAGTGGCGAGCATCTTTGGGAAAGGGCTAGCTATGAGACAATACAAACGGGTCACCTACATGTATGTTCAGGGCTAGTGCACTCACACGCAGAATTGTCATAATCGAGCATTTCCCAAACTGAGAAGTGCAATGAAATCCACTTGCATGCACAGGAGCAATTTTGCAATATTATGATGCGCAATTCGACACGATCTGCGATGCTGCGTGCGATGTGCCCTGCCATCATGATGGTGACAGTCACCGCGGTATGTTTTGTCAACGTCGCCCTTGCACTCTTCTGTCAAGTCCAAAGTGCTCATATACTTGGCAATGTCTTTGCAGTGATTAACTTTTATCCTAGTTATGTCACGGGTAACTTAATGAAGTACCCGCAGGCCGTGTCGATCCGCACATCGTCCACTCTCTCATATACTTGGCCTGCTTTGTCTGTGTATCTATTTCATGTGCGATCCACAAAATCGACTAGACAGTGGGTGCAATACGCTCTCTATCTGAAGACGTTCTTCTGGCGACATCTCGCCATGTACTTGGCCTGCTTTGCCTGTGTATCCATTTTCATGTGCGATCAACAAAATCTCAATGCACTACAGAGACTAGACAGTGGGTGCAATACGCTCTCTATCTGAAGACGTGAACCATTACATTTTTTGGAAAAGTTATACGTACACCTGAAACGTAATGAAGTACAGGAATAGAGAGAGTGACTACAATACGCTCTCGACCTGATATAGTGATAACGTGTTAGAAGGTAACAGGTCTACAGTCCCACCGTACCCTTCCGACACGACTGTAGACCATTAAATTTTTTTGAGAAGTTATACGTACACCTTAAACGTAATGAAGTACAGGAATAGAGAGAGTGACTACAATACGCTCTCGACCTGATAACGTGAGTACAAGACACTCTCCACCTGATAACGTGTTAGTAGAAGGTAACTGGCAACATATCAATGGGTTGCCTTACCGTGGTCTAGAGGAAACGTCTTCGCAGCAATATTTTCCCTCCAGCGCATTCAGTCGCCGACGCGACATCGTTTACTGGGCCGTTCCAGTTGCGGAAGACATTCGATTCATCGGGCCAATTCAGCAACAGGGCCGTGGACACACAGGGGGCAGAGGAGAGACATTGTTAGTGGACAAGAAAATAATATGCAGTGGCAAGTGGCGAGTGCCGCACGGTTGTCAAGTTGTCATGCACAATTCAGCTACTACTTACGGTCCAGGTAGTCCTGCCATTGCTCGCTCGTCCTGGTTCCTCCTCGTTCGTCTTCCTGCACGTCTGCTCTTCTCCTTCCCCACCGTTGGCTTTGCGGTACGGGGGTGCCGGAAGGAATTCCCACCATGTATCCATGTACATGAAGTCCCACCATGTCTCCATGTACATGTCCACGGCCACGTCAGCAGTTTGTATAGTACCGGAAGGAGTTCCCACGATGTCTCCAAAGGCCTAGAGCGGACGTCTTTGCAGCAATTCTTTTCGCCCTGCGCATTCAGTCCGCCGACGATGTCTCCAAAGGCCTAGAGGGGACGTCTTTGCAGCAATTCTTTTCACCCTGCACATTCACTCCGCCGACACGACATCGTCGACAGCGTTTACGGGGCCGTTCCAGGTGCAAAAGGTCTACATCAGTAGTTCTCAACTACTTCGCGTACGGGATAGTCGCCGCGACAGCGTTTAAGGGGTCGTTCCAGGTGCAAAAGCATCCATCAATGGCACTTTGCAGTACGGGGTACGGAAAGGGGCCTCCTCGTTCGACTTCGTCGACTTCTGCATGCAGTTCTCCTTCCCGTCGACCGAAAGGGGTTTCCTCGCAGTTGTCCTTGCCGTCAGGTCCACGTCATGCAGTTCTCAACTATTTCGCGTACGGGATAGTCGTCTTTGTCGTACGGGGCATCGGCGTTTACCGAGTGGCACAAAGCAGACCGTAGACGGGGTCACGTGTCAAAAAAGTATCAACAACGTGTCGACTACGTGTCGACCACGTGTATAGCGGTACACTCAGCGGTACACTAATTCTCGTGCCATTCTCGTGTCACAAAACTGGAACATCGAGTACCAGTATGGAAAGGCTTCAGACAGGAAGCCTTTCCAATTTGGTTTCTAGTACTGACTGTTGTCGTACTTATTCTGATTCCTGTTTTTCTGTTTTGTGCCGTGCTCGTCATGGTTATCTTTTGCAGTTACAAGTTTTGGAAGCTGTTTGTCAGCGCATTCATAAGCCGAATTTGTGTGTCCAGAAAGATAGTGTTATTACCCTAAAATTGTTCAAATAATGTTCTGTTGTGTAGTGTGGCAACGTTGTTGCCACTTGTGCCTAAATGTGTTTTGTCACCTTCTTGTTTATTATTGTTATTATTATCATTCGTTCTCACTTTTTTGTTTTTTGTTGCTGATACACACTTGTCACGCTTAGTTCTTACTTGTATACCCTTGTTTTCTGCACACTTTTGTGAGAAATCGCACCTCGATATTCTAGTGCTGTCATTGTATCGTGTCACCCTACCTTGATTGCTATATTATTTCCTTTGTTCTCATTTTGTTCTTTAGTACAACGGTGATTCCTGAAGAGTGTTGTACGAAAACTTGTTCGAATCATCTTTTTTTTTTTTCCATTGCCCTTTTTCTTCTTACATGTATTTTTCCTTACCCTTTAGGTTGTTTCTTGCATCGTCTCCATCGCTTACATTGTTAATAAAGTAGTCCACATGTCGCTTCAGCTCGTCCTACTTATTGCCATATTAAAATTATTGTCTCCTCGTCGAATTTTTAAATTATTATTATACATATACAAAAAAAAGGCGTAGTCTAGGTAGTAGTAGTTGAGTAGATCTACTTAGTAGATCTACCGGCTGAAGTGAAGTAAAAAAATCAGTGGCAGATCTACATAGTAGATCTCCTTGACGAATCGGCAAAGACTAAAAGTAAAACAGATCGCCCGTCAGCAAGCATGATGCTCCCTCCGGTTTGGGGCAAAATGGTATGACGGATATACCTCGATAGTGTAGCGGTATGATGTCGCGGTTGTCGCTTCCGCTGCGCCAGTCCGAGTCGTCGTCACTTTTACTCTGACTAGACAAAGTCATGGTATATCCCGAAGCTGAGCGTACTACAGCTGCCCTGTTGGAAAGAACCCGCTTGTACCAGTTGTGGAGATGAGGAGTTAGGACAGCGACTACTATCCACCTATCCACCTATACCATGTATACTATACTGTATACACCTATACCATGCTGTATACGGTGATTACTACAGTAGTCAGTAGTGTTCCGGCTGCGCAAGTAGACGATTAGCGAAGGCGAAGGAAGAAGTAAAAAGTGCTGCTTGTACTGCCAATTGCAGAGCGTTGAGTCACCTGCGAACGCAGCAGTTCGGCTAGCTACGGCCGCACCCGTTGGAAAGTCGAGTAGACTGTACTAGTATCTTGGTGGGCATGGCGGTGTTATTAGTCTCCGACTGGTCAGAGTCAGAGACAGAATCTAGCACGACCGGTAGCTCGGACGACGATGAGTTTGAAGAGGAAGTACGAGCAATGGAGGCGTCAGCACGAGTAGTAGCGGCGGCCGAAGAAAAGGATAAAGTACCGGCAGCAGGCGTAGCGGCTGCTCCAGCGGAGGAACGTAGCGTGGAGAAGACACCCAAGGAGAAGGAAACTGCACTTCGGCGGGCTTTGAAAGATTCGAAGCACAGACAGCTGCAGATGTGGCAAGACTGCAAAGACTCCAAAGAGCAGCGGCGTGCTAGGTTGGCTAGGAGAAAAAGCATGGCGGCGATAAACGTTGCAATGAGAGAGCAGAGACAGACCGTACACACTTTGCTATCAACTGACGGTATGGAGATGATTCATGAAGTTGTGCTCGATGACAACATTGATATGCTGAAGGAGTTGCTACGAGATCAGTTCCGAATCGAACAGAACCTAGAGCGGCGTACAAGCAGTCCATCACCTGGCTACACACCACTCCTGCTTGCTGCTTTCGTAGGTAACGTGCGCATGGCCAGAGCACTGCTAGCCGAGTACGGTGCTAATCCTTACGTGCGTGACCACATGGGACGAAGTTTGCACCGACTGGCCATCCTGGGTCACAGCACTGAGCTGGCACACCTGCTCAACACAATGCCGGCATGGCGACCACCGGCACGACGGGCACGAACACACCACCGACACAGCTTTCTATACAGCCTCGTGAAAGCCCTCTACTCTAAGAATCGGATAGTGCGCACCAGTGCAATTAAGCTACTCGCGGAGCTGGTTGACGTGGATTGTAGGCTTTGTACTACGGATCAGCTACGGCCGAAGGGGTTCAGCGATGCTGAGAAGGAGAAGTCGTATCACCCAACTATGGTAGTAAAGTTAGAGCCATCAGCAGGTATAGCTAGTCACAGATCAGGAAATCTCCTATATGGTGCACCCAGCATATCGCTGATGCATTATCATAGTGTAAGTCATGGCGACCGGGAGTTTGGTTTTCATCAGGAACCCGTTCAGCAGAGTTCACATTCTAATGACCACACCATGATGCAGAGTTCACATGCTAATGACCACACAGTGAAAGCCACTGTATCAGAGCTCATGGCAGAAACCAACAGGGAATTGTTCCTTAGTGCCCTGAGGACCAGTGTGGAGAATTTTGTGTCGGAAGAAGCTGGTGACCTGCTGTTCATCGTGGAGAGGTGTTTGATGACACGCTATGGGAGGCAGTGTTTGTGCAAAGAGCAAGCCAAATTCAACACACCCAAACCAGTTGAGAAGGATGAGGAGGATGAAGACGGTGAGCAAGCAGGAGACAGCGGGCAAGGAAAAGATCGCAAGGAAAAAAAGACCGACACGAGTAAAGACAACGGGACAGAAAGCAGCAATGGACAAGATGATGAGCAAGGAAAAGGCGATCAGCAAGAAAAAGGCAATGCACAGGACGATGACAACAAGCAGGTTGATGACACTGAGCAAGCAGAAGGTGATAATCAAAAGGATGAGCCCAAGAGTAAGCAAGCAAATGCTGAAGAACAGACAAAATGCTTGAAAGAACCCACACAATGTGAAGAAGAAATGATGGGTAATGAAGCAAACAAGGAAGCCAAAGACAGTAGAGAGACTGGGCAAGTGATAGATGATGAAACTGACACAGCAAGTATTGACGATGGCGCAGCAAGTGAAGATACTATCAGCCCGTCTCTGCTCGGTACCTTGCTGTTATGTCTGTCAGACCGCGTACCATGGCATATTCAAGAAGTAGCGGCCAAGTGTCTCAAGTTGCTGCTGGTGTCCAGAGAAGCCTGTGATAACGGGATTACTGAAGATTTTAGCTGTAACGGGCCGAGAATAGGAAGGTTCTTGGCAACTATTCTTCGCACTGAATCCCCTGTGGTGAAACTTATTTTGTTGGAGATTCAAAAGAAGGCAATGGAACATTTGAGCGAGGCAGATCTCCTTACGTTTGTAAAGAGCGGAATTATTGCAGAGCTTGTGAGAACCGCTGCAAGAAAATATGACCGGAACACCTGCATCCAAATTGAGACGCATGCACTGATCAACACATCTGCAGTTCGCGAAAGCAAAAAGATGGTTCGCATTCTGCTGTCTCAGGGCCTTCTAGGCAGTGCTTTGTGTCTGTGTTATTCAGTCCTGCAGTCAGTCAGACTGCAGGCACCAAGCCTACTCTGGTCAGTGTGCGACTCTGAACACGAGGCAACATGGGATGCTCTAGTGGCAAATTTGTGCTGTGCAGCTAGGCCACCAGCAGACCCACAACACAGGCAAGAGCATGCCGAACGTAAACTGGCAGAAAGGAAAATGGAGGAAAGGCAGCTTCGCCTCTTGCGGAAGTGCAGCAAGAAGAGCACAGAAGACACAAACAGCATACGGCAGTGGAAGCAGGAACTGGAGAACTGGAAGAAAACGTCATCACGTCTCCAGGACTGTCGGCAGCAAACGCAAAAGGAGCTACTCACGCTGCAAGAATTCTCACAACAGCTAGCCGAATGCCAATGCAATCGAAACACAGCAATACGATATAAACAAGAAGAGCGAAGACTGCGCATGGAGTTTCAGAGACAGCAAGTAACCGAGCGAGACATACATGATGGCTGTGTTCTACACCAAATGAAGCTCCAACGACAGATCGATCGAGCAAAAGCGGAGCAGAAGAAGGCAATGGAAGTACAGATTAAAGTGACATCACAACTGTCATTGTCCAGTAAGAGGCGGCAGACGTTAGAAGCATTGGCACAAAGAGAGGAGAAAAAACGGACCGCGCCGTGTGCACAGAGCGCAAAATCTTTCCTGGAGAACTTTGTTGACATCATCCACGATCCGTGCCAGGCTGAGTTGCAGACAAGTATCTTGCTGGTGGTGATGACGGCAGCGGATGGCAATGACAGCAAGGAATTTATGATCTACAAGCTGCTTGGAACAAAACTCGTTATGGAGCTGCTTAGCTTGAGAAGCACATACCAGCAGTATGTTGCCCTCAAGGCTCTTTATCAGTTATTGCAGTTGGGAACCGAGGAATTCCGCTCTCCAATCCAACAAAAGGGGGCAGTTCATACGCTGCTGGGCTTCATCAAGAGTTTCCCTAACGAAAAGGTAAACATTAGGACATTGTACACACTAGTGTATGTGTGCACTTTGAGCTATTACACTGACGTATACATGTAGTACTGGCGGGTGCCGAAGAATGGCCAGGCTAGAATTTAACCATTTTTTAAGAACGGTCTAGACTGGAGTTTTTGCAGATAAGAACGGAAACCGTAATGTATGCACTATAATATACACCCAGACGTATAACTCTGCATAAATGTACATGTAACACTGTATATCGTGTACCATCGAAAAAGAACGAAACTGCTGCGTTCGCTAAAAATAAGCACGGGCTAGACTAGAACCATGACACCCCCCCGTCCTTCGGCACCCCCCCCCCCCATTCTTCGCCCCCCCCATTCTTTGGCACCTCCCCCCCCCCCCGTTCTTCGCCCCCACACCCCCGTTCTTCGGCACCCCCCCCCCCACCCCGTTCTTCGGCACCCCCCCCCCCTCCACCCCGTTCTTCGGCACCGGTATGAAAAAATCCGTCTAAAATATGATCCCGTACCGCGGCGAGGTTTCCATACATGTTTTGGTACGTTTTACCGTGTGGCAGAACCTCACTATTTTATCATTATTACTACCGCACCAAAGTTCCACCAGAGCACCAAAATACTCCACGTCATTTTAAAGCCAGGGAAGTGGGGGAAGTCCCATGGCCGAATGCAGCTATGATCACACGATGTAGGAGCCTGTGACTGTGTGTGCTGGGGTCACCACCCTACACTACATGCCACTATTCATGGGTGGTACAGTAGAGCTTACTGCCGCCGAAAGGGATCATCTGTATGGATTTACTGTGCAATGCTCAATGCATGTACAGTACACTTGTTGTGTGGTTTGCCGAGTACAGCAGGGAGTAGACCACCTTGCACGCATGTGTACAAGGCAAACTACTTTGGTGAAGCGATCGGGACACTGGCCAGATTTAAACAAAACTCCCTGTTGTGACGTATACCCGGTGATATTAATTATTGAAACGTGCACAGGTGCAGTACAGGTGTAGGCACATGTAGGCATGTAGGCATGTAGGCAATGTGGAATAGTCAGTTACGTTATAGCTGAGCACTTTCTCAGTTGAGGCCAGTTAGCATTGATGGTCGTGATGAAGTGTGATGAAGTAAAATTTGGTTGTAAACTTATTGCACATACTCGCGACTCAACTTATTGCACATAGCCGCGACTCAAATTGGTCTGGTATTCACTTTTCCGTGAATAGCAGCGTGATTAGTGTGATAATGGAAAAAATCCTTCCGCTTCCAAGCAAGACTTGAACCTGGTACCCTCTGTTTCTCAATCATGGTCTTAGACCATCCCACTATGCCTGCCTGAGGGAAACATGGATGCCGTGAATGGGGTTTTCGGTCTTTGACCACTTTGTGGTGGGTCTGATCTACTCACCTCCCACCAGGGAGTCGTAAAATACTACTCCCTGCCTCCCACCGCTTAGGAGCTGCATCTGCGCCTTGATCCAAGAGGGTGGTTGCGTTCCTGCGGATGCGGAAAACTCGGCCTTTAGCCGAGTCTCATGCGAACCGTGAATTTTTAATTTTTTATCATGTGATTATCATGTGACCATCATGCAACCATCATGTGACCCTGTTTGTTGTAGAGAATGTAGACATGAACTGAGCTACTAGAAGCATTCAGGCTCATCTTGAAACATAAAATAGTGCTGTTGGACTTGTGTGGTTTGTTTTGTTTTTGCCTTTTGGGTTGCTATGATGACGTGGGTGCTTGACTGGGATGCTATCAATGGCCACACTGTAACTGGTGAGTAGGATGCCGGCCTAGACTATCCCGAGAAGTACATCGAGTTGACGAAGGATGGAAGGAGATGTAACTCCCTCTGGGCCGGTGTCGACGATACGACCAAGTGGTGCCTGGCTGGCCGAGTACGCGTCGAGGATATTGAGGTGGCGTGTCGACGACTGGCCATGCTTGTCCTGGGCAAGGTGTGTATTGATCCGGGAATGAAACAGAGAACTGACATACAAGACTGGGTATTTAAGCAGACCAAAGCAGTGCAGGTCATGTGCAAGATGTGCAATGGCACGTGGAAGATAGGAGACACAGCAGCTGCCATCCACAGCCTTGCTTGTCTCTCCTACAGAAATGGAAAGGTAAGCAAGCCTCTTTCAGTTTAAATTGTTAGTGCGCGGGCGAAACAGCAGTGGCAAAACGACTGCTTTTGTCACGCCAAGCTTCAAGCATGCACACCAGGTCTGGAGTCGTAGTATCTAGGTAGATGACGCGGGGACCATATAATTGAAAGTTCCCTATTGCTATATTAGCCGTGATCAATGCAAGTCCTGATCATGATTGTGTTCTTGACCTGCTGACAAGAATATAACAATAAAAAGTGTGCGAGAGTTTTAAAACTCAGCCCTACCCCAGGGGTGACCAGAAGGCGGCAGCCTGGGAGCAAAGCCCACGTTGTTTCCAGCAAAACGGTTCTAACGTTGTTGCACGTGTTGCTTCCGAAGATACTATGACTCGCCCATGATCGCTCATCAGACCAACTGTTGTGTGTGTGTGGGGGGGGGGGGGGGGGTAGTAGGATTTCAGTGGCCGAAATATTGATAATGTACTAAATGTAGCTGAAATGCTTTGGATCAGTAGGATCATAATTATTATGGTGGTGATATCTTACTTTAGAAAGAATGGAAAACCGAAATTGTGTAGGACAGTCATGTATTGGGATGTGAGTGGCTTTGTCATAATAGACGGAGGTAGATTCTGCTCTTTGCTTCACAAGAAGTAACTATTCTAACGGGAATTTGATTTGATGTGTTCACATTCCAGGTTGGAATTGCGATAGAGAAGAAACTGCTCTGGCCGCTGCGCAAGATGGCAATATGCCTGGCTTCATCCACTGCTAGCAAGCGGCTGAAAACGACCGACATCATCTTGGGACTGGAGTCACTGGTATTGATCAAGCAAAGTGCAGCGTATGCTGATGCTCTCGCCAGTGGACATATAGAGGCGTGCACGACCAAATCTCTACTGACGTTACCACGCCGTGCAGCGGTAAAGCTGGACCGGAGTATTATATGGCCAAGGGAAAGATGGTTCAAGGGTGATCAATTAGGACTGGCTAAGGTAACACTCCACCGTTCATTCATTTTTATATCACTATGCACCTAAAGTTTATTCTCCATAAATGGAAGATCGAAGTGCATTGGGCTCCCCGGTAGTACAATGTGTTCTGCACGTGCCTGCGAACCGAGAGGCTGTGGGTTTAAGCCCCCCCCCCCCGCAGCCGCACATCTGACTGCAAATTCCCAAGACGCAGCTCACCAGATCAAGGTGCGGGTCCTCTTCACACAGTACAGACGAGTCGAGTGAGCTGTACATCCGGTACCGAGAGGCAAGCTCACACCCCGGTAAGGCAACTTCCCCATATCTAACCCCCAAGATGAAGTGAATACAGTAGTAGTCATACGGGCCGAAGTTTTAAAAAAAGTGCGTTAATTGAATTCCCATTGATGTCAAGTGATGGTAAACATCATAATTATATTTCTGTGATCGTGTAATGGTTGTAAAACATGATTCATCGATGGCTCCACTCATTTTTCCATGCACTGCAAATTGTCCTCGTCCTCGTGTTCTCCCCAGACCATGTACAGCATAGCCGCGTTAGGCGACACACTCGCTGGCACTGAGGGCACCGTGGCCGGTACAGCCGATGCGTTGCTCTGTTTGGTGGACCTGTTGCGGTGCCCGGACACAGATCTGAACGTGCACTTGTGCGTATGCCGTCGTATCTTCGACTTGCTGACAGTCCACCCTGGTCATGCCAGTGCACTAGCAGTGGCTGGCATCATGGCACCTCTACTGCACATGCTTGCATCGGGCTCCGGTACGTTCACTGAACTGGCATCCGCGCCCATTGCTCTCCTGGTAAAGAACGACAGCAAGGCGAAGCGAGAACTCTTCAGTGCTTGCCGTCAGGAGCCTCACCTATTCACCTATCTTGCCGTGGTGTGCGGCGATTTGCTCCCTGCAAACATCCGTAGAGCCTGGGACAATGTGGCGATGTCTGGTTTGCCGAGACCTGCTATGTAAGTACTAGTCGGGCTCTATTATTACTGGAGATTGTGGAGAATGTCCGAATATCTTTCCTTTGCACGCTTCTCGTGCATTATTGGGTAAACTATGCTCTAACTGCTTTGCAAGCAATCATGCGGCAAGAGTCACTCCAGTTCCAGTTACATCCTTCATCGAATACTCTTCAGTAAAATTTATGCAGTGATCTTTGTGGCAAGTCAAGCTCCGAGCCAGGCGGGTACTGACTTTCGGGCACGAAGTAACTTTCGGACCTGACTTGTGTGTAGTGAAGAAGTCATTTTCATGTACTTCAGTAGATATAATTGCTATGTGCAGGATGTCCGCACCGTCGTCATCATAACATTGCGCATGATTGCCTGTTTGACTTGCGATGTAAAATAAAACAAATACAATACAAAGTTGAACTCGGATGGTGAGCCAATATAATAATGATGAAGAAAGGAAAAGGACAAAAGGTTACGAGTTATGACAAACTGTCCACCAATGTAACCAGATCTTATACAGTCAGCGAGTGCGAACCTGAGCCTTCCAAGTTGGACGGTTGTTGGTTTGCGCTGTCGCTGATCTACACATTGATATTTATTTATTTGTACCTTTGCAGCACTGCACAGTTTGTACGAGGACTTGGAGATTTATGCAGTGCATGTCTACAGCTTATTTGAATGCGTGCCTACTGCGCAGTACTAGTCCCTTGTATAGTACGCGAGTTGTAGTGCGGGTTAGCATACAGGTGTGAACGCTACGCACTTTTCATGCAAGCTACTTTTCTGCATTCTGTACTTGCTTTCATGCACGTGTCGCTGGCATACGCGATACGGGCCGGGTTTGTGTATTGGTTTTGAACCATGTGGTTCTTCTTTTCAGTTTAGTTGTTCTTTGGTTGCTCCGCGAGTTGTTGCTTTGGTTGGAGACAAAGATGGCTTTCCGTTTCAGTAATATAATGTAATGTAACTATAACTGATAGTATACTGTTGAGTGTTGGGATGCGTTGGGACCCCGACACCAATATGCGCCTTGGAGAAGTCTTGGAGCTACAGTCCATCGGGAACTGGCCCGCTGGCTTTTGAAAGTCGGATTTGGGCCGAATTGAGGATCAAAAACCCACTTTAAATCTTGAAAATCTGGGTTTTGGATCTGCTTCTCCATACATTTTGCCATGGCATACCTGTCCTAATTTTGTAAAACCTGGCTGAATTTCTATTTCGCTGTTCTTGGACTTTTCTGGCCTCAAATGTGGCAAGGAGTAATTGCACGGGTCACACAATGCAGAATGTACTGTTGTTTTCACGATATCTACAACTATGTGAGAGCCACCAAAAAGTTAGGGTGCCAGTTTCCAATGAATGGACTGTAGGTGTCAGGTCGCCGAATGTCTCAGTATTCCTTGTCAGTTTTGTGCCATTTTGTCGCACTCCCTAACTGTATAAGATCTGGTTACGTTGGTGGACAGTTTGTCATAACTCGTAACATTTTGCCCTTTTCCTTTCTTCATCATAAATACAATACAATACACTGTATTGGTATCTATTTCGGGCAGTATGTTTATCGGGCTTGACTTGACTTCAACAGACAGAGTCAAAAGAATGAAGGGGGTATTTATTTCGGGCAGGTATTTATTTACGGACTTTAACGGTACCCGTTAACAGTATGAATGTGCTTGCTTGTTTGCTAGATCCCTGGTTGAAAGTCGGAAGAGCTGCAAAGGTCGTCCCTGCAGGCCAGGTAGGTAGATTGTCTCGGTGCACACAACACTAACTGTTATTCATTGACTACTCAGGAAAATGTCTGGCGGGAATACGCTAAATATCCTCAGACTAGCATGGTCCTTGGCAATTGGCAGTCACAGTATCAGCAGCATTTGATAGATTTTCAGGTGAGTTTCGTATGTATTTAGAACATGCATAAGAAAAGGAGAAGAATCCACGGAAGTGCCCACCTTAATAAGCCTTTGTTCAGAAGGATGCTTTGAATAGTGTCATGTTTCAATCTTTATGCATTGAGTGCCATAGGCCGTGTCTCATTGTACGCTGTGTTGTGGTCAGATGAGACCACAGGACTCTGGCTGTCATATCGGTGGTGATTCATCCTTTTATTTCATGTAGTTCGTGTACCACTGCATTGTACTGTAGACTACCGTGCTAGTATTGCTTGCAGCTGCCTGCTAGTGCTGTTACGCATGCCTGATTACGAGCTTGCCCGGCGAGGGTATTATTCTTGTGTATGTTCAAGCATAATTCAGACTTCTGGGTGAACAGAAAGAGAACAGTCATTACTTTTAGTGTCCAAGCATTGGGCGGAAGAAGTGAGTCTCTCACAAACGGAGAGCATTGTGTACCAGAGCGGGTCTCTCACTATCGGAGAACTCGGGGTCTCAGTTCTTCATCGGAACAGCCTTGTTTGATTCTGCTGATTTTTAATGCCTGTCGAGCGCAATCTGCCAATTTGTCAAGCATTACCGTAAAGTCTTGTATAAAAGCCGCACTCGAATAGAAGCCGCAATTTTGGGCCCATCAAATCACACATAAGCTTGGTTTTAGTGTTGACATACATAGAAATACCTGTCTTGTATGGAAGCCTGTCTCTTATAGAAGCCTGCAAAATTTCACCACGAAAGTCATAGAAGCCGCGGCTTTTATACAAGACTTTACGGTATCCGTCAAGGCCTTGACTAGTATAAAACCCAGGCGTGTACCGGTCTACTGTGTTCCTTTAGGCGGCTCAGCCAAGAACAGCTTGATGGCACACAGCAGAGGTGTAACACTGACGCCGCTACACACGCACAGAGGAATGATTGGTGACAAGCGAGAAAGACCGCTACCAGCGGGCTGCTTCCAACTGCTGCCCGTTGCCCTCCCGGAAATTGTGGAAGTGCAACAGTTGGCAATCAAGGAGCAAAGGCGTAGGGACAGGCAAGGCCAAGGTGGACAAGGTGGAAAGGGTTGAGTAGGAGAAAACTAACAGACACCATTTCTGAGCAAGTACTGAAGCACTCCAATCCCTAGAACAATGGTTGCTATTGCAGCCATGCTCTGCATGGGTGCTTTGAAATGGTGAAGGAAAACGATGACCTGAATTCGGCCTCCAACTGAGAATCTGAGGAGCGCGGCTAGAAAGTGATAATACATGCATCCGGCCGCAACTTGCATGGATAAGAAAATGGGGGGTTTTCAGGACCGTTGCGAGCCGACATGAAGTAGCTTCGCCAATGAATGCGACCAGGTCAATGCAGACTGAGTTAGAACCACAGCTTTAATGAACCAGTAGAGTGCGTGTGTGTGTGTGTGTGTGTGTGTGTGTGTGTGTTTATGCGTGGATATCAACGGACGCAGTCCTGCCTTGATCGTTGATGTTACTTAGTCACTGTCACTGCTCAACAAACCTATATCGGCATACTGCTTACTGGTGTTTTCCATGTAAGTTCCTCCAGTCGGTTCTCTTTTCTTTTTAACTTCACAGCCCCGAGGTATGGCAGACTGGTCTTCTCAGCTATGGCATTGATGTGTCCAGTCTGTACTCTTAGCTTAGTTACCATGACTATACATACTCAAAGTTAATTGTATGGTGTGATGTCCTGGAGCTTTTGGAAATGGCCAAGAGTGTACTTGAATTCTAAACATGTACTAGTGTGTGTGTGCAAGGCAAACCATTGAACTTGTCTGAACTCTTTCTCCATATTTGAGGTGCTTATTGGAGGATCATCATCCCGATGTTTCCTGTTTTGAAGCCTCATTCAGCCTTGGTTTAGTCATCATCCAGTTCTTATTCAATATGCCGATGCTATTACGTTGTCAGTGTGTGTGTGTGGGGGGGGGGGGGTATTAAAAAATGGTCTCTTACATGCCGGGGATTTGGATACCTGTGTTTTCTTTCAGTTTGCCGGCTTGGGATTCAGGCGGTCAAGTCGCCAGTCGCTACGGCACATGTGACCTGCATGTGCACTGGCACAGTAACCATGGTAACTCAGACTTGGAACTGACTGTGGGTTACCCTTACTTTGCTGCATACTCTTATCATGAGTCAGTTCATGAGTCAGTTCATGATAGCATGGAGTCGTGAAAGCTGACACAACACCCTCGTACCAAAGAAGTTGATATCACTCCCAGATCCTACACTAAATAGTAAATTTATTCACTGCGTGAATGAGAGCTCTAGAAGTGACCAGGCACCCACCTTTCACTGCATATGCTCTTGCGGAGATGCAAAGTAAAGACCGTTGCTGGTCTTTATGTGCCACTGAATATTGTCACGTGTGGAGGTCAGAAATTTTCGAAAGCGATTTTTTTCAAAAGAAATATACACTTTACAGTAGTGGGGAAAGTCATCTGCACCAACCGTGGTACACCGTGCAAACAAGTCATCTGCACCAACCGTGGTACACCGTGCAAACAAGTCATCTGCACCAACCGTGGTACACCGTGCAAACAAGAAGAACAGGAAAGAACTTCATGGCCCAGTTTCCTGCATCCAAAAGTTTAGGAACCATTGGGCAGCAACTCAACATTACAGTTTGCCACTTGAGTGGTCTGGTCATAAGTTACATGCAGCAACATAGAACGGATTTAATGCTAACGTAACCATCGGTCACATGCTTTAGATACTTCAAAGCGCAAGATACATGGAAGGTGGTGATGAGTACACCACTCCACACTGCACACTGCACACTGTGGAGTCTCAGTCTGAGTGTAGATTGACTGTTGACAGCCATGCCAGCTCAGTGATGAGATACTTATGGTGATGAAGATTGCAACTGGTCATCAAGTCCCTGCTCTGTAGTAGTTTAATCAATATCATGATACAGGCTGATTGAAAACCATGTTCGGAATAATCGTGTTGAACCTCCAGGTTGCAAAACATACAGCATAGGTCACATCCTGCCGAGTAGCAGTCTTGCGTATACACATGTACATGTCCTTGCAATAACGTTATTAACATTAGATCAGTGCGCCGGGCATACTGTCGGGCTGTGCCCAGGAAGTCATATACTGTATTCAAGTGTCAGTACCACGGCATGTGGATAGATGTAATCAGAATGTAGCCGTTAGAGCCGAATTCCTCACGATACGCCTTGGTTTGGGACGGGGTGTATACGCGGAAGGTGTTCTTGAATTCTGATCATCCAGTCTGCAGTCGTCCAGTGAGTCAACGATAACTGCAGAGAAAAGAAGCAAGCATATGTATGTACACAGAGAATTGACTTTCTTCACTCTCAAAAAAGCAAGGACACTACACACTAGTAGAGACTTGGAGTATCATACATGTACTGCTTTCGTACCCTGATCACGGTCCACAACATCTTTGGTATTCAATACCCGACATCCACAGCGAGCTGGGTGAACACATGTGCAACATCAGCCACAAATTGGTATTGAGTCTGCCGACAAGTATCGCACCATCACACAATACGCCTCGCAGACTGTAGACAGATACTCATATCATATTCAGAACCCCTCCGACTACATTGCATGCAGCGTGCATCACCAATACCCGGCATAGTGCCTATAGCTTCCAATACAGTGACGTTTTAAGTGAAATCCAGCCACATGGATAACGCAGTTCGTTGGGGCTGTGCAGCCCTAGCGACGCTACCGCTATGAGCACTATTGGTCACGAGGAAGGAAATGTGGCCTGCCGTATTATAAAAATGATTGCAACTCCCTACAATCTGGGCAGCCAGGCTGTACAGGCACATGCACAAGTACACGTACAGTGATTGTACACCAGCACACTAGCTGCATCATGCATGGGATTGCAACATCATGCACTTATACAGTGCACTACTGGTATAGTACAACGACTGGGTCACTTGGTCACTCGGCCACTCGGCCACTCACTCGGCCACTCACTCGGTCACTCGGTCACTCGGCCACTCACTCGGTCACTCGGTCACTCGGCCACTCGGCCACTCACTCGGTCACTCGGTCACTCGGTCACTGGGTCACTGGGTCACTGGGTCACTCGGTCACTGGGTCACTCGGTCACTGGGTCACTGGGTCACAGTACTACATCATGTAGTGTGTCACTTACAGTCTTCTCTGATCGGTTGATTGGTGTTCAAACGTTGGAAGCAGTTCCGGCGGGCGATCTGTGCAGTTCGAAACGAGAGGACACGCCAAATATGTACTTGTACATGTACTACCTTTCCGGCCATGAGTCGGTAAAGACACACAGGGCACAGTCAAGGTGCGGTCTATCGCTATTCTGACTTTGTCAAATGTGTTCACTAGCTCTTGTTGAACCCAATACTGTACATGACATACATTGTATGGAACTGAGGAGGATGCTAGTTTCTACCAGGATAGGCCACAGAGATGGATGATGGATCACAGAGGTAACTGGTTGATAGGCCAGAGAGATTGATGGGCCACAGAGGTTGAAGTTTGTGAAGGGCTTTAGTTTAGGATATCCACAACGTAACTTTCACAAGCCCTAGAATCTACAGCCACAGTGTGTGTGATCACACTAGAGCCAAGTAGAGGCTAGCAATGAGGGAATAACGTTATGTATAATGACTACGTGTGTGCATGTAGATAGTAAGTGAAAAAAAGCTGTGACTGTCCGTATACTTCTACTCTGTGGCCTTTGTGGGACCACTCCTACCAGTGTACTATCGGAGTCGTGTTGTGTGTTAGCTTGCTTCACGAGCCCGAGAGTGCATGCAGCGACAGTGTCAGTAGAGCCTTTGAACTACATTGAAGAGAGATCATCGTTTGACCTGCCCGATAATCACCATCACTTATTGGCTCCGGCAGTGATTATGGTGACTTCCATAGGTATAGTTTGCACAATTTGCGAGGTTTGTAGACTCCTAGTTATCGTCAAGGACTTACTCTCAGTCTGATTGATCGTTGCAGCTCTATTTGATGGCGTCCCCAGGCTTCCGGTTCCTCTCTGCCCGTTCCGAAATCTGCCGTTGCTGCCACCGCGTCGCTTTGCGTTTCTCGCAGCTGCCCACCGTCTCCTTCACTGAGAAATTCTATGTAGTCACCATGTGCGGCTGCGCTGGCATTGCCACTGGCAGCTCCGGAACTATCGTCCGCCGCCGGTGTCGACTCGCTTTTTGACCGCGCCACCCGTCTCGGCATTGTTTCCATGGACGGGCGTTTGACGAAGTGCGAGCTCGGCAGCGCCTCCGGCACGATGTAGTGGCATTCTTCGTCGCCGTCTTCCCAGCTCTGGTACTCGCACACCCCTGGGAACTGCTGTTGCCCCTCATATTCTTCATAGTCGGAATAGCGGCCGTATGTCTGGCCAATTATGATTGGCAGCTGTGCTTCGCTGCCTTCCTCCACTCCATCGCTATCGCCATCATCATCATCCTCAGTTTCTACATCCTCGTAATCTAGAAATCCCTCTCCAGCTGGGTAGATTCCTGGTGTGCATAGCGGAGATTGATCGTAGTCGGTGCCTAAAGAGCTAGAGCTCAGCATGCGAAGAGATGTTGGCTTGGGTGGTGGCTGTGGACGCTCCTCAGCCTGTGCCGAATTGCTTCGCGACGCTGCCATGGGGAAGCTGCCCTTACTGGGAGCCGTGGGACTTGCATCGCTACTGTGTGCGTGCGCTGGGGTGCTCCTGCGACCATGTTGCGCCATGGAGATGTAACCTTCGTCATCACTGTTTTCAACATCTATTGCAGAGTTGGAAATGGGTGATGTGTTGCTAGCGCTGACGTGTAGTGGACATCTATTGTCAGCGGGCATGAATCCAGCATGTGCTGTACTGTTGTGCTCTGTGTGCCCAACGCAACTACAGCTACTCTGACTAGACTCAGTGCGTTCAGCATCCGAGTGCCAGCTGTGACGCTGGCGTTGCCGCGTTGCTGTCCGAGATGACGAGTCCCGCGCTCGGGCCAGGCGAGCGTGTTTTCTCGGTGCAGGAGACGGGCACGCAGCAGAAGATCCCGTGCTATCACTTCTACTGCGCCCGGACAGCATAAGAGCATGGCCGTCTGCTGGCCTCGCACTAGCAACAGGTCTTGACGTAGTTCCGACATCTATGGGCAAGCGCCGCTGTGCAGCTACGGGTGAGCTGCTCGTGGCTGATGCATCTGGTGGCAATGAGCGCCGTATATTGACCACTTCACCTTCACGGAGAGCTGTCATCGTCTGTTTTTCCAACGATAGGATACCCAGTGATCGGCGACGGACAGTGACCTTGCGTGGTATACTAGCTGCGGCTGTTGCAGCAGCTGCCAAAGCATGATTTGCACCGTGTGCAGTTTGTAGCTGATTACTACCGGTACTGGTAGCGCTGCTGGGTGGAGAGAATACAGTAGAGTGTGTTGTACGGCTAGTGCCTGCTGTTGACAATTCCCCATCGCAGCTATGCAGCAGCGAACATGACCATTCCCTCTGGCCAGGTGGGCCGGGTGCATGCAGGTTGCGGCGGAGCAGAATGGCCTCGGCTAGGCGCCTCACTGAGCTCTGCGTGTTGATTCTGTACAGCGTGGTTGTCGTCTTGGAGCAGCGTCCACAGATCTTCATTTCCAGGCAGTGCCGTACTGTGTGCACCTCAATGTCAGTGATGGAAGCCACTTCTACAGTGGTGGCAGTCTCCTCAGTTAGCGGGTGTTTGAGTACCATGCTCCTCTCGTCCAGCTTCAACAGGCCTGTTGTCTGTGTGGAGATGTGTGGAGGATGAACACTGCTAGTGGGCGAAGACGAGCAGCTGTACTCAACCGCAAATATTTTAGCTGCATGTGAAACAACAAGGCAGACAACAAGGCAGTGTTTTTATATGTCTTACCAACATCTTGACTGTGCCTTCATAATTATTATAAAGGCGTGCAACATATTCACCTCTGCATAACCAATGTTTCAAACAGGCAACACATTTTTTTAGATACTCAATCTGCGGACAGAACCCTTTCGTCCTTTGTCAGTGGACTTTTCAGCGCAGCACAGAGAAAATGAGGCCAAACCTGATAGCAATGAAAAAATAAATTTTCCAAAGCCAGATTTTTAAAAACCAGGCCCGAACGTACCTTGCCAGAGTACTCAAACTGACAAGTCAGTGAGCTCTGCATAACGCAAACAGTAAACGCACTACCCCACATACTAGTATGTACGTGATTCCACATTTTGACCTTGAACCCTAACCCGCTGCTTGTCTGAAATTCTGGAACATGGATTGTTATGGAGCATTGCAGTGTCGTGCATGCACATCATAATGAACAGATTACCCACCGGCTTGCTGAGGTACTGGGTGTGTAGTTGCCGTCGCTGGTTGCGAGAGGACCTCCTTTAGTGCTGCTACCCACGACAGCATACAGCTCTCATCTGCCGCAGCAAATGTGTAGTCGGCAACAGCATGGATGGTGAAGTGGTAATTTCCACCGCCGGCCTTGGGACCCAGTGTACCCACTGAGCTGCTGAACGCAGATGTTATCATCCGGTAGCACGATAGGTCATAGTCCTGGGCTTTCCGTCTGCCATTGCCTGCAAGTTTGCTGGTTCGCAGCAGGACAGCTACATGCACAATGGTGAACCATTCCAACAAGCATCCACCCACCCAAACCCACACATACACACACACACACACACACACACACACACACACATGCACACACATGCACACATACATGTACACACACCATAATTATAAACCTCTGCCCTACAGAATATTAGGTATACAAGTGGAACTAGGGAGTCGTGGGAACCCTGGGTACAATACTGGGATGATACACAAAGGGTAGGACGAAGTTTTGTTGCTTGGAGGATATTAATTTTATGACATCCAAGAATAGAGTGCATGGATCCAGGACCATAGTCATGTACTTCAAGCCGCATCTGAGATCATCGAAGCTTCACGTGCTATACTGTGATGGGTCATGTCACAACTGAACTCTTGCTGCTTCTTCTTGCCAAACATGTGCATGTCATGGCTCTCCGCTGCCTGCCAGTGCAACACAGACCAATTCAGAAAGCCTCTGAAAATGTCCGGCTGATATCAATTGTCTGCAGACCGCTATGCCATTTGTGTGTAGAATACACTGTACTGCATCAGCATATGAGGCAAGTTTGAGGATGGCACGATCGTGATACTGAAGATGAAGAGGAAGTGACAGCTCTCCATAATTAGGAATGTAAAGATGGCGGGGATTGTATAATTACGGCTTATGCATTGGTTAGTAAGATGGCCGGGATCAGGTAATTATGGCTAATAGTAATACACTGGTTTGGACATGCCATCCGGTGTGGTAAATTGGGCATGCAGTGCACCCGGTAGAGCACAGACACAGAGAACAGCTCAACAGTGCTACATGATTGTACCACAATGACTCCTGCTACTTTCTTTGCACTGAAGTAACTGAACATACTTTGTCCACGACCTGGCGCTGTGTTTCCGGATAAGCAACCACAGTTGCATTTGAGACGGGCCAGCGTCATCCATCTTTGCCGCAACCGTCCACCCTTGGTCTGTTCACCAACATAGGTAACACACGCATTTACAACACACGCATTTACAACAGCCGATGTTAGTGAAAATATAGAAATGTACACTGTGTGTGGGGTAGGGAGGTGATAGAGAGCTCTTGTTTCACTATTGAGGAGTTCGGCATAGTAGGGCGGTGTCTCCTCTTCCTCGTTGCCTTTGCCTCACCAAGACAACCGAAGTTAAGCACCCAATCCAAGATGGACTCTCTAGGGGTGGATCTTCACTCAATTTGGGAAGCAAACCCGCAACCCCAGGAGAGGGCCGGACTATACTCCTTGTACCGATACTAGGGCAGTGGGAAGGCCAGAAAACCCTTGCGTGACTATATTATCATACTGCATGGGTTGTATGTCGTTCTTCGAGCACAGGCTCAGCTTTCGTTGGAGACAGCATGGCTGTGGTGATGAGCGAGACAGGGACTGACTTGATCACCTGCGGAACTTCACGTCAGACTCAGCGGGAGTAGCAGCAATAGTCACTGATGGACATGATCAGTACTGACGAGATGAAGACAGCTGCCATCATCATAGCGTACAAGTCTGCAGGACACTGTTGTTACTGCTGAGCTACTTATAACATGTGCAGGACGTTAACAACTGCTCATACCAAGTGCCAAGATTGAGTCCCATCTATCCAGCCGTGCTGTGGATCATGGATGCCGACATGGACAGAGTATTGTGTTGGTATTACAATTAGTGCAGCGAATGTATCGCCACATCACTCCCTGTAAGGCTGTAGTGCTGTGTACGTGTTACTGTAGCTATGAAAATCACCACCGGTCTCCGCATAATAGGTACTGAGTGAAACGTCGGGTAGGCATTCCTACATTCCGTGTCAGCCGCATGAAATTGCCAGCACCAGCATTGATGATCATGACATTGCACATACATGTGATGTGTGCTGGTTATGGTATAGTCAGCGACAAATGTGAGGCACACAACGCTGTCCCCATTACTCACAGCAATCGTGGATGTTGTGCAGACAGTGTGATCGTTGGCAATTTGGCAGCTAACATGCCTCGTCGCAGCTTGTACCCGGAAGGAAATGCGGGCAAGGATGACAGCTCACCGCCAACATGTCCCAGGCACAACGCCGTCTATTGGTAATGCCCTGATTGCAAGCTAATGCGGGTATGCCGTATGGAAGCACTCTGCTTGCGGCAGACAGTCCATCGTGCCCACTTCAACCCAGGCTTGGTCTGTGACCAAAGCTGCACGCACAGTATGCACATGCAGTGCAAGGCTAGCGGGAAATGGCCGTGCAGCACCAGAGCCAGAGGACACCCACTGACCCAGTCACCCAGACACAGCACAGGAATGTACGTCCTGCTTCAACCGCCTCCTCCCACTGTGTCGCGCGCACAGGCAACGTCTCAGCTGCAGTTGTGTGGCTGGGATTTATGGTGACATGCTGCTGCAGGATGGTGGTAACTGATCGGATGTTGAAGATGAAGGTAAAGTTGAGTGTTTAACTGTACGTATTCCATGTGTTATTTGCAGCCTGGCAGAAGAGTAGCATACCTCCAATGCTGCGGAAGGGCTGGGTTCCTGGTGGACTGTCCACTCCCACAGTTCCAGATATCCCGGTCCGTAATGTGCTGAAAGTAAATCTTCCTGCCTGACGGCGTCGTTCACAGCGTACTGACAACGCCTGGATTCTGCGCTCGAAAACCTTCCCAATGCAAGGCAGCAGTTTGCCAATTATTATTATTATTTCCGAAGATGATCACACGCCACCGTTCCCGTTGTCAATTATTCGACCTTCAACTGCAAGGATGTCGTGTGCACGCAAGGCAAATGTGTACATGTACTTCAAAGTAGGTCTAGGCCAAGTACCATCGGCTACCAGGTGTGAATCCAGAACGAGATGTTTTATCACCTTGCGATCATGTGGCCTGCAAAATGCATTGTAGGGTGAACTTCCGATCCGCAAAGACGACAATGTTATTGAAGGTGACTGAACGACATCGACTGCGCAAATCAAAACTCATGATGCATGACAATGATGTCAATGAACACGGGTTCCATACAGTCTTATATCCAATCCCACGCGCAGTCGTACGTACCTTGTTGAAACCCGACAGTGAAACGACTCATTGGTGAAATACATTGTAAATAGAAACCAATGGCACGACCAGTCCGTTGAGCAGTGCATGGGCCATACATTGTTGATGATTGCCCTATTCTAATACTTTCAAGCGCTGTCTGCCCTCTGATCATTCTCCAAGTTCTATGCGCAACTGTCATTACTTCTAGCCCATGCCGGACTCATCTTTCCCTGCTTTATCGAGTTCGTGGATTTGACTAATTAGCGTTGAGCCACAGTTTCTTGCTACACTGAGCATAGCTACCTAGCGGTAATCCCAGCACATTACACTTGCAATCGCCCCAGTGTAACCAGTGAAGGTAACGGTCATCGCTCGTTTGCTTGCATGCTTGACAGGCGCACGGTTCGGCGGTTCACTGTTAACAACAGGAGTGAATTTCAACCACCAGAACTGTAGGAAAGGCGGCGGTAGGTCGTTCGCGAACAGTGAGCGACAGTCATGATATGGGGAGAGAGGGGTAGCGAGGCCATCGTGTATGGCACTGTCGTGCATATTCTAAACATGTTCACTGACTGCGAGGACAATTCTCAATCTGGTCCTGACTCCGGTGTAGATTATACAATCATGTACCGTGAATGTACTCCGCATACTACGTGAATGTACTCCGCATACTAAAATACAGTGGTTGTAATGTTATACAGCCAGTCGCATGGCACATGGTCATCAGCTGATGCGTGCAAGCTGGCAAAACGTTTTTCCTAACTACTGAACCCATCATGGTGGGCCCGCAACACCCACAACTCCTCTTCCTCAGTTCCTGTCCCTGCTGCTAACTCAACAATTTCCCACCCTGCTTCCTAGGACCCGTGCAATATGAAGGGCAAGGCTGGGGAGACATTCATAATTCCAACCTGCAAACGCGTTCTTAGCCTGCACACCAGTGAACGCAGATAGTTTGCTCATACTTCATAGAGTAACACTGAACTTGTTTTCAAGTTCCTGTAATGATTCACTTCTGCGACGTCACCTTCAAGCAGTGATATCCAGTGCCCGTGCTATTGTTGCGTCACATGGGCCCGGGGGATAGTAAGCAGTTGAACTGACACTTCAAAACCAGTACTAGTGTGAACACTGCATGCCTTGCGAAGTCAAGCATCCGTGTGTACTTGTAGAGTCACACCGTCATTGGCTATCGCAGTTTCTGTCCAGAAATATTCATATCGAGGCGGTTCTACAGTTACACCGTATCGCTTCAATATCGGATAAGAACTTGAGTGCCTTACACGAATCGCATTCTTGACACGTGCATACTGCAACTGCTCTATATCGAAAGTGAAAGTGCCAAACTGGCCTGAGACACTTCAGTTACAAAGTGGCGTGAGAGGAGGAAGGCTGTGCCCTGCGTGTGGTGTGAACTATGTAGGTGTTGAAAACTCAGAAAAGATGTGACAATTTTTGAGACCTAAAGATACCGATAACGAGATCCAGCGAGTTTTTACTTCACAGAGACGTGACTGCATATTGCTACACTTGGCTAGCAGAACCTGTGAAGGTCACAATGCAAGAGTGTGGGTAACACATTCTCCAACTCACCCCGTGTGTTTTGGACGTGTTGGCGCTTGTCTCCGGCAAACCTATCGGTCCTTCCTTCACCAGCTCCCAATACTCCTCATTCTGCTGGTGTCCACTCAGTGGATGTGCTACTGGCGACGATTGGCCTATGCTGAATCCTCGCAGAAACTGCTCAGGTACTCCTCTCCTCGCCATTTCGATGCAAGCACCGCCGCCACGTTGCTCAAGTCAATCTGCAGAGGCGACACGATAGCTGGTGGAGTCTCAGGAAACAACCACTACCTCTGCTGCTCCAGCTCCAGCTCATCAACAGCTCCAGCTCATCAACGCTACTCTCACTGATGAGCAGTCGTCGCCAGCAAGACGTCTAGACTGTGTCTGGTACAACTGGAGATCGCTATCTCATATCCTCTTTCCTTTCCTCTCCACCAATACGGCCCTGCATGCGCGTATGAGCCAGCCGCAGCAGCAGCGGCCTTGCTATGTGAGGGAACTGTAGATTCTACCAATGCGAATGCTTGCTAAGCTAAACTGTAGGCCGATTGCGATAGTCGGAGAGGGGCAATTCGCCTGCCTGGCCGGTCGTTCGATGTGTTGTTCCGCCTGAGCGACCCGTCCACTAACGCACTATGCGCCTAGCGCCTGGATACTAGCTGTGGTGATGTGTCAGACACGATCTCATCTGATCAATTGTTGATGGTGTATGGATGTGCTGCCTTGGTTGGTATTGCCTATTGCCAGTACTATTGGCCTTGCCCAGGCATTGGAGGGTATGCCACTTTTCATGGTGTGCCTGTTTGCCTGTGCCAGGCGTCGCGGTGGTGTGGCTCACTGGTGGTTACATGACATTGCAGTGTAGCACAGTGTTACCTTCACTTCACTGCATGATCCCAAGCCCGGGCCAGAGTATGGATAGTATTGGTCTGTTGGTCTGTTCGCTCAGCGGTGATATATTCCTGTACTTAATGATCGTGTTCTGCTTTGAAAGGTGAGACGAATCAGTAGAAACAGACACACATGCACGGATGATCGACACGATACGTTCGCCATAGGCCGTTACCCCGATCACAGGCATAGCTAGAACTGTGATGAGGTGGTACCGAACTGACGAGAAACAATACATGTACATGCTGCGGCAAGGATATAATTCCAGTCTGTCAGTGGAAGTCATCGTGTCCGCTACATGGAGAAGAAGAAGAAAGAGTGGAAGGAGGAGCAGGAGCGGTGCTGTGTATGTATGTGTGTGTGTAGTATACGACGCTCAGCCGCACGATTGCAGCCGCCGTGCTGGGCTAATGCAGCTAATCACTGATCGGTGTTTTTATGGACCGCCCGACGGGCAGCCCGTCGCTGCTGACACTTCTTACTTACCCTTGCCGGCTGCTGAGTATTGAATTCATATGCTGATGACTGGCTAGCAAGGTAGTGCCTAGTGGTGGCGGCATGATGGCATTGTTCTGCCCTGCGCTGCACCCGTCACCTGCCAAGCCAACATGATCTCCACAGAATAGGATTATTGTACCGACTGACTGCAATGCTGTACTACTGAACTCTAGTTGTTTCCGTCAGAGGTGGTAGCGCTTTGTCCACTATTAAGTTTTCCTTGTCCTGTCGCATCCCGCAAGCGTGCTGCCCGTCGTGCACTGAGCGCTAGTCCAATTTGTTATGGTAATAATCGTTCTGTACGCAAACCTTCGACCACTCCATGCTGGGACACTGATCATGGATTATGATGCATGAGTCAGCCTACTGGGTACTATAGCCTAGCCTCTTGCTGCAACCTTTGCACTCCTCCAACTCGCGAAGGACAGGGAACCGCCACTTATTTGGCGGCACATAATAATGCGGCTCTCTGCTGGCATGCACTGGCATGGATAAGACTGGCAGGAACTCCAAGTCCAAAACACGTTCGCACACACAGTACAGCTGACGGAATGCGACGATATGTCAAACCCTCTGTATGACCTGACACAGTGACAGGCGATTAGAATGTTGGAGGTTACCCTTTTCTACATAATTGTGGGTTGTACTGAAGGTGTAACCTTAGTGCTTTATGCGTGCATTTCCTGCACAAACAGTCCGCCCACTGGACCAGGAGATGCACTCGTTTGAGGCTGAACATGCAAATGAGTCGTGTCATCGTTACAGCTGTTCTGGTCGGGAATGCAGTCAATGATAGTCGGCAGGTTCGCCTTTGGTATGTGCTTGCCATGCACCGCCATGACACATCCGTTGAGATTGTCGGACAAAGATAATCGCTGACCGCGTGGGCACTATACGTGCACGATGTGTATGTTCCGCTATGAGCTGTGCCTGTGGGGACCTACTGTGCCCATACTGGCCCTGGGCTCTCCAGCTGATTGCGACTTGATCGTATTTAATATCACAGGCCACCAGAGCTGACTGCAGTCTTGTGGGTGCAGGAAAGGTACGAGCTTGTTTGTACTGTAGCCTGGCCATAACCACCAGCACCGCCGCCACCGCACTGGCCAGTTCCCAGCACGATGATGACACACTTGTTCTGCCAATACCAGCAACACATTTAGGCCAACACCCAGTCGTTTTAAAGGCTACGGCGATGACTCCTTAAAAGGAGTCATCACCGTCGCCGGATAACCGTGATAACTGTGCAAACCGCCTAGCTAGCTAGTGTCAGTAGTGATAGTTTCACTTTCATTTCATCTTAGGACACGGTCACGCTGTTCGAGGTGTAGTTGGAAGATGCACTTTGCCACTTTTCTGCAGTAAGGATGAGAGTCATAGCTACAATTGTTATGTAGGATGGCAGCAAAACGCTAGTCATAGTCATGTAGTTTGAGGTGGTGATAGTCAGTACGCCCCGGTATGTTAGGGTTGAGCTCTTGCATGCATGATACAGGTACAGATACAGCTACAGTTGAACAACGCTCTACATCACGACTGCCACCAGAACCATGTTCATAACGTGCAGACTGCACCACACCATCTGATGTAGCAACGCGCTCCACTGAGCAGCGGTTGCATTAGGCATTAAACACATTAGAAACCATTGCCTGTGCGGCACGTTGACAACGAAATCTTGCCATGTGCAAACCACTAGTAAGAGATGTATTGCTTGGTCAAATGGTAAGTACATGATTGCATAGTAGAATGGCTGAGGGAACAGGCCGACATGTCGAGTATACCTCGTACAAATAAATCACCGGTTTCCGCTGCTTCAGCCCGCTTCAGAATTATTTGCTAGTACATGTACACAGTAGTAGTACCTAGTTGTAAAACCACCATGCGCTGCTGGCAACTGCAAACCTTAGGACGTCGAAATTGTTATGTTGCTGCTTGGCTGTATACCTGTAGCAGTTACTGGTATACAGTATCAGTTGAGATGCGTCTGTACCACACTGCAGTCTGCATCACACAGTCACTGTAGCGCACTGCATGCTACTACTACTATTACTACTAGTACTAGTACTAGTACTAGGCACTAGGCTCTAGCTGCGGTTAAGATTGACTGGATTGCTATTGTGAGGGCAACACCAGTGAACAGTGGTCAATATGGTGGCTCTTGTGTGTGTGTTAGTACTAGTAGCAATACTAATCGATGACCGCTCGTGCATGTTCCCTGACGACAAGGTCAACATCAGTGCTTATGCACTTGTGCAAACTAACTGGTCCATGCCATGACAGTCTGGTATGTTTAGTTTGTGGCTTTTTGTCTGTTTGGGAAAGGAGGGAAAAGGAAAGGAGGAAAGCGATTATACTCTGCGTTCCTAGCACTCCTTTGTCTTATGAAACCTCTCCGACACAGTTCCCAATTCACACCTTCGGAGAGCAGTTGTACCTCACCGCACGACCCTACCGAGAAGATGTCACTTGCAGCATTAGCACGGTATCCGATGCTTGTAGCTTTGCTGCAGGACCTGGTCGCTGACATTTTGACGGATTGGTGGATGGGCTGCCACTAGCCAGTACAATAGTGCAACATGTACCTACTACAGTACAGTGTATAGCATGCGTGTCTGGCGGTGTCTAGTCCACGTCGCTGCCAGAGCCGAGAATACCTCTTGTTGCTCGTGTCATACCAATAGGGATAATACCAGATTGGAAGTCCTGAATCATGGGGGTTGCACCGTGAATGCTAGATGCATGCTGTGTATGGCACTTTCATGATTGAAGTATATCATATTTCTCCACTTTAATAATGGCAACAAGGACGACTAATTGCACTGTCAGCATTTCCTAAATGTCGACATGTATGAGTAAAATGTGAAACGATGATCGCAAGGCACACAACACAAAGGAAAGAGAAGATTTGTTCAGAACTGTTTTCTTGTTACATTCATCAACGTAACAATGGAATGGGGACAACTTTTAACAAAGCGAAATAAGGAGAAAAAGAGAGAAACAAAAAGGTCGTGTTAGTCGTCTTTGTTGCTATATTAAAGAGAGAGAGAGAGAGAGAGAGAAGAGAGAGAGAGAGAGAGAGAGAGAGAGAGAGAGAGGAGAGAGAGAGAGAGAGAGAGAGAGAGATAGAGAGAGAAGAGAGAGAGAGAGAGAGAGAGAGAGAGAGAGAGAGAGAGAGAGAGAGAGAGAGAGAGAGAGAGAGAGAGAGAGAGAGAGAGAGAGAGAGAGAGAGAGAGAGAGAGAGAGAGAGAGAGAGAGAGAGAGAGAGAGAGAGAGAGAGAGAGAGAGAGAGAGAGAGAGAGAGAGAGAGAGAGAGAGAGAGAGAGAGAGAGAGAGAGAGAGAGAGAGAGAGAGAGAGAGAGAGAGAGAGAGAGAGAGAGAGAGAGAGAGAGAGAGAGAGAGAGAGAGAGAGAGAGAGAGAGAGAGAGAGAGAGAGAGAGAGAGAGAGAGAGAGAGAGGAGAGAGAGAGAGAGAGAGAGAGAGAGAGAGAGAGAGAGAGAGAGAGAGAGAGAGAGAGAGAGAGGAGAGAGAGAGAGAGAGAGAGAGAGAGAGAGAGAGAGAGAGAGAGAGAGAGAGAGAGAGAGAGAGAGAGAGAGAGAGAGAGAGAGAGAGAGAGAGAGAGAGAGAGAGAGAGAGAGAGAGAGAGAGAGAGAGAGAGAGAGAGAGAGAGAGAGAGAGAGAGAGAGAGAGAGAGAGAGAGAGAGAGAGAGAGAGAGAGAGAGAGAGAGAGAGAGAGAGAGAGAGAGAGAGAGAGAGAGAGAGAGAGAGAGAGAGAGAGAAGAGAGAGAGAGAAAGCACTCATCTCATGGGCAATCGGCAGCATTTTCAAAGCTGGTGGATATTGAAAATTGATTGCCATGTGATTGTAACCGCTCAATATATTTCTGCGCCCGGGATGTACGTAATTATACATGTATGCTAAAAGCGAATCATAGGATGTCACATGCTTGCCATCAGCACTGGCATTGCTCTTCTTACGCCAGGTCACAGCGTAACCATTCATGATTGTAACCGCTCGACAATATGTTTCTGCACCCGGGTCCCGGGATGTACATGTACATGTAATGTTATGCTAAAAGGGAACCATAGGTAATAGGAATAGATCGTA